CTAAAAAATTATTAAAAATCACTCAATCGCAATTCTACCACCGATAGATGTCATCCCGGCAAACATTGCCTTAACGATAAAATTCGCGACGACCTAACAAGATGACATCTTCTCTAAAAAATTATTAAAAATCACTCAATCGCAATACTATCACCGATAGATGTCATCCCGGCAAACATTGCCTTAACGATAAAATTCGCGACGACCTAACAAGATGATATCTTCTCTAAAAAAATTCTAATTTGTCTAAAAATTTTTTTTAAAAAGCACGCAATCGCAATACTATCACCGATAGATGCCATCCCGGCAAACATTGCCTTAACGATAAAATTCGCGACGACCTAACAAGATGACATCTTCTCTAAAAAAATTCTAATTTGTCTAAAATTTTTTTTAAAAAGCACTCAATCGCAATACTATCACCGATAGATGCCATCCCGGCAAACATTGCCTTAACGATAAAATTCGCGACGACCTAACAAGATGACATCTCTTCTAAAAAAATTCTAATAAAAATCACTCAATCGCAATACTATCACCGATAGATGTCATCCCGGCAAACATTGCCTTAACGGTAAAATTCGGAATGACCTAGCAAGGTGACATCTTTTCTAAAAAAAACTAAAAATCACTCAATCGCAATACTATCACCGATAGATTTCATCCCGGCAAACATTGCCTTTACGATAAAATTCGCGACGACCTAACAAGACGACATCTCTAAAAAATATTAAAAATCACTCAATCGCAATACTATCACCGATAGATGTCATCCCGGCAAACATTGCCTTTACGATAAAATTCGCGACGACCTAACAAGATGACATCTTTTCTAAAAAATCATTAAAAATCATTCAATCGCAATACTATCACCGATAGATGTCATCTCGGCAAACATTGCCTTAACGATAAAATTCGCGACGACCTAACAAGATGACATCTTCTCTAAAAAATTATTAAAAATCACTCAATCGCATTACTATCACCGATAGATGTCATCCCGGCAAACATTGCCTTAACGGTAAAATTCGCGACGACCTAACAAGATGACATCTTCTCTAAAAAATTATTAAAAATCACTCAATCGCAATTCTACCACCGATAGATGTCATCCCGGCAAACATTGCCTTAACGATAAAATTCGCGACGACCTAACAAGATGACATCTTCTCCTAAAAATTATTAAAAATCACTCAATCGCAATACTATCACCGATAGATGTCATCCAGAAGCAAAACATTGCCTTAACAATAAAATTCGCGACGACCCCTAAAGATGACATCTTCTCTAAAAAATTATTAAAAATCAACAATCGCAATACTATCACCGATAGATGTCATCCCGGCAAACATTGCCCCTTGGCATGGTAAAAATTCGGAATGACCTAGCAAGGTGACATCTTTTCTAAAAAAACTAAAAATCACTCAATCGCAATACTATCACCGATAGATTTCATCCCGGCAAACATTGCTTTACGATAAAATTCGCGACGACCTAACAAGACGACATCTAAAAAATATTAAAAATCACTCAATCGCAATACTATCACCGATAGATGTCATCGGCAAACGCGCTTTACGATAAAATTCGCGACGACCTAACAAGATGACATCTTTTTCACAAAAATCATTAAAAATCATTCAATCGCAATACTATGCCGATAGATGTCATCGCAAACATTGCCCTTAGATATTAAATTCGCGACGACCTAACAAGATGACATCTTCTCTAAAAAATTATTAAAAATCACTCAATCGCACATTACTATCGTCGATGAATGTCATCCCGGCAAACATTGCCTTAACGGTAAAATCGCGACGACCTAACAAGATGACATCTTCTCTAAAAAAATTATTAAAATCGCCAATCACCAATTCTACCACCGATAGATGTCATCCGGCAAACATTGCCTTAACGATAAAATTCGCGACGACCTAACAAGATGACATCTTCTCTAAAAAATATTAAAAATCACTCAATGCGAAATACTATCACCGATAGATGTCATCCAGCAAACATTGCCTTAACGGTAAAATTCGCGACGACCTAACAAGATGACATCTTCTCTAAAAATTGATAAAATCACTCAATCGTTCTACCACCGATAGATGTCATCCCGGCAAACATTGCCTTAACGATAAAATTCGCGACGACCCTAACAAGATGACATCTTCTCTAAAAATTGATAAAAATCGCACTCAATGTAATACAGATGTCATCCGGCAAACATTGCCTTAACGGTAAAATTCGCGACGACCTAACAAGATGACATCTTCTCTAAAAAATTATTAAAATCACTCAATCACAATTCTACCGATAGATGTCATCCGGCAGAAACATTGCCTTAACGATAAAATTCGCGACGACTAACAAGATGACATCTTCTCTAAAAAATTATTAAAAATCACTCCAATCGCAATACTATCACCGATAGATGTCATCGGTTTATTGCCTTAACGATAAAATTCGCGACGACCTAACAAGATGACATCTTCTCTAAAAAATTATTAAAAATCACTCAATCGCAATACTATCACCGATAGATGTCATCCCGGCAAACATTGCCTTTACGATAAAATTCGCGACGACCTAACAAGATGACATCTTTTCTAAAAAATCATTAAAAATCATTCAATCGCAATACTATCACCGATAGATGTCATCTCGGCAAACATTGCCTTAACGGTATAATTCGAAACGACCTAGCAAGGTGACATCTTTTCTAAAAAAAACTAAAAATCACTCAATCGCAATACTATCACCGATAGATTTCATCCCGGCAAACATTGCCTTTACGATAAAATTCGCGACGACCTAACAAGACGACATCTCTAAAAATTATTAAAAATCACTCAATCACCAATACTATCACCGATAGATTTCATCCACGGCAAACATTGCCTTTGATAAAGACTTCGCGACGACCCTAACAAGACATCTCTAAAATATTAAAAATCACTCGAAATCCGCAATACTATCACCGATAGTGTCATCTCGGCAAACATTGCCTTAACGATAAAATTCGCGACGACCTAACAAGATGACATCTTCTCTAAAAATTATTAAAATCACTCAATCGCATTACTATCACCGATAGATGTCATCCCCGGCAAACGTACGCTTAACGGTAAAATTCGCGACGACCTAACAAGGGATGACATCTTCTCTAAAAAAATTGATAAAAATCACTCAATCGCAATTCTACCGCAAATAGATGTCATCCGGCAAACATTGCCTTAACGATAAAATTCGCGACGACCCTAACAAGATGACATCTTCTCTAAAAAATTATTAAAAAATCGCTCAATCGCAATACTATCACCGATAAGATGTCATCCGGCAAACATTGCCTTAACGGTATAATTCGAAACGACCTAGCAAAGGTGACATCTTTTCTAAAAAAACTAAAAATCACTCAATCGCAATACTATCACCGATAGATGTCATCCGGCAAACATTGCCTTAACGATAAAATTCGCGACGACCTAACAAGATGGCATCTTCTCTAAAAATTATCCAAAATCACTCAATCGCAATACTATCACCGATGGAGTAATAAATCCCGGCAAACATTGCCTTAACGGTAAAATTTCGAAACGACCTAACTTAAAAAAAGGGTGACATCTTTTCTAAAAAAACTAAAATCACTCAATCGCAATACTATCACCGATAGATGTCATCAGCAAACGTACCTTAACGATAAAATTCGCGACGACCTAACAAGATGACATCTTCTCTAAAAATTATTAAAAATCACTCAATCCGCAATACTATCACCGATAGATGCCATCGGCAAACATTGCCTTAACGGTAAATTCGAAACGACCTAGCAAGGTGACATCTTTTCTAAAAAAAACTAAAAATCACTCCAATCGCAATATATCACCGATAAGATGTCATCCCGGCAAACATTGTAACGATAAAATTCGCGACGACCTAACAAGACCGAGCATCTTCTCTAAAGGAGTATTAAAATCACTCAATCGCAATACTATCACCCGATAGATGCCATCCCGGCAAACATTGCCTTAACGGTAAAATTCGAAACGACCTAGCAGGCATCTTTCTAAAAAAAAACTAAAAATCCTCAATCGCAATACTATCACCGATACAAGATGTCATCCCGGCAAACATTGCCTTAACGATAAATTCGAAACGACCTAGCAAGACATATTTTTCTAAAGAAAATTATAATAATCACTCAATCGCAATACTATCACCCGGAAGTAGATGTCATCCCGGCAAACATTGCCTTAACGGTAAAATTCAGAAACGACCTAGCAAGGGTACGACATCTTTCTAAAAAAAACTAAAAATCACTCAATCGCAATACTATCACCGATAGATGTCATCCCGGCAAACATTGCCTTTACGATAAGTCGCGACGACCTAACAAGATGACATCTTTCTAAAAAATCACTAAAAATCATTTCCAAATCGCAGCCATCACCGATAGATGTCATCTCGGCAAACATTGCCTTAACGATAAAATTCGCGACGACTAACAAGATGACATCTTCTCTAAAAAATTGGTAAAAATCACTCAAAATCGCATTACTATCACCGATAGATGTCATCCCGGCAAACATTGCGCTAACGGTAAAATTCGCGACGACCTAACAAGATGACATCTTCTCTAAAAAAGGCCCTTAAAATCCCGCTCAATCGCAATTCTACCACTGATAGATGTCATCCAGCAAACATTGCCTTAACGATAAAATTCGCGACGACCTAACAAGATGACATCTTCTCTAAAAATTATTAAAAATCACTCAATCTGCCAATACTATCACCGATAGATGTCATCCCGGCAAACATTGCCTTAACGGTATAATTCGAAACGACCCTAGCAAAGGTGACATCTTTTCTAAAAAAAAACTAAAATCACTCAATCGCAATACTATCACCGATAGATGTCATCCGGCAAACATTGCCTTAACGATAAAATTCGACGACCCTAACAAGATGATCTTCTCTAAAAAACGTATTAAAATCACTCAATCGCAATACTATCACCGATAGATGCCATCCCGGCAAACATTGCCTTAACGGTAAAATTCGAAACGACCTAGCAAGGTGACATCTTTTCTAAAAAAAACTAAAAATCACTCAATCGCAATACTATCACCGATAGATGTCATCCCGGCAAACATTGCCTTAACGATAAAATTCGCGACGACCTAACAAGATGACATCTTCTCTAAAAAATTATTAAAAATCACTCAATCGCAATACTATCACCGATAGATGTCATCCCGGCAAACATTGCCTTAACGGTAAAATTCGAAACGACCTAGCAAGATGACATCTTTTCTAAAAAAAATTAAAAATCACTCAATCGCAATACTATCACCGATAGATGTCATCCCGGCAAACATTGCCTTAACGATAAAATTCGGAACGACCTAGCAAGATGACATCTTTTCTAAAAAAAAATCACCAATCAAGTATCACCCAAAAATGTGTTATGACTGTCATTTTTAGATAACAGTGTGTATGTAACGTCCTGTAAGGAAAAATAAAAACATTCTATATAGAAGCACTACATAAAAAGATCATGCAATATCAAAAAAAAAAGTCTACAACTTATAGACGTTTTCAAATACAAAACAGTAAAGTGAAGAGAGAAATTGTAAGTAATATAATACATCAATATGTGTTTTCAGAAGTGACTCAACCCTATAAATTTTACTTTTTTCAGAGAAAAAGCGAGATTCAGTATGATAGTAATGACATAAATCAGGGATTTATTGACGTATTCATTTGGTTTCGGACACTTCCTGGTTCACCAAAAATAACTCCAACTTTTGATTTTTAAATGGTACTCCCGGTATTTTTTACTTTATTTATAAGAAAATGACATTCTCAATAGAATGACATATATCATATATCGCTTAAAAAATTAGTCGTTTTAAAACACTCTAAATTGAAATTTAAAATACTATTTTAAATTTCTTTAAGCGCAAAATTCCAAAACTAGACATATGATATTTTATTCAGACTGTCATTTTCTGTATTAAATGAAGTAAAAAAAAAATACCGAGAGTACCATTTAAAAATCAAAAATTGTAGTCATTTTCGGTGAAACAGGAAGTGACCGAAACTAAATGAATACGTCAGTCAATCCCGATTTATGTCATACACAAACATACTTCGTTTTTTTATCTGAAAAAATAAAAAAGTTATAGGAGGTGAGCCACTTTTGGAAAACACCCGGTATATTTGCGCAAGTATAATTAATACTTTGTTCTAATAATTATGTGTCAAAAATCGTCAAGTATTAGTATCCATTCAATTATTATTTTAAAAAAAAATAAATAAAATACATTTTAAGATGATTTTAAGCATTACAACACCAGGAGAAGTTGTTGGATATAAAATGAGAATATAATGTAAAATTATGTTAAAATATGGTTTAGGACTGGTAGATCTCGATAAAATAATCTTTTTATCCCTTTGTCGTTTTACAAATAAGTTCAAAATAGCTGAGTTATTTTACTCTAAAAATTTTAAAAAAATTTGCACCTTTATAAACAATGTAACATTTAAGTAAAACTTTTTTTCATATCTTTGTCACAACAACAACTATATTGGACTTTCTTGCACTAATGGGCCACCCTGTATACCTCCTTTTACACAAGGTCCGGCAATAGTGCGTCGGGCATCTGTAGCTGATGAGAATTTGAGAATTTTGTCTAAGCACAAACCTAAAGTATGTACGAAAATGTATTTCAGGAAAATATTTTAACACTTTACTATATATTTTTTTTAAAGAAACACCCTGTATATTATTGTATTTTTGACTTCCTTTCAGATCACTACATTATCCTAAGATACGAGTAAACATATTCCGATAATTTCAGATATATTAATAAATAAATGAAAAATATTTTTTTCAAGCTTTCTTAAAAAATTATTACAAATGCAAAAACCTGTCCTGAAATCAAAAGTATATTAGGTACCTATTTACTTAAGATGGTCTATACTTGCTTTGCTATAAATGTCGTAATCTTAAGTCATACAGACATACAGAGTGTTCAAAATTCTATGACAAACTATCTAAAATATAAAATATTTTTTTTTTTTTTAAACGGAACACCCTGTATATTATTTTTTTTTTATTTGATAGAGAGCAAAAAATTATCATTTTTTGTTTTTAAAGTATTTCAAAATTTTTAAAGAGCTACAGACACCCTACGCACTGTTGCCAGATCCGTATAAAGTATTAAAAAAAATCAGTAAAATTTTTAACACATTTAAAAATCTATCCTGAAATTAGTAAACATAGCATTAAATTCGTTATATCGATCTAAAAAAAATTATCTAAAAGTAACTATATAAAAGTCTACAATCCCACACACTCAGAAAAATATACTATATTTACTAAAATCCGAATAACCCAGTAAAATATATTTAAATTGTTTATTTAAAATTCAACCAAATGCCATCACAATGTCATGAACATAAAAAATAATAAACACATAATACTTTAAAAAAATCACTTACATTTTACATGCCTTCAGATTCTGTTAGGAGCATCCAAAACCATACACCAAAATGCAGAAAATTGTTGCAGGTACCCCAATAAAAAAATCTAAGAAATAAAAAATAAATAAAATGGTATTTTGTAAAAAAAAACGTGGCATTCTTACCATTTAACAAGTAGTTTGATGAACCAAAATTATGCAAAAAAGTCTTCAATGTCTTGAGATTCAAAAGATTAGTGTCTTTCAGTAGCAGACATCAGAAGCAGCACATACTAAGCAATCTAGAGAAATAAAAAGTTAAAGAACAGATACTTGTAAAAAGACTGAATAATTTACATTGTAATAATAGTTTTTCCTTAATTTTCTCCAAGTAGTTTCCTCTCAGTTTTCATCAAAAATGCTCCAAACCTGCCTCAATGTAACTCCAAAAAGCTGCCTGTACTTCCCCCATAACATTCCCCAAACTGTGTTCTGATATTAAAGAAAAAAATACATAAAAATTAAGAAAATAATTTAAAAATTTCAGTATCTTACCCATGGTATTGTGACCAAAAATGTATGTCATAAAAATACCAATAACAATGCTCTATCCTGTACTATAAAGACACATTTAACATCTCCAGCATACAATTTCTACCTATAAAAATACATTAGAATGAGTAAAATAAGTTTAAGTATACTATCTTAGTGTCTTACTACTATAAACTATTTATATCAAGTCAAAAAATCTTCATAAAATGCTGATAGTAATGACTCTGACCCCTCTAAAGATACTTTTAACACCTCCAGCATACAATTTTACCTTTAAAAATTCGTTAAAATTAGTTAAATGTGTTTAAATAAACCATTTTAGTGTCTTACTAATATACAGAATTCATACTGGGCCAAGAAATCTTCACAAAATGTTGTTCGAAATGCCATGTCCCTGTGGCACCTTGAATGAGGGCCTGCACTTGCTGTAATTCTGCCTTTAAAACTTAATATACATACAGTAAATTAGTTCAGTGACTATTAAAACATATATAATCTTTTAAATATTTTATTAGAATATTTTTAAAAATAATTCAGGAAATAGGCTAGAAAAATATTGTAACCTACAAAACATTTGCTGCTATAAAATGATTAAATTCCATGAGAAAAAAAAACATATACTACCTACAATTTTGCATAAAAATAAACTGTAGAAATTCCAGAATTTTTTGGGAAAGTTCCATGACAAAATGGCCGCTTTGGCGGCAAAACCTCCCCAAAGACTCTTTTGGACTTTTTTCATAAAAAAATCAATTAATTCTCTCTAAAAATAATAGAAACTGTTCAAAACATCCATTAATCTCTTTTTACAATACTTTTGTAGAAAACTCCTGCAAATTTATGGTAAAAATCAGCAAATTTAAAAAGCGCGCCAAAACTGTAACGGCCGTTTTCATAGAACTCTACCAAAAATCCAGGGAAAAACTGGATAAAACCACGAAAAACTATGAAATCCGATCATTAAGAGAAGCATTTCAATAAATTTAGTTCACTTACCTGGATAAAATCGGGAAATATCCAAGAAACGGGAACGACCTTGAACGAAACTTAACATCCACTAAAATAACTGTTTCACGTAAAATTTCCCGAAAAAAATACTTCCACGGGTTACAGGACGCACATTTTACAAAAACACGTAAAAGTTTTAAAGAAAACCTGGAAATATTAGGAAAAAAACTGGAAAAACTGAGGAGCACTTTCGAACGACGCTATCAGTAGAAATTGGCGCTCGTAAATGATTTGATAAATGACAAACTTCACCCTTCACCCCCGCAAAAAAAGTGCGGGAAATTTGGCGAGATTTAAAATAACGATCATTTACAATGTTAATAATCAAAGTGTGGGAAATTCAAATCAGCGGCACTATCTTATTCTTATTAAATAGATATAATGTGATCGGAAAAAAAACTGGCGTCAGCGATGGCTATGAAATGAAAATCGCTGTCATTTTATATTTAAAATTATATGGAGAATGTCATTAATGCTCATTTCCAAGTCAACTGGACTGAGTTTTTTTTCGATCATACGGTATAATATACAATATGATCGAAAAAAAAACGGCGTCAGCGATGGCTGTGAAATGAAGATCGGTGTCATTTTCTATTTAAAATTGTATGGGCAAATCATAGAAGTTCATTTCCAAGCCAACTGGATGCCGACAAATGCTAATCGAGAAAAAAAACGGCGTCAGCGATGGCTATGAAAATCGCTCTCATTTTATATGGACAATTATATAGGCAATGTCACCGATATTCATGTGCAAGCCAACTGGCCGCCGTTTTTTTTTTCGATCATACGGTACAATATGATCGAAAAATAAACGGCGTCAGCGATGGCTATGAAATGACGATCGCTGTCATTTTATATGTAAAATTATATGGGGAATGTCATCGCTGTTCATTTCCAAGCCAACCGGACGCCGTTTTTTTTCGATCATATGGTACAATATGATCAAAAAAAAACAGGGCCAACGATGGCTACGAACTACGAAAATCGCTCTCATTTTATATGTAAAATTATGTATATGGGAAATATAACCGATCGTCATATCATAACCAAGCCAACTGAACGCCGTTTTTTAACATACTATACAATATTATCAAAAAAAAAATGGTGTCGGCGATGGCTATGAAATGAAGCGCTGTCATTTTATATGTAAAATTATATATGGGGAATTTCGTCGATGTTCATTTCCAAGCCAACTGGACGCGGTTTTTTTTATCATAAAATATATACAACATGATCGAAAAAAAACGGCGTCAGCGATGGCTATGAAAATCGCGATAAAATTATATGGGAAATGTAATCGATCGTCATTTCCAAGCTAACTGACGGCGCTTTTTTTCCTATTTTTTTCGATCATACGGAACAATATGATAAAAAAAACAGCGTCATGGCTATGAATGGATATGAAATAAAGATTGCTGTCATTTTCTATTTAAAATTATATGGGCAATGTCACCAATATTCATTTCCAAGCCAACTGGACGCCGTTTTATTTTCGATCATACCGGTACAATATAATCGAAAAAAAACGGCGTCAGCGATGGCTATGAAATGACGATCGCTGTCATTTTATATATAAAATTAAATGGGGAATGTCATCGCTGTTTATTTCCAAGCCAACTCGACCCCGTTTTTTTTTCGATCATACGGTACAATATGATTGAAAAAAAACCGGCGTCAACGATGGCAATGAAAATCGCTGTCATTTTATATGTAAAATTATATGGGGAATGTCATCGCTGTTCATTTCCAAGCCAACTGGACGCCGTTTTTTTATCATACGATACAATATGATCGAAAAAAAACGGCGTCAACGATGGCTATGAAAATCGCTGTCATTTTATATGTAAAATTATATATACATATGAGAAATGTAATCTATCTTTATTTCCAAGCCAACTGGACGCCGTTTTTTTCGATCATATGGTACAATATGATCGAAAAAAAACCTGCGTCAACGATGGCTACGAAAATCGCTGTCATTTTATATGTAAAATTAACGATTGTAAACCAACTGAACGCCGTTTTTTTTTCATCATACGGTACAATATGATAAAAAAAACGGCGTCGGCGATGGCTATGAAATGAAGATCGCTGTCATTTTATATGTTAAATTATAAATTATATGTGTGGGGAATTTCATCGATGTTCATTTCCAAGCCAACAGGACGCCGTTTTTTTATCATACAGTATATACAACATGATCGAAAAAAAAACGGCGTCACCGATGGCTATGAATATAATAAAATTATATGAGAAATGTAATCGATCGTCATTTCCAAGCCAACTGACGGCGTTTTTTTTTCGATCATACGGAACAATATGATCGAAAAAAAAACGGCTCATGGCTATGAAAATGAATGGCTATGAAATGAAGATTGCTGTCATTTTATATGTAAGTAAAATAATATGGAGAATGTTATCGATGTTTATTTCCAAGGCCAACTGGACGCCGTTTTTTACTTTCGATCATATGCTATTATTATTATATTAATAACAAAATAATTAATTTTAGTTAATTTTTTTTTATACATTCTATAATGGAAAATATGACAAAAAAAGCATTCACCAAAATTTCAAAAAAATGTCAATAAAAAAATAAATTTAAATTTTTAATATAATTAATCAATCCAATAAAAAACTTACCTAGGGGGTGAATTCTCCAAGTCTTTCAGCTTATCCTCGATTTCTTTTTCTTGTTCTTTCAACTGGTCCCATTCTTTGGCGAGAGCATTTAAATCCCTTCAAAAAAAATAAAAAAAAAATATAAAAAAAATTAAAAAAAAATGTCTAGTTATATTCTACCTGGTACCACTTCTATACGTAAATTCTTGGTTAAGATCCCTCTTTTCTATGCTGTTTACTTCCTGGACTTTATCGTGAATCTCCTGCATAGCATCTTTGACTCGGTTTAGCTCAAACTGATTTGTTTTTAATTTTTCCTGAAAAAAAAATAAAAATGAAAGGCAGACTGTTAAAATCATTATAAGAATTATTTAATATGATTTTACATGGCTTAAAACTTGTAAATTTGGTAGTTCTATTACTTTAAAAATTTCTAGATAATATACATTGTTTTATCACTCTATATGTGTTTTCAAACACATACAGGGTGATTCAAATATACTTTACACAGTACTTACCTGTAAAGCTACCACAGACTTCAAATGTAAAATCTGCTTCTCCTTCACATGCTTTTCCTGTAATTTTATCACCCATTCCAATGCTTGTCCAAGACTAACAGGCTTGTTACCAGCATAGTTAAAGTCCAACTGATGTGACAAATAAGATGTTGCTTCTAACAGTCTATTAAATTCTCTCTCAACCATTTCATCTTTATCTTTATCAACTGTCACACCGCAAGAGTGATATAAGGGACACTTTTGTCTGATTCTGTGTAGTTCCATGTCAATTTGCTTGCTCAGGGTTGTCACAGGGTTGCCACCCAAACCTGTCACTACCATAGCTCCTAAATCCGCTATGTAATTACCTTTTCTAAAGGTAGCAATACGGCCTCCAACCCTGTCTCTCGCTTCCAGAACTATAACTTCCAGACCGAATTGTTGAAGCTGTTGGGCGGCTGCTAGACCGGCTATGCCTGCCCCTATTACTATAACTTTTCCGTATTTCTTACTGGGAATTGGTTGTAACCTATCAAAAATTATCTTTAATTTAAAAAAAATCTTTTAAAAACTTGACAAACCTTTTAAAAATTCCAAAATTAATAAACCCGTTTCGTTCCAGAAAAGCATGCACTCTCTTCAATAAAGGTAAATCGCTATTATAAGGAGACTCCATATTTTTAATAGCATCATCCAAAATAAGCTGTTGCTTTGGATTGTCCAGCCACATTTTCAAAATACGGTTTCGTATATTTAAATAGACTTTCACAGTTTGCAAGGCAGCTCCAGCAATGTCTGTAAAAACATTAATATACACTATTTCGTTTATTTAAAAGTGATTTATATAAATACCAGGAAAACATGCCGCTTCAGTTGATGTAAGTTTATCAAACGGCATCCTGCTTTGAAACGCAGCACCGTCTAAGCCAGAAAACAAGTCTTTTATAATGGGATCATCTAATTCTGAGTCATTTTCCAGGTCTTTTTTCTTATCTTCATCCTTTTCCTTAAAAAAAAATAATATTAACTAAATTTATACAACATGTTCAAAAAAAACAGCATTAGCGTTGGCTACAAAATGAAGATCGCTGTCATTTTATACGTAAAATTATTGGAAAATGTCATCGATCGTCATTTCCAAGCCAACTGGACGCCGTTTTGTATTTGATCACACTTTTTATAAATCAGTCAAAACTTTACCTTCTTTATGTCATCCTTCTTCTCCTTCTTTGCAGTACCCCTGCTAGAACCCACGCCTGTCTTTTTCTCGTTGGGTGATGTCTTGGGCTTTTCTGAAACCTCTGAACCTCCCTCATCGTCATTCGTGTTAAACTTTTCATCTTTTTCTTCTTTCAGTTCAACCTTTAATTAAATACCAATAAATAATCTTCTATACTAGTCTCTATCTCTTTCTAGATATTACAAATTTAGTTCTAAGAACTAAAGAACTTAAAAATTCGACTACTTCTTCACGTGTTAATGTTTAAAGTAATTGTTTACAATAATGCAACACGCTTTTCATGGATTATTTACTTAAATGTCGATATATTCGACTTACCTTGACCTTCTTCCTGCGGCTCATTTTTTTGAAAATCAATTAGAACAGCAATAAACTAAAAAATCTTTGTTTTTCCCCAGAAAATTTGATTTTCCGGTAGATTCGGCTGTTTTGTTATGATTTTAACGAGGTTATGTTCTGTTCTGTGGTTTGTTGTCAAATCAAAAATGATTGTATATCTGGTTATCTATCCTCAAGGGTATTAAACACAAGATGGGTGTACATTGCTGGTTGCCTATACTTGTTAAAGGTTTTGATCAGAGAATAGGTTTTGATTATATTCAAATTTTTCTACATAAAAATTATTATTTTCCTGTTATATTTATACAAACTTCTGTATAATAAGTCATCTAATATTAGAAAAATTTTATAAAGTCTTTGATTTTATTAACGTACTTACATATTATAAAAAGATAAAAATTTTATTGCTTCTTTTTTTTAATACAAGGAAGACAACCTTGTTACAAAATTGAGCAGTTTGTATTTAAACTTAATCGAAATAAATTGTGCACAGTGTCAAGGCAATCTACAGTTATATAAACTTGCTCTAAAAGATTTTAAAGACATATACTCACTTTCTTATACTTCTTTTCTTATTTGATGTTAAATTTTCCCGATTATAGAAAATATTTGCATATTAACATTCTTATGAAGTTATAACATTCATCTTAATTACAGAGGTATTTCTATAATTGGATGTGGAATTTCAGTATCATTTTGAACCTAGGTACTAAATTAACATCTTTATGGTTCATGAATATTGCTAACTTCGTGCAACCACAATAATAAGAATAATTAGGTATAGAAAAATCTTGTTTAAAATCAAATTATTTTGTAATCCACAGCAAATCTCAATATGGAAACTCAATTATGTAGGTATCTTATTATCTTATTGTTTATATTTAGTAAAAAAACTAAATAACAGTAAATACAATGTCCTTTGATTGACTTCCTCGTGTAAAACAATGAAATTATAGTATTTACCTTCGATTTAACATTGAATATTATTATTCTGGTCAAGAAATATGTTATCACTGAAGTCCTTTGATTATAAAATACTTGGTATATTCGCATGGTCAAACAAATCAGTTTGTTAATCTTGTTTTATTATTAGAATTATAATAACTAAGTTTATATCTTCATTTAAGAAAGACGGTTTAAATATGAACTGTACAAAATCAGCGTCAAGTGGCCTGTGAAGCGACACTGGCTAAAAATTTCTATCAGGTCGATCTCTATATGTACCTAATTTCGAAGAAAATTGCTATGAAAATTATCAAAAATGAATATTTAAATTTAAAAAACTAAATGTTTAGAGACACAGTAATTAATCGGTTTTTTTTGTTTCAAAAAACTGATTTTTACTGAACAGATTTTTTTTCAATTTATTGTATCAATTTTGTATTAAATGACATATGTATAAGGATCAGTTTGACGGAAATAATCAGCAATTTTCTATTCAGAGGTCACTGTGACACCATTTTTTTTTGATCGAATGATATTGATATAAAACGTCGCTGATTATAACACACACAGTACGACCGGTAAAAAAAAAGTTGATTTGAAAATGACGATCGATGACACTCACCATTTAATTTTACATACAAAATGTGGCAGCATTCTTCGTTTCAAAGCACACTGTGACAACGATTTTTTTTTAATTGTATAGTATTTTTTAAATAATATAAAATTTATTATATAGGGTGCTTACATTTCTTAAAAGTATCTTGTGACCAAATATACTAGTAAATTTAAATAGACTCTAAGTAACAAAATATTTATTACAAAAATAAAATGCCATTGAAATGGCATGTAGAATATAAGCCCTATTATCTATTTGTGCCTATTAAGTTTATTTCTGCGAGACAATAAGGACCCAAGAAACCATTTTGTAACAATTTGACACAACTGGTGTTTAAATTGAAAAGAATATAACTGAAGATGGAGGGATTTTAGGCTCACGAGGCAAATTCAAGGCTAATTTTAACCAATATTAACACTCTAGGCTAAATATATTAAAACATATCTTTAGTATACTGTCATGGAAACCTTAGAAGATGATTGCTTTACAAAAAAAAATAATAAGACACTTTTTTTCATATATTTTTTTCAACTTGGAGATTCCCACAGATTTGTTTATCAATAGTCTGATATGTGGTTTTTCCTAACCAAATTTCAAGAAAAAAAACGGTTTACCAATGTTCTTAAAAATAAACAAAATATATTATTTTTATTTACTCTTTTGAGGGCTGTAACTGCTGCGGGAAGCATTTTAGAGCATAATATGTTCATAGGAACTTGTTTTATTTGTATCAGTATATGGTGTGGTTAAGCTAACCTAACCCTACCGAAGTTAGATACACTATTTCTTTGACACCCTGTATCTCCGATCTAGCATTTATAGATATCCTATATTCTATAAGCAATATATTTAGATATCCAGCATTTTAGGACATACATTTTTAGGAACTTTTTTACTTATTTTTATCTGGCATTAGTTTTCCAAATACAATTCGGACCACCCTGTATATCCTCCTGAATTTTAATAGTTCAATAGTCTCAGTATTTTTCATTTTTCGTTGGTAAATATACAAGAATTGTTTTATTAAAAAATAATGCAAAGATGAGAGACACAAATAAACTCAAATAATTTACCGGTACAGAACGTTACATATAAATAAAGGTTGTACTGGGGTACTGAATTCAGTCCGTTTAAAATCATACACCGTCGCGCAGTACAGCACTAAATCAAATTTAAATCTCTTAAATCGATTTTTAGATAATTTTCAAATTCAAAATGACGGTTAGGAAGAAAAGTATCGACAATTCCTTGGACGCGATTTTGTACAATTTGAGCGATTTTGGAAAATACCAAATTTATGTTTTCGGTTTAGTATGTGTAGCGGTGGTTTTGCATTCAATGGTTCATATAGTATATGTTTTCACCGCTATGGACTTAGATTACAGGTATTTTTAGTATTTGTTCTTGTTAAATTGTTACAAAAAAGAGTACAGTTCGATCATAAATGCATGCATAATTATGCAGTACTATGATATTGCACTTTTCATTGGAGATATTCGTTATACTCTATGTCTTCCGATTGTCTTTACAAGAGGAATCTTTTTTTATTAATAATTCATTAAAAAACTTTGGTTGTTCTAAAATGGTTAATTCCATTTGTGCTTTTCAAAATTTCCATACTGTTTCAAAGAAAATAAAATAACATGATTTTTTTCTAAGGTTACCATGACGTTGTATTTTATTGGAACAAATTGTTATTGTTTATCTTAGTGTCTTCTCTTCAGATAATTGATTTTTGAGGATATATAAAATAAAAAGAAAATTCTAGATTTTTTACAGATTTTCGAAAAATTTGAAATACATTGAAGAATCCTGTGATCATTTTTTAAAATTATTATAAAAAAATTCTAAATAAAGACTTTTAAAAAAATTAGCGCCTGGAGGCACGTATAGCCGCCCATACTATAATATGTTAATAAAAAGTTGGTAGGCAGTTCTTTTAGTTTCAAAGTAAAGAAATTTTTTCAATTTTTTTTATCTCAAAAACTGCGACTTTGATTTTGATTTTATTACAAATTTTGTTGCAAATATTATTCCTAATCTTAAATTGAAAACCGCGTTTCGCTATCTACTGTAATTTTGGAGTTACAATTTTTTTAAATTTTTAATCCTCTCCCATACCCCCTTACCAACCCCCACCCCCACCAAAAACTAATGGCCAGATTCTCGGGTGCCACAGTATTTGTGTGCCAAATTTGGTTAAAATCGGTTTAGCGGTTTTTGAGTTATCGTGTGTTACAGACGGACAGACAGACAGACAGACACCATGAAAATATTTTGTATTTAGGCCATTTATGACCCAAATAACTCATTTTGAGTGAAATTAAAAAAAATTCTTTTTTGCCGATCTTAATAGCCTACCATACCTGTTGGTATGGTCGGCTAAAAATTTTGGAAATATATATTTTTGACAAGTTTTATGTCAGTTTTTAGTAAATAACTTCTAGAGATTGGCTTCGCAAAAATTATCATCGATTGTCATTCCCTAACTGTTTCTGACGCCGTTTTTTTTTTCAATCATACGGTATGATTAGAATAACCCCTATAATAATAACATACCTTCTAATATACAGGGTTGTTCACCACATACGACACGGAGTATTGTAGCTAAACGATGAGATTTTTACAAATTGTAAGTTTGGGGTTCGTTGAAGGACTATTAGAGCTACAATTTAAAAATATTTTTACAAGATATAGAGTGTCCCAAATAAATAAAAAATATCAAAGTTGAATTTTTTTAAATGGAACACCCTGTATATTATTACATTTTTAGTTTCTACGATTAAAACAAAGGTAAATTTGATTAAGGTTTATTATACTTAAACCTTACCGTTTTTGAAATATTTTCAATTTTGTGAAATTGCAGTAAAAATTTTAAAGCTTCATTTCTCCAAGGGTATCAATGTTTCTAATACTAAATATTTAATGAAGTTTATTTATTGATCAGTTATTGTGTTGCAATAATAAAAATAATACTACCTTATACAGAGTGTCTAAAAATTTATTTTAAATAATTATTAGCTTACAGTTGAGGGTTGGTTTGGATGCAGATGATAGCAGATGATTATAAACTAAAGTTTATAACTCAAATTTATAACCTGCTGATGATGCTAACATGGTTAGCGAAACGCGCGTCCAGTGTAAAAGTAAAAGTGTTTTGGTGTATTGTGGTGATTTAGTGTTTTTAATTATTAGCTTTAAACGGCAATAACTTCTTTAATTTAAATGGAATGCCCTGTATATTTTAGGAGAATCAGATGCACAATTAAATTGTCTATCAAATTGTATTATACCATTTTTTACCTATCCCTTCAAGTTTTTGTAGAAAATGTATTTTCTTATAATTTAGACCTCATTTATCAATATATCCATGGAATATTGACATTTTAGATTGTTTTTAAAATGTACAATGTATGTAAGAGACTAGTAATATTATCCTTTTAGCAAAACGATAATATTACTAGCCCATTTGTATGCAAAAAGAAAACTATTTAAATCTTTATAAAAGAGTATACCATTAATTAAATATAACACCATTATTTCCGCCCATATATTAATTAATTACATACTTAATTGTGTTCGTTAATAAATTATTATAAATAAATGTGGATTTGAGTCAGAAATCAATATAATAATAAGTTATCAATATCATGTTGTTATAAATAAGTTTATTAAAAATGAAATATCATTTTTGTTATTTTATCACACTGTCTAATGCCCATACAAAATTCAGTTTTTAGTATTTGGAGCAATTATTATTAATCAACGCAAACAGTCAGTTAATGTAGTTTGAATACTGGAATCATATTAATTGATCCTCTTTAACAAATATTTAAACAGTTTTTTTATTTTTTAATGAAATAAACAAATTATATCGACAATATTAGTATCTGTACTCTTTAAAAATTTGGTACATCTTTAAAAATAATCTAAAATGTCAATAGTCCATGGGTATATTGATAAATAAGTTCTAAATTACAAGAAAATGCATTTTCTACGGAAACTTAAAGAGATAGGTAAAAAATGGTATAAAATAATTTGATAGGCAATTAAATTGTGCATCGCATTCTCGTAAAATATACAGGGTGTTCTATTTAAATTAAACAAGTTATTGCCGTTTGAAGCTAATAATTATTTAAAATAAATTTATAGACACTCTGTATAAGGTAGTATTATTTTTATTATTGCAACACAATAACTGATCATAAATAAACTTCAGTAAATATTTAGTATTAAAAACTTTGATACCCTTGGAGAAATGAAGCCTTAAAATTTTTACTGCAATTTCACAAAATTGAAAATATTTCAAAAACGGTAAGGTTTAAGTATAATAAACCTTAATCAAATTTACCTTTGTTTTAATCGTAGAAACTAAAAATGTAATAATATACAGGGTGTTCCATTTAAAAAAATACAACTTTGATATTTTTTACTTATTTGGGACACTCTGTATCTTGTAGAATTATTTTTAAATTGTACCTCTAATAGTCCTTCATCGAATCCAAAACTTACAATTTGTAAAAATCTCATCGTTTAGCTACAATACTCCGTGTCGTATGTGGTGAACAACCCTGTATAATTATTTTTGATTAATTATATAGAGATTTATATCAATTTATTACAGAATAACATGCATTAGTAGAATCGCGGTATTTTTTTATTCATGCATACATATAATTTAATTAATGTTATTGTGATTATACCTGGTTTTGATTTGATTAAACTATTAATTTGTGGAATATATACCTATTTATAAAAAAACATGGAAAAACCATAGTAGGTAAAATATATGTTAGGTAATTTTAGTTAAAACTCTGTTTATTTATAAAAGAACCCTGAATATTAAAAACTGAGTTTTCTGAGATTGTTGGTTAATTTTTGTAGACAATTGTTAAAATCATTTAGTTAAAAATAATGGACTTTTTTGTTTAAACTATTTATGGCACTAAACATTCATATACAGTGTCCTCAATTGAACAGCTAGAAAAACTTCTTTCATCATGCATTATCGTTAACTATACTTATTTCTTTTAACTTTGATAACAAACAGATAACAGATAAAACTCATTGAAGAATGTTTTGAGGAACCACCATTTTGTGTGTAATTAACAAACTTTAAGTAAATAAATTTTTCATATACAGGGTGGTCCGAACTGTATTCCGGAAACTTCGGCAGCATAATATTCTGCAGATAAAAATAAGTAAAAAAGTTCGTATAAAAAAATCACGGAAATATATATTGTTTTACTCAGTAGTCTTATACAGGTACGGACGAAAAGTTATTACTCTTGAAACCAGTTTAAACCTTAGACAAGGAAAGAAAGGGGACAGGTAACACGGCAGCTGAAAGTGAGGCAAGTTGTCGCCACGCGAAATTCTCCAATGGCGTAGCATCAGAAATTAGTTTGTACCTAGACGGTACAAAATATTTACTAAAACGTAAACTAATATATCGTTCATTTTTGAGTAATGCATATACAATTTTGTATTTTATAGTCTCACCTTTATAAATAATATATTTTCCATATTTGATAACAATACTTTATACATTTTTTTACATGTAAAATATATAAAAAAATGTTTATTGCAGAAATTGTATTTCTCTGATTATAGTTCCCTACGCCACTGGTGACATCCGGTCTAAGTAGCAATATTTATAGTTTCAAACATTAATTATAATACAGGATATTGAAAATACTACTTGGAATTATTAAAAATAGTTTGGTTTGGATGTGGTACAAGACATATTAAAAGCATATTACATATTTTTACTGCTATAATGAAAAAAATGTACATTTTATGACCACATAACAAAAGTTGTGTATCGATTTTTACCTGTGAAATGTAATTCCAGCCACTTTTTTCTCGCTTCGGCCTTTGCAGCCATACTCTGAACATCTCACCATACTAAACAACACAGTTTATAAATTTAAAACAAAACATTGTCACAAAAAAACATAAAAAATCGCTCGGTGTCACCTCGAAATCTTGTCACCAAAGTATGGCCGCCGATCGAATTTTCGCCTCACTATCCGATCACGGGTGAATATGCGTGTTACCCATCCTCTCTCTTTCCTTGTCTAAGGTTTAAACACATGTAGGTGGCGCCCCCTACAAATAAGAGTCATATTGACATTAAAACCAAATAATTTCTCACATCAAAAAACTCCCAGACACCAATTTTCATCGAAATATTGACATTACTTCATAAAATATTTAAAAAAAATCGAAATAAACATGAAACTTCTACACCCTGTATCTCCAAAACTAGGCATTTTAGAACATTTATATTTATACGAACTTTTTTCCTTATTTTTATAATATGCTGCCGAACTTTCCGAAATACAGTTCGGACCACCTTGTATTTTAAGAACCTGCTATTGGAGATTTGGACTGCCTATACAGGGTGAATCTTAAATATGTTCAAATAATTTCAGGGCTGGTAGATATCGATCAAAGGAACATACATATCTAAAACAACCGAGTTATTTTACTTTGAAAATTTCCAAAAAAATTGATTTTTTGCTAAAATTTTGAAAATCACTGGATCTTTTTTGGATTTTCTTTCTTGTAAATTTAATCTACTACTGTGCTACTGCCTATGTTGCCATATTAGAAACAAATTATGTTTTTTAACTAAGAACTAAAAAAAAATCCAAAAAATTTAAAATTTTTCAAAACTTTATAATTGTTTCTGGGGTCGAAATATACTACCCCGAAAATTATTTGCACTTATTTAAGACTCATCCTGTATATCCCTAAATGCATTATCATTTGACTTTCACAAAATCCCAGAAAGGGCACGAGAAGGGTTAAAATTACCCTCATCCCTACATAAATTTTACTAGAAATGTTTTGCAGCTTCAAAGACTACTGATATATATTTTTTTCTTAGATAGGCCCTTCTAATATTTTTAGGTCCCATTTAAGGAAAGATATGATATTTATATCATTGTTATTAACACATATTCTGAAAGTTCTAAATATCAAGCTACAAGGTGTAAAAATAATACTCTCCTAAATATTCTTCCTGTATAACATTTCTAACAAACATTTGACGTAATTATTCAAAGAATCAGTGTCTTTACTTTATTAATGACGTATATACAGGAATTTTAAATGTCCTAATGGTATCAAACCATTCAAAATATAAGGATTGAAATGTTCAGCACGTACTTTAATAAGACAATTTTGTAGAATGTAATGACTTGCGGAAGTACTTATGATTTTATTCAATCAGAAAATAGATGTATGTGTTTATCGAAAAAAATAACATGCGTAGGGACAGAGGACGTCATTTAGTGTACAGTTTGTCTAGAAATAATTTAGACATCAGTGACAAGAAAATAAAGAGGCAAACTAATATACAGGGTGTCAGAAAAATTTCTCACTCACTTTCACTTTTTCACTTTCAATCTCTTTTTTCATTTTAATCTATAGAATCACCCACCAAAGTTAGATACACTATTTTTGGACACCCTGTATATAACAACGATAATTTCTAATAATTGCATCTATCTATAATATATGTTTATAAGTAACAATATTTCTTTTCTTTTATATTGACTATACTTGAACTAGAAAAGTTGCTCTTAGCCATGATCTAAATTTCCTACTTTTTCCCACTTGAGAGCCATTGAAAACAAAATGATAAAATAATATCATTAAAGATGGCTTTGAATCAACACTATACTGTATTAAACAATTTTATGTACTTGTTTTGCAATTACTGTTTTAAGTTGTTCATAATAACAATTTTGATAATAAATTTTTAGGGCAATTTTTTAATTTATCCAGTTAAATATAATAAAATTTTCCATTAACGTTTGAAAATTAAACATTCACTGTAGATTATATGTCATCTTGAAGTAGAAAATCTTTTAAATACATTTTTCCTACTTGATAACAATGAAAAATATTAAGATAAAATAAAATCATTGAAAATCTCTTTGAACAAACATTTTTATTTGTTTAAAAATTTGTTTTATTTACTACGTATTGTTTGTAATAGTAATGTTTCGGATTTTTTTTTGGTTTTTGATTTAAGATTTAAGTGGTTAAGTTTCCAAAAATAACTTTGTTAACTCTAGTTTTACCCTAATACATTTTATTCTTAGATGTAAAGTTCCTAGTTGTGACCACCCAGAAGACTTAACATATAAACAGCCATGGTTGAAGAATACCATACCATTTGACGATGACAGCCCAGAAAAATGTTCAGTGTACCAACTTAAACCAAATCACACGGAACCAAATCAGAACTGCACGGGGGATGTATTTGACAAAAAAGTCATCGAAAAATGTGACGACTTTATTTATGACGGAGTTGAAAAAACAATTTTGCAGGAAGTAAGTTTATTATACAGAGTATCTCATATACGAGCCCTAACAACTATATGTTGGAACAAGGTCATATTTTGGAATTATTTGGTTTTTCAAAATGACTGAAAAATATATGTTTAATTTTTTAAATATAAACATAGCCATATATCCTAAACAACTTGACAATATTTTTATGAATTTGTAAATCAATCCATATTTACAGTAGCGGATTTTGTTCATAAAAGGACAAATTTGCTGACAACTAAATGTTGGGACAAGTATTTTTAAATAATTAATATCATCATAGGCGGCTTTGCTATAAACGTCACAAATGTCGCAAACTGTTTACTTCAGCATTGACAGCTTGTAAGTGACTCGATACTTTGAGTAGTGAGATTTACTGTAAGTAATTTTTTTTTTAATTTTCAATTTTGTTAATTTAATTGAAAGTAGTAAAAACTACGCGAAATTATCATTCGTTAATACAGTACGGGAAAAACAATTCGAAAAATTTCTGATGATTTAAGTTTTCCAAAAACCACGGTCTTTAATATAATAAAAAAATAGGGCGAATCTGCCAATGTAGACGTTAGAGGTAAAAGTTCGGGAAGGCCAAAAACTGTATCTCAGAGATATTTACGAAATATATTAAAAATTTGCAAGTCTGCGAGAAGAAGTACTCTTCGCGAAGTAACAGTTAAATGGAATACTGTAACTGGTTTAAATATATCAAGAGAATGTTGCCGAAAATATATTCATAAATGCTGTCTGGGGTTTTACAAGGTAAACTTTATTTTGTGTGGATAATCAATTACCTGAAGATTATTGATACAAATTCTTATTTAGGCCAAAGAAAAACCGCTACTGACAGAAATTCAAAAGAAAAATCGCTTCAATTGGGCAAAATCTAAATTATCGTGGACACAAAATGATTGGAATAAGGTCATATTTAGCGATGAGTCTAAATTTGATGTTTGCGTTGGAGATAATCGAAAACGAATAATACGAAATAAAGCAGAAGCCTTTCATAAAGATTGCTTAAAGAGGATTGTTAAATTTCCTAAGGGGATTATGGTCCGGGGTTGCATGTCAGCAAGAGGTTTGGGTAAATTGAATTTTATAGATGGCACTGTTAACGCCCAAAAATATGAACATATACTTGAGACCTCACTTTTGCCCAGTGCTCAAGAATTGTTTCCAAACGAAGACTATATTTTCCAACAAGATGGAACATCGTGCCATTCAGCAAAATCAACTAAAAATTGGTTCGGTAATAATAATATAAAAGTTCTATCCCATCCTGCAAGTAGTCCGGACCTCAATGTTATAGATATTGTGTGGCATAAAATGAAGCAATATTTAAGAAACCACCCTCAACGAACAATTTTTGATTTGCGGACAAAACTGCAGGAAATTTGGGATAATTTTTCTCCTCAAATGTGCCAATCTTTGGTAAATACAATGCCATTAAGAGTTCAGGCAGTTGTTAAGGCGAAAGGTGATGTAACTCCGTATTAAACAAATTTCTCGTTGTGCTGTCCCAATATATAGTTATCAGCAAATTTGGCTTGATTTTGGCAAAATAAGCTATTATCAAAAGGGATTTGTTTGCAAAGTTTAAAAATATAGTAAAATTGTCTAGATCATATTGTAATGTTTGAATTTAGAATAATAAACAAAATAAATTGAGTCGTTTTAAGAAATTACTATATTTATTACAGTTGAGGGTTGGAACCTTTGGTGTTAAACAGCAAAATAAAAACACTAAATCACCACAATACACCAAAACACTTTTACTTTTACACTGGACGCGCGTTTCGCTAACCATGTTAGCATCATCAGCAGTTGATTATAAACTAAAGTACAATCTACAAGTTGAGCGTTTATATACGTTTGTTTTGGTGTATTGTGGTGATTTAGTGTTTTTATTTTACTATATTTATTGCAAAAAAAGACCTTGTCCCAACATATAGTTGTTAGGGCTCGTATAAGTGCATATACATAAAATTTTGAGAACCACTGGATTTTTTCTATCTTCTTTCCTCTAAAGCCCCCCAGCTTTTTTTAATTAAAAATTCAAAAAAAAAGAATAAAAAAAACTGTAATTATTTAATTTTAATTTCGAAAATATGCGTTCAAAGACTTCTATCCCCGATTAATAAACAACAAATTATACAGTAAATTCCAAAATACAGTATTGTTTAAATTAAAAAAAAATCGGATTTGCCTCATTAGTCGCATTATTTCTAGTTTCTAATTGTGTTTATTTTATTAATGTACAATATTGTTATGTCATTGTTTAGTTCGGCCTTCAATGTGATGAGAATCTATGGAAATTAGCCATGGTAGGGACAGTGAACAGCGGTGGCCAATTTGTTGGACTCATAATTTCCGGGTTTATATCAGACAGGTAAATTAAAACATTTCAAAACATTATAAGATTTAGTTGAACTATATCCAGTGGCGTAGCAAGGCGGGGGCTGAGGGGGCGGGCCGCCCCGGGCGGCTACCCTCCAAGTATCTACGGGGCGAGAAAAAATTGTTATAAAGGCCGGCGGACAGATTCTATAGGGGCGGCAAACCTCTCTCCTAGAGGCTTTCCGCCCCGGGCACATAGGAAATAATATATTACAGTTGAGGGTTGGAACCTTTGGTGTTACACAGCAAAATAAAATTACACTAAATCACCACAATACACCAAAACTCTTTTACTTTTACACTGGACGCGCGTTTCGCTAACCATGTTAGCATCATCAGCAGATTATTATAAACTAAAGTACAATCTACAAGTTGAGCGTTTATATACTCGCCCAGTAGGTACCGAGGGGGCGTGGCAAAATCTAGCCAACCGAGTCAGAGCCAACTGAGCGTAACAGTTAATTTCCGTCACTAGAGTAGTAGGAACAAAGAACTTGAAGGAATTGGACCGATGACTCTGTTCATACTATCTTTACATTTATTAATTCTGATGCTTTCCTATGCATCTAATTGCCTGTAATTTGAGACTTGTTTAATTAATTTTAAATTATTAAGATCTATACAATGGTCTTTATCAACAAAATGTTCGGCAACGCAAGATTTATCCGGTCTACCATATCTTATCTGAGCTAAATGTTCTTTAAATCTAGTTAATATCGATCTTCTAGTTTGCTCAACATATTTCTGATTACAATCTTACAAGAAATTTCATAAATACCCGACCTTTCCAGTGGAGGTGTTTTATCCTTTGTATTGCCTAATAATTGTTGTAATTTATTATTAGCACTATACACAAGTTTATAATTGACATTCTTAAAAATTACTTTTAGACCACAGGATAACTCTCTATCAAACGGTATCGAAAAATATTTAGACGTATCTTCCTCCACTTGAAAAGTCGAATTTTCAGGAAATCATTAAGCTATACCTACGTTTTCTAATTAATTTATCAACTAGTGAAGGAGAATATCCATTACACTCAGCTACATTCCTAATGTAATCTCTTTCTATTTCATTTCTTTCGTTGGAAAGTGGGAAACTAAGTAATCTATGAACTAAGAAATTTAAACTAGCCATTTTATGTTCAACACTATGATGTGATTCATTAGGAATATATCAGCGTGTGGTATTTTTCCTATAGATATCAAATTCCACGCAATTATTAGTATTTCTAATAACTAATACATCTAGAAATGGTAATCTGTCGTTGTTCTCAATTTCATGCGTAAATTTAATGGAAGGAAAACGATTATTTAACTTAGAAATAAAATTATCTATGGTGTCTCAATGTGTGTCAAAAACAACAAAAATATCATCCACATACCTAACCCATACTCTTGGAAAATACTTAAACTGATTCTTAGCTTCCACTTCAAACCTGCTCATGAATAAATTAGCCAAAAATGGAGACAATGGATTACCCATTGCTGTACCTTCCCGCTGTTCAAAAAAGTTGTTATTAAATTGAAAACAATTTTGTTTCATACATAACGATGTAAGCTCAATATATTCAATCACAGTTTTGTTGTCGAGACCATTTGCGTTCAGTAATTCCTTCAAGTAGCCTAAAGTATGTGGAATTGGAACACTTGGGAACAACGAAGATACATCAAAGGACAAATAATATACATGTACTGATTTCTTTCGAAAATCGACATCTATGACACTATGAACCCTTCCTGGATACAAACGGTACATTGTAAGACAGGAAATTGTAGAGAGAAACAAGCCCTATAACATAGGATACAACATTTTAATGAACTGTGCTCTCCATAAAATCAATAAAATGAAAAATATACGAAATAATATACATGTACTGATTTCTTTCGGAAATCGACATCTATGACACTATGAACCCTTCCTGGATACAAACGGTACATTGTGAGAGAGGAAATTGTAGAGAGAAACAAGCCCTATACTATATCTAAAAATTATGGTAAACTAAAAACTAACTAAAAATGTGTCTGTGATTTTGTGTTAAGGTGCGTATTCGTTATCCGAACGAATGAACGAACGGATGGACGGTGGACCGAACGCATGCGGTCGTTCGTTTGTTCGTTCGCTCGGCCATCCGTTTCGAGTCGGTACATCAAAGGCGTTCGCAAACGAATGGGTTAAGGTGTTTTCGTTTGGTTCTAAAATCCGGTCCCGTCCATACTACTACCGAACGAACGAATGAACATTCGTTCGTTCGTTCGGACAGTGAATACGCACCTTTAAGAGTCTATTTCGCTGTACTGTTCGAGTAAATTTACTCCAAACATAAGGAATATTTTGTTGATGTTTGACCACCAAAATTTTAAAAATAAAGAAGTTGTCTAAAAATGTGCTACAATACGGATATCTTTAATTTCCTTCTTCATTTGTGTAAAAATACCTATGTCAGTTTTACATTAAATGCCGAACGCTTATTTTGCTACTTTTTTGGACTAGTAAAATGAACACTTAAACACCAGTGTAAACACATTTCTGAAATTCTTTATATAATTCTATTTTTTAATTGAAACTGACAATATAATCAAACGTTATAACGAAACTTTTATTGTAGATATGGTAGGAGGTGTCTTCTAGTATGGGGAATGGTCATCTGCGCTTTATGTGGATGCCTTAAGGCTTTTATGCCTACTTACAAGCTCTTCCTTTTGATGGAATTCTTGGACGCAGCTTTTGGCTCGGGAAGCTATATATGTGGTTTCGTTTTAGGTAAAAAAAATATCTTCTATTAAACATATACACCGTGTGTATCAATAAAAACAACTGAAATATATTCGAAAAAAAAAGTGTGAGACACTGATGGGATATTTTTTATTTGACTATTTTTTTAAAACAAAAACATTTCTGTAGGTATTGTTTGTGTCATGAACAAAGGTCTTTACCAACTTTCTTACTTTAAATGCAACATCCTGTATATTATTCAATTTTCGGATTCTTAAAAAAATTCATGTACAGGGTGTACCAAATTACTACCAAAAAAAAAGAGTTCATTTTTATGACTCTGGATAGATATAACAAAGAAAATCTCATTGCTACTTGTTCTACAAGATGGCGTTATCCAATTTTCAAACCAACGCGACGCGTTTCTTCTTTTAACTACCACCATCAAAGCTATTTTTACAAATGCGAATTATATTTTCAAAAAGCTGATGAAAGACTATTTAGGAAGAAAGTTGGTGTTTGTCATCGTTATAGGTATGGTACACAATAACTCAAAATACCAACAATACAATACAAACAATAAATTAAAATAAGTAATAATAACTGTATGTTTAAAACAGGTGTAGAACTAGTAGGACCTAAGAAACGTGTTCTAACAGGAACCCTAACAAGTTGCTGCTACGCAATTGGTGAAATTCTAGTTGCCATAGCTGCCTGGATTGTAAAAGACTGGAAGTAAATCTTTTCATATTTTAAGCTACTCTCCTAATAATATCTAAAAATATAATATTTTTCCAGGCTTCTTCTCTTGGTAACCTACAGTCCATCCCTACTTTTAGTCGCATACCTCTGGCTGATTCCCGAATCAATCAGATGGAACTTGAGCAAAGGTCGTGTAGATGAAGCCAAAAAAACTCTAAGAAAACTAGCCTCGGTAAATGGGAAAGAAATCACCGAAAAAGAATTGGAAACTCTGGATTTCGTGGAAATCGAACGTCAAGAATCAAATGAAAGCCTGGAAAAGTCCGGGGGTATTATGGAGGCTGTCAAATCAAGTGTTCTGATGTTTAGACTGGTTGCCTGTTGTTTTTGCTGGATAACGTGTGCCTTTTTGTTTTATGGATTGACATTGAATTCCGTGGCATTGAATGGGAATCATTATTTGGACTTTATACTTACAGGTGATGTTTATTTTTTTATAAAAATCTAACAGATGGGGAAAACATTTTATTTCGAGTGTTACTATGTCTGTCATTGAAGTTCTTGATATGAAGAGTGATTCATTTTACAAAAAAAAAACTTTATAAGTAAATGCCTTTATTGTCAAAAAATTTTACAATTTGTAGACAAAGGTAAAGTATATAATAATAGCAAACATTAGACCAGTGTTTACAAGATCAAATTCGATTATCAAAATATAAGTCATTGACGGCGTAGAAAGCCTTGTCTAGTAAATAAGATTTCAATGCTTTCCGAAATGAAGAAAATGATGTTATGGATTTGATCTCAAATGGCAGGTGATTGTGTATTTTTTTCGAGTTGTATAATATTAAACTTTTAACTAACTCTGGGCATGGGGTAGGTAGATAAATGTCTTGCTCCGCGTTCCTGAGTGGATAAGTGTGAGATGGCCTTTCTTGAGAAGCTGATACATGCTTACGTATTAGGCAAACGGACTCAAATATAAATAAGGAAGGAAGAGTTAATATTTTTAATTTTTTAAAAAAGTCCTGGCAATGAGTTCTGCTGTTTAGTCCCAGTGAATATCGAACAGCTCTCTTCTGGAGCTTGAAAATGCGGTCAAATTGAGTCGCACAACACGTACCCCAGAATGAAAAGGCATATCTGAGGTGCGACTCAAAAAGTGCATAATAAACAGTTCTAGCCACTGACAAGTTAAGCTCCTTAGAAACAGATCTTAATGCAAAACAGACAGAGCTCAAGTTTTTCGACAAAGCGTTAATATGCATGTCCCATTTTAGTGAATTCTCTACAACAAGCCCTAAGACTTTTACAGATTTTACGACGTCAATGGTGGTGTTGTTAAGTACAAAAAGCTGCAGCGAGTTTTTATACGACAAACCTTTAGTTTTAGAAATGTTGAGACTCAGGAGGTTTGAATCGCACCAAGATTTAATGGTGATTAAGTCATTTGATATAATCCTATGAACTGCCGTGTTAAGAGTTATGTTATTATTAAGAAACATCTAAAACGCAGTTTTATCATTAATTTATTTTCAAGGGTTTTACTATAAAATTAACAGTAATCTTATTGGATATGTTTATTTGCAGCTTTGGTAGAAGTTCCTGCTTATTTTACATGCAACTTCATCGTGGATAAATTAGGAAGAAAGAAATCTCTATGCGGTTCATATTTCTTAACTGGAGCTGCCTGTCTAGCTTTTATTTTCATACCAGCAAGTAAGTGTTTTAGAGAAAAATAATGTATTTTAGTTTCCCAACAAGATTCTCCTTCCTTAATTCGCATTTATCCACTCCTGGATATAGGTCTCTCCATGAATTGAATGTGAGTCTTCCAACGGTCTAAGGCACTCGAAGAAATATTCAAAAAGAAAAAATCAAAGATTTTGCTTGATTTAAGTAAGAAGAATCTTTTTCTCTGTAGTCGATTATTAATCTTTAAAATCTTAATGACTATGCATTACTCAATATACCAGATCATCTATCAAAACCAATCAAAAATTAATTCTAATTTTTTTCTTCTCAATTTAGGTTCAAGATGGGGCAGTTTATCGGTGTATTTAATAGGAAAATTCGGCGCCACTGCCTCGTTTACAGTGCTGTACGTCATCACCAGCGAAATGTTCCCAACGCACTTACGACACTCCTTCATGGGAACATGTTCCACGTTTGGCAGATGCGGTTCCATGATCTCACCTCAGACACCATTACTGGTTTGTACTTGATATTAAAACCACTATAGTACATACTAAGGGCTGGCAAAGGTTAGTCTTGGGTCGAGATTTCCGTATGTAAGAAGAGTACAATGCGTTTATAATGTACTGAATAAAGAGAGGACAGTAAACACGTTGCCAAACGTATGAAATAAACCGAGAAACTGTGCACATCGCTAAGAGGCGTGGAAGGGGATATAGCAGATTTGTCGCAGTTGACCGGTCGACCCAATCAATACCTTTGTCAGTACTTAAAGTTCTAGGGAAAGGTACGTCATGCGTTCAGCTTCACGATTTAATTACGTCTCGTGATACTTAATTTATTAGTTAAAGTATCATTTAATCTACCCTTGCGGTTAAAGTACTATTTTATCTACTATTTTTGATAGATATAAGGCAATTTTAACAGTTGATATGGAAAAAAGAATATTAGTTTTGTAATTCTAGATTTACCGGACTTAAAACGTAAAAATATCTATTTTTTGGTAATTTTCAGGCACAAATTTGGGATCCTCTACCTCTGGTGTGTTTCGGAGCGATGTCACTCTTTGCTGGACTTATAACATTAATTTTTCCGGAAACTGTCAATAAGAAATTACCGGACACAGTGAAACAAGCGGAAAATATCGGAAAAGTACAACCAAAAGTCAAGAAAGACGTTGAAAGATACTGAAGTACAAAAATTATTGTTGTATTTTTAATATTCCTATCTTTTTGTAATATCTGTGATAATGATTAGTTTGTTAATATTATTTTATAAGTTATTTATTAGATATTTTTTGTTTATTGTATAATTAAACCCAGTGCATTAAACTAATTCTAAATATTTAAGAAAATAAATCAACTCAAACCTCTCTTCTGTAAAAAATGTCTATACCTATGTGGCGGATTCATCTCTCCAAAAAATCCTGTATGGGTATTTCACCACTGCAAGAAAATCTACAAAATAAAATAGTTATTTTTTGTAAACACAGCTGGGCGTTAATCCAAACGGAAGCTACTTGTCAGCAAACTACATATATACAAATTTGCCTAACCAACAAAACAAATGCTTAACATTTCGGAAAGTTTATCTCTTTCAGTCGTCGGAAGCAAAAAAATACAAAGAATAAAGAAAAAAGCTATTTAAAATATTTAAATTCAACTATTCGAGAGCACTTTAGTTTTTTAAAACAGATACGTGTACAAAAACCGTTGACGTTCTGTTAAAATGAATGAAGTTAAACTTCAAAATTAACAATTACTACCTGATAACAATTACTTGATAAAGTAAAACCTTTGAATAAGAAGACTAAGGAAGGAGCATAATGCTATCCATGTATTCACGCATGGTGGGCGCAAAAAGCTCTCTAGGGTGGGGATCCTTGACAGTTCTGTTTGACGATTCATTTGACACATTTGAATTTGATTTGAAAATTTGTGGATTTGTCAGTCTTTACGGAGCTTATTTTATGTTATTTATTATTTATTCTACTACTGATATTTGTATAAAGGTAGTAAATCTAGATGGAAATTGTGGCAGAACTTAAATTAACAGTGACACTATCGCGATTTATCGAAAAAGACTCTAAAATAGTTGGTTGTGTAGCTTGCGGTAGATCTCGGCAAAAATTGAGTGAAATAATGGAACAACTTTTCGCTAGTAAGTGACTATATAATATACATACGTGTAGTAAACCGATCATTTATGAAATTCACTTAAATTAACTAAATTATATATTTTTCTTGCATTTTAGCTTTTATTTATTAATTGTCAAAGATTAGATGTCAAAGAATTTAGATACGTTAACTTGACTTACCTGCTTCAGTAGCGTATCGGATGTTTGTGTTAATAAATACTTATTATAACTTATCTATTTTTATTAGAATTATATATTTTTATAACAATTTTAATAACTACCAACATTTATTCACAACGTAAAATAAAATAACAAATTATTGAGTCTACCCCACGTCTACCCTACATCATAGTTTTACATTTTTAAATAAAATTAGAACGGCACTGATAAACCGGAATTTAAGTCGGCCATATTTGAGGCCCATCGCGGTGTACCTAAGATTTTTGATATGCTCCTTCCTTAGTCTTCTTATTCAAAGAGTAAAACCAAAAAGCCCCAAACTTTCTGAATGATTATTTTTAATTTTTACGTATGTTATGTTTATTTATGTTACGTTCTTTAAAATCAAAGAAGCGATTGCCATACATTTATTATATCTCTATTGTATGTTTTAAATGCAATAAGACTTAATAATTTTGAATGCGACACTGATGTAGCCAATATATATTTTTTATAGCAGTTATTCTTAGTGCATTGTCAAGTGAACTCAACTATTATAAATAACAATGAAACTCAATCATCCAAGAACTCTTTACAAAAGAAAGCAAAACTCATTAAACCCCCCATTTAAAGCATTCAACAACTCTAATAAAGCTTTAACAGTATTTTTTCGATTACCCCTACATTGTTTTCACTAAACATAGACATATAACAAAGAAAAGGAAAGAAAACTTTCATATATCCAGGCAACTGGAACAGAAGTTTGTTCAATAAAGGTATAGTCGTGTCAAAAAACAACCCTGAGACAGCGTTGCATTTTTGCAAAAATAAAAGGTAAAGTTAAATTGAAATCATTTTGGTTCGGCACCCTCAATTTTCGCCATTATGTAGACTTGCTTTCATGGCACATCACATGCTGGGAATGAATGAAGGATGATTGTTTGATTGCGTGACGTAATTTTCTAGAGCAATTTAGTAGTTCTATAATGCTTGTTAGATTATGTAGAGGAACCAAAAAAAAATGAAATTAATCATTTTATATCATTAATTTATTATTCCTTATTTTTATTGTAATTTATCAAAATTGAAACTTTGTTCAATAAAATTTTATGCTTGGCATTTTTTAATCAGTGGTTTTTTTCTTCATTAATTACATAAGGCGTTTTGAGGATTTTTTGAGATGTGAGTCTCGATCTCCACCCTCTTTCCGTAATCTCACGTGAGACCTTTCAAAATTTGTATTTGAGTATAAATACCGTATGATCGAAAAAAAAACGGCGTCAGCGATGGCTATGAAATGAAGATCGCTGTCATTTTATATGTAAAATTATATGTGGAATGTTATCGATCGTCATTTCCAAGCCAACTGGACGCCGTTTTTTTCGATCATACGGTAGTTTAGATTTATTTGAAAAAAACACACATTATTTGGTTTATTAGTTTTATTAAGACTAGTACAGACTAGTATTTGAGATTATACAGGGTGTCCCAATATTCCGTGGACATAGAACTACGTATATTTTTGGTATTAAAATAACTTCATTATTATTATACAGTATCTCCCCGGATTTTCTTTACAAGAGGAATATTTTTTTATTATTGGCATTTTGAAAAAAATGCACTCTTTACTAAAAAATTTTGCTTGTTCTAAAACGGTTAATCCCGTTTATATTTTCCAAATTTCCATACCGTTTTAGAGTAAATTAAAAAAAAACATGAAAATACGGATAATTTTTATAACCCTTTCCGTAGCATTGAAATAAATACATTTTGTGCTTCTTTAAAATTTTAAAACAGTAGTATGTACTTTTGGTATGTTAATATATGACAGGGTTGATTGACGTATTCAATTGTTTTCGGTCACTTCCTGTTTCACCAGAAATGACTTCAACTTTTGATTTTTAAATGGCACCCTCGGTATTTTTTTATTTTATTCGATAGAAAATGACACTCGTCTTGTGTCATGCGATAGAAAATGACACTTTCGTGTTTACTTAACGTTAAATTGTTGTAAAACAAGAAATTGTTGTTAAAATTTATTAACTTCAATTAACAAACTAAGTATACTTGGAATATACCGAGTATAATAGTACTTATCCAAATTCAATGCCTTGTATTTACTCACTAGCGTGTACCCGCGACTTCGTTCGCGTCAAATTAATCATTTCTAATGGTGATGATATAGCAAAGCAATAATTTAACCCTCCCCGTTTTCACCCTCTTGAAATTTGAGATTCGAGAAACCCCTCCTTATCGAACCTCTACACCCCACAGTCAATCCGTTTACCAAAAATCAACTTTAAACGTCAAGCAGTTTAAGCAGAATCGTGATTACCCAATGGTCATATTTTATGAAACACCCTGTATAAATCCTGTATAAATTTTTAAAAAATCTTAAAATATGTAAAACAACAAAATAAAATATACGTGTTTAATAGTTTTTCCGAAAAACTCACCGGTTTTTAAATAAAAAAATATTCTAATATTTGAGGGGTGGTTTCACCCCCTTAGAATTCGAGTCTCGAAAAATCCCTTCTTATCGAACCTCTACACCCTAAAGTCAGTCCGTTTTCCAAAACCCAGCTTTTTACGTCAAGCGTTTTAAGCAGGATCGTGATTAATCAATGACCAGATTTTTCGAAACACCCTGTATACATTTTTAAAAAATCTTAAAATATGTAAAAAACAAAATAAAATATACGTGTTTAAGCGTTTTTTCGGAAACTTGACCGTTTTTAAATAAAAAATATTGTAATATTTGAGGGGTGGTTTCACCCCCTTGGAACTGGAATTTCGAAAAATCCCTTCTTATCGAACCTCTACACCCTAGAATCAACCTGTATGCCAAAATTGAGCTTCTTACGTTGAGTGGTTTGAGCAGGATCGTGATTAATCAGTGAGTCAGTCATTTAAGGATTTTATATATATTAGTATAGATTAGGAATTTCCCCAAACTTCAGTATATCGGGTGTTTGTCCATCACTGCTAGGTACTATTGTTGGTGAAGAATAATAACTTTCCAAATCAACAACTGTATGCCAAATGTTTATAAAAATCTAAGTACAATGTTGCATTTTTTTATTTTTATATATCATCTCCAAGATTCCAGCATGGAGACTACACCCACTCCCAACCCTCCCCAGCCCCCCAAGGTGTCCCCCAGTCCGAGGCTGAGCATGCGCCAGGGTGCCATAGCCCTGCGGGGTATCGCCAGGTTCATTCACTGTATTCGAAATAGACAACCGATATCTGGTGAAGCCGCAGGGACGAAAACTGGCAAGGGCAAGGGGAAACGAACTAGAAGAATGGGAGAGAAGGAAACCTACAAGTGCTCCCCCAAGTTGATGGAGAAGCTGCGGAAGGAGACACTGTTTACAAGGTAGGAAGAAAGTTTTAGTTTGGATTGTGTTCAAGAAAATGTGAAAGAGTCAATAAAGTTGATTTAAAGATAACTATTTTTTAAAGGGAAGAAATTTAAAAAAATATATATAAAAAATTTGGTTTTTGTTAAAAAAGTGTTTTTTTTTTATTTCTAGAATTGAATTGTTCTTTTTATTTTTTGAGCATTTTGAGAATTCCATTCTCTACTACTCTTCTTGCTCTAAACTCTACAAGTTTATGGCGTTATTAAATTTCAAACCTGGCTTTTCGTTTCTAAGCAATCATCAATTTTCAGTTTGATTTATTGAAGTATGGACCTGGATTTTTTAAAAATTGTTAAATTAATTTTTTTCACAAATATCTTCGGAAGTAATAAAATTCTTAAAAATTTTCAAACATGACATTGTAGAGTTCAACAAGGCGCAACTTTTCTCTAATTTAATTATCATTGTATCATCTCTTCTAGTTTAGGAGATCTCGGTAGAGTGCATTTTTATATAGGACACCGGGTATATTATAAGCGTATTCCTGTTTTTTTATTTCAAAAATATCTCACACATGCCTTTCTTTTCAATAGTTTATCAAAACGAATCAAAATGTCAGGAAATAAATAAAAAATATGGCAACTTGGCATATTTTACAGCAGAGCTACCACTTGAATCGCCAGCGGAAAATTTAAAATTCAATTGGCAAGATGGTTGGCAAGAATGAATTTGCAACAATTGTGCCCTCGATGACGTAACTAAAAGTTTATTTGGTATCGCTTATACATAGTGTTTTACGGTATATTATTGTTGCATATCTTTATTAAATGTAAATAAAACTATTAACAGGAAAGCGAGTATGTGATATATTTTTGAAATTTGAGTTTTTGTATTCTATTGAAAAGAAATACTTTTTATCTATTAAATTTTATTAAACAAAAATAGAATATAAAATAAAAATTCTACAGCTATTTTAAAATGTATCAAAACTTTTTTAATAAATCAAATATCTTTATTTTTTAGTTAATTTTATGGATTAGTGATAATAATTGGGTTAAAGCTTTATTTTTCTCGTTTTTGCCGTAAAATATACCTAATTCTAAAGGAAAGAAACCTTTATTCGGTAATGTTTAAACTATAAAGCGAAATGTCGAAGTCAAAAAGGTAAAAAATAGAAACATATGGGCAATTTCCGTGTCTTTCCACATGCAACAACGAGGAAGAACCAATCACGAAGCTCGCAGTGCTCGTACATTTAGATTATTCCATTTGATAGGTAACTCCGTCAATCTATTTCAACATACGAGGGTACTGTGAAAAACTTCAGTCGTCATTCATTTAGAAATTCTGGATAAACATCTTTTATATTTTAAAGTTGATTTACCGGACTTATACATAAATATCTGTTTCATCAAATTTTTATATCAAAAATATAATAGTGATTTATGGTACTAGTGTGTTATCTTACGGTATAAGTTACGCTGGGAAATATTTAGACTAATTTTCTCAAGTGACTTATATGTTATAACACGCGAGTGCCATACAAAATTTTATCCAACAGCAGAACTGTTTCATGTCCAATCTCTAAAGAATAAGTGATTTAAAAGGATCTACCAGTTCTTCTTTCATTGTTGCGAATTAATATATTATCAGGATGCGTTTATGTTACTATACAATATAGATGTGCGTTTTTTTTGTAAATAATACTATAATACAGCACTGACATTAAGACGTCATTTAGATAAATCGCGATTTTTTAACGATAAAATAGTGAATTATCAACCAGCAAGTCAGATTTTAAAGAAAAATTATCCTGGAAGATCTTCGGCAAGTACTTGGGCCCACAACACCCTGAGCAATACACTGGTCCTGTATGAGAAGATCATCCGCTACATTACTGGCAAATGCAGGAGTGAACATGACAACGTTAAAAAGACACGGAGGATGGCGATCTGCAACGGTTGCGGAAGGATATATCGAAGAGTCCATCAACAATAAAATAAAGATTGCGAAAAAGACTCAAGGTGCTGTAAGTATTCCAGAACGAACCGTTGTATTGACAGAGCCTATTTCAAGCAGTGGAGGAACAGCATCTGGAGGCATACAAGGTTTTACAATTTCTGAATCTACAAAAAAAATTATTTTCATTTAATGTTAATGTTAATTTAAATAAATATGTAATTGAATTAGTAATTTATGAATAAAGCTTAATAATTTCTATAAAATTCTGTTTCTTTGAAGTTATAACACACTAGTTTCTTATAACTTCAAAAACTCACGCGTGTGTTGTTATTTATGTTACATGCATGTATACATGTGAGTAATGTCTGTATAAGTAGTGGCTGTTGGATAAAATGATATTATCAATTTTAATTTATTAAATTTCTCTTTCAACTCTACCTAATTTATTTTGCTTACTCTGCCTATTGAGCTCGACGATAACTTCAATTATGCATTAAATCGATTTGCTATAAAGACTTATTGCATTAGCCGACTCGACATAGTCGTTCAAGTCCTTTTTCAATAAAAAATAATCAAATTATATTTTTGCAGGAACGAAATCGAAGCATTGTACAAAATCTATAAAAAGCTGGTTACGTTCAACAAAAGCACATCCAAATCGACGAAATCTGCCAGTTCTATTATTACAACTGGTACAACAGTGTCTGAAGTAAGAAGATATATACAGTGTGATCAAAAAGTTTCAAGAATAAGAGTTTTTTTTGTGGTGAAAGATAAATAATTCTTGCAGGAAATTAATATTAGATTTTTTTTAACAGTTGAAACTTGATTATAGAACTGTTGATCATACAGTATATACTAACTATAGTAATTTCAGAAACTTTTGAAGACACATAAACTAAAGTACCTTCACGCAAAATATACACTCAGATGCAAAAAAGCAACGAAGGAATTTTTGGGTCAAATTTTTAAAGTGATATATTTTTGTTATTTTTAGCCCTATTCTCATGCTGTATACAGGGTGTCATTGAAATGGTGTAAAAATCGGGGGTGATAGTACTCCTAAAAATAGTAAAAAAAGTTCCTATAAGTATAGGGCGGAAAATGCATATTAAGGGAGTTAGGGGCACTGAAAGGGTGAATTTAAAAAACGGTTGTTTTGAAATTGCAGGTTTAAAAAACGAGATAAAATTTCGAAAAATAAATCCTCTGTCATAAATTTTGACCCTAAATCAAATGGTGATACTGAAAAATTATTTGGAAAAGCGGAAAGGGTAGTTTTTGCAAGGGTAGGGGGTTGTTTCGCGAATAACTTGTTTGAGGTTATTTTTTTTGCAACGTGGGTTCATTTTTTGAAAACTACATACTTTTTCCTACAAAAAAGGTACTCTTGTTGCATATCGCCCAGAGCGATGGTTTTCGAGAAAATTTAAGGCAAAGAGTTTGCTCTGATGGGTTGCTAACTGGTTAATCAACATAAACTTATGAAAGTTATGGCGGTTCAAAAGTAACCAAGTAGTTATCAAATAATTAATTGAAAAATAAACATTTCATGATTTTTGAAACATCTTATTGCTTTAAAAAACGAAATAATCCACTAGATTTCTACTTCTGGGGCCACTTGAAAGCTTTGGTTTACTCAGTGCCGTGCAGTAATCATGATAACTAAAGGGTTAAGCATTATTTGAGATCCAAGTTCATAGGTCATTCTAAACTTAGTGACTTAGCCTTAATGTCCATAGAATTAGATTTACTTAAAAATTTGGACGCAACAGAAGTTTTTGCAGAAAATAAATCCAGAAAAATAATTTTTTCATAAGATTATTTTGTTTTTTAATACAACAACATAGCTTATGTTATTAGGGTAAGAAAAAGCATGTTTTTTAAATTTTAAACGTTTAATTTTTTTATATTTATGTTTATGTAGAATAGATAATATCTAAACTCGATGCTTTCTTGTCGTTGGGAAATAAAATGTTTTTTGTTGTTTGAGAATAAAATGTTTTGCACTTTTACTTTTCATATTTGGGTCATTTGAATAATGAAAAAAAATAGATGGAGTGAAAATAGGGGCGCCAAAATATCCCAGGGCTTTGGGCGGTTTCAAGTGTTAATACGCCTCTGGAAGCTGGTACTGCTTCGCGACCACTAACGCTCCTGCCAAGCATTTGCCAAACGTCGATCATGATGGGCAATTCATAGTAGTATATAGTTTACAATAATCACCAAAGCCGCCTTGTCAAATTGAAAAATAACTTCAAAAAAGAAATAATAATTGAAAAATTTCAAATTGTTGGTGGCAAGCTCATTTCTTTCTTAAAAATTAACCAATGCAGGTATTGACGTGATCCAAAAACCAAAATGCTCAAGACACATATGGTTCTGACCGTAAAATTATTTTTAGGAAAATTTACACACGAAATTATTGCACAGGGTGTTTTATAGTTAGGGTAAAAAAAAGGGTTATTTTTTTGTCTAAGAAAGTTAGAAATAGTCTTATTATTAAGGTTGTGTGTATGTTTTCAACCATTTCTGCATGAACTATATCTGTATAACAAAACGTATTTCTTTAGGGCATAGACAGGACAGTATTCAGGGAAGTTCTTCACAATACCTTCGACATAATAACGGAAAACATGCTGATGGACAGAATTTTCTGCGTGTGGGACAAAATAAACTGTGGACTAATTTGTCTGGAGAATTGGTTCCAAGGGATGTCCTTGTTTCTTAAGGGCAATACAGCCAAGCAAATCGACTATTGCTTTGCTGTTTATGACTTGAACAGCGATGGGTTTATCACTAAAGATGAAATGTTCCAATTATTAAAGTAAATATATATAGATATAATTCTTTATTTTTTTTTATTTTTTCTTTCCTTGTAGTAGACTTTTGATCTTTGTTTTTGCTTAATAGTTATTTATATAGTATTTGTCTTTCACTCTGTGTTTTTACTGTCTGACATAATCTATTAGGATATTATATTATATTATAAGTATACTGTATGATCGAAAAAAACGGCATCCGGTTGGCTTGGAAATGAATATCGATGACATTCCCAATATAATTTTACATATAAAATGACAAGTGATTTAAACCAAATTTGGCACAAAAATACTGTGGCACCCGAGAATTTGGCCATTAGTTTTTGGTGGGGGTGGGGGGTTGGTAAGGGGGTATGGGAGGGGGTTAAAAATTTTAAAAAATCGTAACTCCAAAATTACAGTAGCTAGCGAAACACGGTTTTCAATTTAAGATTAGGAATAATATTTGCAAAAATATTTGTAATAACATCAAAATCAGTAAAAGAAACTAAAAGAACTGCCTACCAACTTTTTATTAACATATTTTAGTATGGGCGGCTATACGTGCCTCCCGGCGCCAATTTTTTTTAACTTGGATTGGTTCAACACTTCCTAGTATACCCAAAATCGATATTTTTTGTTATTTATTTTTCTGTTAATTTTCAAGAGAAACAGCGGTTTTTTGAACTTGGCCCTTTTCCTACCGACCGGCAAATGATTTTGAATACGGGGTGCCCTTGTCATCTGTACATCGTTTCCAGGTGGTCTCGTTGCGGCACTACCCTTAATAAATGAGCTACAAATTTTTTTCTGTTAATTTTCAAGAGAAACAGCGGTTTTTTGACTCTTGCCCTTTCCCTACGGACCGGCAAATGGTTTTGAATACGGGGTGGTGTACCCTTGTCATCTGTACATCGTTTCCAGATGGTCTCGTTGCGGCACAATCCTTAATAAATGAGCTACAAATTTTTTCTGTTAATTTTCAAGAGAAACAGCGGTTTTTTGACTCTTGCACTTTCCCTACGGACCGGCAAATGGTTTTGAATACGGGGTGGTGTACCCTTGTCATCTGTACATCGTTTCCAGATGGTCTCGTTGTGGCACAACCCTTAATAAATGAGCTACATTTTTTTTTCTGTTAATTTTTACGAGAAACAGCGGTTTTTTGTACTTGGCCCTTTTCCTACGGACCGGCGAATGATTTTGAGTATAGGATAGTATACTCTAGTTTCCTATATATCATTTCCACTTGGTGTGGTGGCGGCACAACCCTTAATAAATGAGCTACAATTTTTTTCTGTTAATTTTTACGAGAAACAGCGGTTTTTTGAACTTGGCCCTTTTCCTACGGACCGGCAAATGGTTTTGAATACGGGGCGGTGTACCCTTGTCATCTGTACATCGTTTCCAGATGGTCTCGTTGCGGCACAACTCTTAATAAATGAGCTACAAATTTTTTTCTGTTAATTTTCAAGAGAAACAGCGGTTTTTTGACTCTTGCCCTTTCCCTACGGACCGGCAAATGGTTTTGAATATGGGGTGGTGTACCCTTGTCATCTGTACATCGTTTCCAGATGGTCTCGTTGCGGCACAACCCTTAATAAATGAGCTACAAATTTTTTTCTGTTAATTTTCAAGAGGAACAGCGGTTTTTTGACTCTTGCCCTTTCCCTACGGACCGGCAAATGGTTTTGAATACGGGGTGGTGTACCCTTGTCATCTATACATCGTTTCCAGATGGTCTCGTTGCGGCACAACCCTTAATAAATGAGCTACAAATTTTTTTCTGTTAATTTTCAAGAGAAACAGCGGTTTTTTTGACTCTTGCCCTTTCCTACGGACCGGCAAATGGTTTTGAATACGGGGTGGTGTACCCTTGTCATCTGTACATCGTTTCCAGATGGTCTCGTTGCGGCACAACCCTTAATAAATGAGCTACAAATTTTTTTTCTGTTAATTTTCAAGAGAAACAGCGGTTTTTTGACTCTTGCCCTTTCCCTACGGACCGGCAAATGGTTTTGAATACGGGGTGGTATACCCTTGTCATCTGTACATCGTTTCCAGATGGTCTCGTTGCGGCACAACCCTTAATAAATGAGCTACAAATTTTTTTCTGTTAATTTTCAAGAGGAACAGCGGTTTTTTGACTCTTGCCCTTTCCCTACGGACCGGCAAATGGTTTTGAATACGGGGTGGTGTACCCTTGTCATCTATACATCGTTTCCAGATGGTCTCGTTGCGGCACAACCCTTAATAAATGAGCTACAAATTTTTTTCTGTTAATTTTCAAGAGAAACAGCGGTTTTTTGACTCTTGCCCTTTCCCTACGGACCGGCAAATGGTTTTGAATACGGGGTGGTGTACCCTTGTCATCTATACATCGTTTCCAGATGGTCTCGTTGCGGCACAACCCTTAATAAATGAGCTACAAATTTTTTCTGTTAATTTTCAAGAGAAACAGCGGTTTTTGACTCTTGCCCTTTCCCTACGGACCGGCAAATGGTTTTGAATACGGGGTGGTGTACCCTTGTCATCTATACATCGTTTCCAGATGGTCTCGTTGCGGCACAACCCCTTAATAAATGAGCTACAAATTTTTTTCTGTTAATTTTCAAGAGAAACAGCGGTTTTTTGACTCTTGCCCTTTCCCTACGGACCGGCAAATGGTTTTGAATACGGGGTGGTGTACCCTTGTCATCTGTACATCGTTTCCAGATGGTCTCGTTGCGGCACAACCCTTAATAAATGAGCTACACATTTTTTTCTATTAATTTTCAAGAGAAACAGCGGTTTTTTGACGCTTGTCCTTTCCCTACGGACCGGCAAATGGTTTTGAATACGGGGTGGTGTACCCTTGTCATCTGTACATCGTTTCCAGATGGTCTCGTTGCGGCACAACCCTTAATAAATGAGCTACAAATTTTTTTCTGTTAATTTTCAAGAGAAACAGCGGTTTTTTGACTCTTGCCCTTTCCCTACGGACCGGCAAATGGTTTTGAATACGGGGTGGTGTACCCTTGTCATCTGTACATCGTTTCCAGATGGTCTTGTTGCGGCACAACCCTTAATAAATGAGCTACAATTTTTTTTCTGTTAATTTTCAAGAGAAACAGCGGTTTTTTGACTCTTGCCCTTTCCCTACGGACCGACAAATGGTTTTGAATACGGGATGGTGTACCCTTGTCATCTGTACATCGTTTCCAGATGGTCTCGTTGCGGCACAACCCTTAATAAATGAGCTACACTTTTTTTCCTGTTAATTTTTACGAGAAACAGCTTGTATTTCAGGAAACTCTCAAAAAATCCATAATTTATTTTTTCTGTTAATAGAAACTGCCTTATTAAGTTTCCCCAAGAAGAAGACCCAGAAGAAAGCGTAAGAGACTTGGTGGATATAGTCATGAAGAAAATGGACAAGGACAAAGATGGTAAAGTCTGCTTGGAAGATTACAGAGAAACGGTTTCTGGAGAACCACTCCTCCTCGAAGCTTTCGGAAGGTGTCTTCCAACTGAAGGTTCCAAAATCACCTTCTTAACCACGTTGAGATTTTAAAATAAGCTTTTTAGATTATTCAATGCAAACGCAACGATATCTCAGAGATTTGAACTGTACAGGGTGTCCGACTAATTGAATAAACTGAGTTTTTACAAAATTTTGCCTAGATAAGGTGTACTATAAATAATAGCTTCATAATCTTTAGTAAATATTGGATTTTTTTGTTAGAACCATTTTCCTCTATCTGCTAAAATAAAGTAGTGGGGGAAGGTTAGATCTGTTTTTATTTAAACGTTAATAAACTCCGGACTGTATGATCAAAATCCAACAAGCGAGCGCTCGTTTAAAAGAGCGTTCCTTACTCTATATTATACCATAAAAATAATAATAATAAGCTTTTGAACGTAGACGCTAGGGAGCGCTGTCTGACAATTTATCAAACATGGCGCGTTTTTTTCAAAAAAAATTAAATGCGATAATATTATATGTAATTTTAGCTGATATACATATATTGACTAGTGTTGATTTAAAATAAAACTAATCGTTTCTATCTTATTTTTTATTAGAATGGGCATGATCAAGAGGGCTACTGATACCGGGTTATAAAAATAAGGTAATTAAGGGCTTATTTTTTCGTATTTTTTATAATTTTGCTAATATCCTCGGTTTGAAAAAAGATATCAAGATGCGGGTTTCACTGACTTTTTAAGCTTTTATTGCTCTTTACGATCAGATAAAATTACATATACCATCGCATTTAATTTTTTTGAAAAAACGCGCAATGTTTTTTTAAATTGTAAGACAGCGCCCCCTATCGTCTACGTTCAAAAGCTTATTATTATTATTTTTACACTATAGTATAGAGTAAAGAACGCTCTTTTAAACGAGCCCTCGTTTGTTGAATTCTGATCATCCAGTCCGGAGTTATTAATATTTAAATAAAAACAAATCTAACCTTCCCCCACCACTTTATTTTAGCAGATAGGGAAAAATGGTTCTAACAAAAAAAATCCGAAATTTACTGAAGATTATGAAGCTATTATTTATAGTACCTCTTATCTAGGCAAAATTTTGTAAAAATGCCATTTTCTTATTTTCCATAATAGTTACGCTCTCTAGCGGCCGTTCTACAAACTTGAAAATAATTTTCAGCAATTACTCATAGCCTATTTAGTTAAGAATTTTTTTTTCGTAGGCTCTACGGTTAATACTTTCCGAGATACAGCCGAGAGCTATATTCTTAGTGGGACACCCTGTACAGTCATTCGATTCAATCCGAACCTCAACGTGTAGTGGCAGTTTCGATATTTCAACGGAGATGAAATCTGCGATCTTTCAACATGCTGAATATTTTTAACAGCAACTCTGTATACATGCTATACAGTTCCCTCCAAATCTGTGGTGTGTTCAGTTAAAAATATTCAGCATGATGAAAGATTGTATGTACCCACCAAATTTCTAAGAAAAAAATATTCCTTCTTTAGTCTTTGAATAAATAAAAAAAACAGCATAATATTTCAAAATATATTTTATTTTATGACATATACATAGACAAATAAAAAAACAGATAGATACAGGAGTCGATACACATATAAAAATAATTTCTGTACAATATCTATTCAAATCAGAAGAAAAAATTATAAAAATATGTATATAATAGTATATTAGTAATATCACAAGGTTTGTTATTATTATTATTTATATTGTTCAGTTTGAATTGTATTGGTTATTTTTCTTTATGCAGGTACATTTATTTTATTCGATCTATAGATACAACTAATGTTATCACCCAATTTAAGTACAGAAAAATACAGTGTGACCTAGTAGAAAACAAAGTTACAATAGGCTAAAAAATAAGTAATTACTGAAGTTCTTAAGAATAAAATATGATTTAAACATCTTCTACGACGTCCTTTTTTATTAGATCACACGGTACCTCTATAATTATAAGTAGAATTTGTAAAAAAAACCATGTATAAAAAATATATACAGAAAAAATATAGATTCTAAGACCGTAACTTGTATTTATTAATTAAAATAAACACTTTAGGTTGATAAAAAACACCAAAATTATCAACTATTATTTTTTTCGAGCGGTTCATTTATTTCTGGTTCATTTTTCACTAAAACCTTCAATTCTTTACCTTGTTCCTCCTCTTTGCCTAATTGGCGTGGTTCAAGTCTTTTTCTAAAATTCAACAACCACACGAGCATAACAGCCATCATTGACGATGAAAGACTGAAAGTCCACAATGTTCCGAATTCCTCGTAGATGTATGTGACGAAAACTGGACCCATGACTCTGGAAAAGCATCCAGAACCCACCAGCAGTCCCATCCACACACCCTAAAGTAAATATAAATATACAGGGTGGTTCACTAATGACATCTAAGAAAAATATTTGATATGAATGTACCATTACAGTTGAGGGTTACTTAGAAAACGTAGGTATAGGTTAATGATTTCTGAAAATTCGACTTTTCAAGTGGAGAAAGATACGTCAAAATATTTTTCAATACCGTTTGATAGACAGTTATCCCGTGGTCTAAAAGGAATTTTTAAGAATGTCAATTATAAACTTGTGTATAGTGCTAATAATAAATTACAACAATTATTAGGTAATCCAAAGGATAAAACACCTCCACTGGAAAGGTCGGGTATTTATGAAATTTCTTGTAAAGATTGTAATCAGAAATATGTTGAGCAAACTAGAAGATCAATATTAACTAGATTTGAAGAACATTTAGCTCAGATAAGATATGGTAGACCGGATAAATCTTGCGTTGCCGAACATATTGTTGATAAAGAACATTGTATAGATCTTAATAATTTGAAATTAATAACAAGTCTCATATTACAGGTAATTAGATGCATATGAAAGCATCAGAATTAATAAATGTAAAGATAGTATGAACAGAGACAACGGTCCAATTCCTTCAAGTTCTTTGTTCCTACTACTCTTGTAGCGGAAATCTAACTGTTACGCTCGGTGGGCTCGGACTTGGCTGGCTAGATCTTGCCACGCCCACTCGGTGCCCACTGAGCGATAAACGCTCCAATTGTAGATTGTATTTTAGTTCTAATCATCTGCTGATGATGCTAACATGGTTAGCGAAACGCGCGTCCAGTGTAAAAGTAAAAGTGTTTTGGTGTATTGTGGTGATTTAGTGTTTTATTTTGATGAATGTATGTTCTAAACATCTTAACTTTTGGCATGGTAAAATTTTCTAAAAATTCCTAAAAAAAACTTGATGAAAAAAGATGATGAATTTTTTTAAAGAAATTTTTATATCTGATCCCACGTCGAACATGTCTAACCAACATTCCATAAGCGGTAAAAGGTATTTAAAACTGGACTACACGGTGGCCACGCCAAATACACTTCCATCGTGTTTTTTCAGCAGTAACACAATTAAATGTATTAAACATTTCAAAAACCAACTGATTTACCTGTGGTCTGGATCCCAAAACCTTAGAAAATAAGGTTTGTATTAGGGTGACACCAATAGGGTACCCTAGGACTGTGAGAACATAACCAAAGATGAACTGGAAATACGTCATTGCTGGAACCCAGCTGCACCATTCTTGGGTGGATGGACATCCCAAAAGATCCTCTCCACAGTCCAGAGTCATTTGGCGAATAGCAGTCTCATTTGTAGGGATTGTAGAATTCAGTTCCAAAGACCTGTAAATTTCATATAATTTTACATAATTTTCTTTAAAAATAGCAATTTTCTTAAATGTTAATTTTAAGTATACCGCGTGTTCAAATTCTCAAAACTATGGAGCAAAAAAAAGAACAAAATAATACTGTCAAGGTGTATGTGGCGCTAAACTGTATTACTGGTTGCAAAACGTAACCGCAACGTGCATTGAGGAACCTGGCGAATTCGCCAGAAAGTAAAAGAATATTACAGAATTCTTTAGAACGTTCCAGAAACACTCGCCAGGGAAAGGCCCGCGCTTGGCAGTTGGACCAGTTGGAAGTTTGATAATACCGCGTTTTAAATTTTGAATTAATTGGCGACGGTGCCAGTACCGTTACAGTAACAGTAGCTGCATAAATTGTGTTAAATTAGTATAAATTGTGTGTACAGAGTGAGAGAAAAATAAATCCGTTAAATATTTTATCGTGAGTTTAAATTAGTGGACCCACGGAATCCGTAACAATATTATACAAGTTTATATAAAACAATAATTTACCTGTTATACCCTCGCAACACTTGATTTAAGGCTTCACGGTCCAGAACTTTGTCCAGAGAAGTATTCTTCAAGTGTTGATCACAAAAAATCGTCAAGTTTAACTTAAAATCTACATCGTATCTTTTAGGAGGATCACCACTGTATGGTATACAAGCCTAAAAATATCATTTTTACATCAAATTAACAGAAAGAATAATGTTTTAAATAAAAACAAACCAAATTTGATACAAGGACTGTTAAAAATCCGATCCAAATCATTAGCTTTACTTCTGAAAATCTTTTAGACAAAGGTGCAACAGAAGCAAAGGTTATGATGGAACATAGAGCACCAATGGACATAACCATGCCCATGTACCATAGTGATTGTTTCTTGGACCAGCCTAACTGGTCCATTGTTAAGGGAGTACCTGTAAAAAAAAATTTTGTAACAACAAATCATAATAAAATCATAATAAAAATGAATATCGAACAAAAGAGTTAGCATGGTGTGTTACGCTGATGATGCAGCCATTATCGACACAGGACGATATGCAGACAGCTTCATAATTTCTATCGAGTAATAGTTTAGTCATTGGTGATTTTTGCTTGGAAAAAAGTCCGGAAGTTTTGCAACTTTGCAGGTTTATAGGTTTTGGGGTCCCTAGAATTTTTTTTTAGAATTTAGAATGAGTGGGAGGGGGGTTAATCACTTCAACCTTACAGATCCATTGTGTCCCCCTTTCTTGAATCATAACTCATCATACAGTCCCAGGGCTTTGACAAAAGCCAGTATCTGGGACGGTTTTATAGAGGGTAGTTCTCCATCTCCAATATCAGTCGTACCAAAATTCATGGCACGAATGGTTGTCGTCTCGGCGCACTCAGTGATGAGGTGTACTGGTGTTTCACCATCTCCCCACAGAATCTGCATTAGCCGTTTCTTCTTAGTTTCAATCTACTGAGGTGTTCATTGAGGAGACAGTGTCCTGTTAAAAACCCCGTGACAATCCGAAGATTGTTCTTACTCAGACCCAGGAAGATCTGTGATTTTTCTTGATCATAAGCCCTCAGAAACTTCTTTTTGGGGTCCCTAACTAAAATCCATAAAATGCACATTTCCAAAGATGCCGCGGGCGCACAGTGCTTCGAACATATGCTCTAGAGGACAAAAATGCAAAACTTCTCTTTTATTGTAGGCAATTTATTCAACCTAGGTTTATTTGACACAAATAATAAGTACTCTCATTGTACTAAATGATGATGTTCTTAGTCCCACGTTTATGAAAAAGAATCTTATAAATAATAAAAATGTTGGAGCTGTATTCCATCTAAGGAAATAATAATTTATAGTATGAAAACGGTGTAAGTATTAAATAAATCCCTGTGATAAAAAAGAATTGAAATAACATTAGAACATGATTCCTACAATATATGCCTAATATAAGATAAAAATGTTTTTCTTTAATGAAAAAGAAACATTAATGTTATATTTAATTAAAAAAAAACTTAAAATACTATAAATTTACTTTAGGACAACAAAATGCATAGAAAGTAACTACTCTGATTCAGAAGAATCACTGCTGACAGAATCTTCCAAATTTATAGTATCCAAATCACAGGTAGATGAAGTATCCTCACATATAAGATATTTCTGTACACCATTTTCTAATATGTTACTTTTTCACGTTGTTACTGTTCTTTTTGTTGGTATGAGGGGTTCGGATGTTAATAGTTACCTCTTTAATAGACCATATCCATATATTATTTTTTTCTTTTCTTGGGTATGAGGTTTTATAATAAATTGAAAGATGGAAACTTTTTTATGCGACGTTTTGCTCCAACATGGGCTTTTTCAGGCACAAGTGGTGTCTCATTCACATGTGGAAGGTTCATCAATATCTAATAAAGAACACATTTTTTGAAATACAAATAATTTTGAGTTCTTGTCCTTATGATGAAGCCAAGTATTAACCAGATCGGCATTGTTTATCAATTTTACTCCATCTGAAAAGTATTATAAAATAAAGTTCGTCGCAAGCAGACGCAGGTGAACTATACAAAATTAAAAGTGTATGAATATGACAACAAAAATATTCAATAAATACGATATGTTTTGATATGTTTTTTTTAAATGCCTTTTTGAAGTTTGAAAACGTAAAATTTTTATACCCATTTAAGAATCATCTTAAAAAATAAATAAAAAATAAACAATCACGAACTTGTTTAGAAATAAATTTAAAGTACATACCTTGTTTAACAATATCCACAGTGGCTTTCAATTAAGTACGTACCGTTTAACTCCATAATATACAGAACTACTATGAATTTTATTCTTTTCACTGATAAGATAATGATCGCAAAATTTATTTTTAGTGAAAATATTTGCTAACAAAAAACGCTGTTTATGAAAAATTATATACAGGATGGTTGAACATTGCTATAAGTATAAAATTACATATTCAGATATTGACAATATTGAAGAAATTAAACTAAAACTAGTTTTAGTGAACACTAATCGACATATGATTTCGGAAAATCGACTATACATAATATATCATATATTTTACGCAAAATTGTAAAATTTCCAGGGATTTTGTGCCTAAACGGTTGACTTGGCGAAAATGTTCATAAAACCTTTTTTATAGGAAATTTTATTCTCTTTAATTTTGCTCTCTTCCAATTTTTGCGAAAAACACATAGTTTTCGAGATATTTACAAAATACCGATTTTGGGGCGGCAAGTCTGGAAATGTGCATTTTATGGATTTTAGTTAGGAACCCCAAAACCTATGAACCTACAAAGTTTCAAAACTTCCGGACTTTTTTCCAAGCAGGCCCCTTTTTTGATCCCCAATGACTGAACTACATAATTCCTGGATTTGAAACTAAAAGAATATTCTTTGTTTATTTCAACTTCTCTTTTGGTAACAAACCTAACGTCTCCAGCAACATAAAATTGAAAACCATGACAAAGAACGCTACTATCAAAGTCCACGCAGCAAAATAGTCAGGTTTTGGTCCTTTCCAGCTGTTTTTATCTTCATCCAAATTCTGTTTTTGTTTGGCTTCTTTCATAGAGATCATGTGCTCTTTGAACACGTGTGGCATGAAGAAATATATGTTTAAAACAGCCAATAATACATTAATCCATCCTAAAAAATTACTAACTTTGAGAAAAAATAAAGGTACTTGAAGAACAAGTTGTTACCAGTAGCTGTATACATGTTTAAACGAAGTTTCTGTGGAATAATCCAGACTCCTTCATCTCCAAGTGGTACTACAGCTGATTGGACTGCAGGTCCAACGACAAAACCTAGTACTTGAGCTAGGGAGATCATCGATACAGCTTTGGTTCTTTCTGAATGTTTTGTAGCGGCTGATAGGTATGATCGGCATGCTGCTATGTTAGCTAGATCAAGAAAAAATCTACTGTAGACATATTTTAATATACAGGATGGTCGGAACCGTATTCCGGAAACTTCGGCAGCATATTCTGCAGATAAAAATAAGTAAAAAAGTTCGTATAAATGTATGTCCTAAAATGCTTAGTTTGGGAGATACAGGGTGTAGAAGTTTCAATTTTATTTCGATTTTTTCCAAATAATATCTGAAGTAACCCCTACAAATAGGAGTCATATAGACATCAAAATCAAATTTCTCATATCAAAAAACTCCTAGACACCAATTTTCATCCAAATATTGACGTTACTTCAAAAATTATTTGGAAAAAAGCGAAATAAAAATGAAACGTCTACACCCTGTATTTCCGAAACTATACATTTTAGGACATACATTTATACGAACTTTTTTACTTATTTTTATATGTAGAATATGCTGCCAAAGTTTCCGGAATACAGTTCGGACCACCCTATGTAAAAAAGATATCATACAATGTTTTGATAATACGATCAAAATTAATATAAAAACTACAAAAGTCTACTAAATAAAGTAAATATAGACAACTTTATATAAAGTTGAAATAAAATCTGTCGCACTAGATAATACATAACAGCGACAGTTGTCTGTCATAGTAATTCATTGGTAAATAGTATTTTCCATAGACTTAAAATAAAATATAGACTGAGCATCTCATTCATAAATAGCTGGAACATGCGGTCAGACAATATCTTGTTATTGTTGTGTTATTGTTTTAGGTTATAACGAGTGCGACACGAGCGATAAATAGGTTGTCTCTGTCGTAACGGTCGTTCCCTGACGACTCTGCCGAGAAACACAACACTGTCTTTGGTTTCTCAAGTACACCTGAACTCTCCGTCTCATAGCCGGGTAATTTTTTATTTTAATGAAGCTATAATTAAATTAAAAATATATCGTATTTAAACTTTTATATTTTATTAAGATTTAGGACAGGTTTTTAAATAAAAGTTTAGAAAAACGTCTTAGAGTCCAAAAAGGATAAAAATAATAAAATACACGTTATAGAAGAAATTTTATAATCGAAATTACGTAATTTTTGAAATTAATAATAAATTATTAATTTTAGTCAAACATTTACAACCCCTAATATTAATCAAAACAGGATCTATTCCACAGATATAATAGAATCGGCGACAGGGAGAGAAAAAAAAAATATGATTGTTGTAATTTTTTCTCTGGTTAAGTGATGTCTTTATGTATAATGTAAATTAGAGAACACATAAATCTGTTCCATTAAAGCAAGGAAGATGATAGGAAGTGGATAAAATGAAAACTACATTTATTTAACTCGGTACTGTCTTTATTATACCGGGTGCGTCCCAAAAGTGGCTCATCCCCATAATTTTTTTTATATTTTCAAATAAAAAAAACAAGATTTAGCATGTTAGTATATGACATAAATTAGGATTGATTGACGCATTCAATTGTTTTTGGTCACTTCCTGTTTCACCGGAAATGACTATAACTTTTAATTTTTAAACGGCACCCTCGGTATATTTCTACTTTATTCGATAGAAAATGACACTCTGAATAGAATGACATATAATATGTCAACTTTTGACATTTTCGCATATGGTTTAATTGTAATTGTAACACGCGGTTCATAACGACAATTTGACTCGAAATACCAAGTGTGTGGTATCAATATATTCATAAAAAAATGCTTTTTTCGAAATATGCTAATGAGTCACCCTTGTTCCATTTGAAAAAATTGACATATGTATGATAAAAATACGATTTGTACATCTTTTAACCGGCCTAGACAAGACACGAAACCTATTAGACGATCAAAACTATTTTTCCAAGGCTCCTTGATTAAAACTTAGTGTTTTTAACAACACCATGGCACCCTGGATTGAAATTTAAAATAGGATATGTTTTTAAGCGACAATGTCAAAAGTTGACATATGATATGTCATTCTATTCAGAGTGTCATTTTTATCGAATAAAGTAGCAATATACCGAGGGTGCCTTTAAAAATCAAAAGATGTAATCATTTCGGTGAAACAGGAAGAGACCAAAAACAATTGAATACGTCCAATAAATCCTAATTTATGTCATATCCCTACTAACATACAAATCTGTTTTTTTTTTATCTGAAAAATAAAAAGTTATAGGGGTGAGCCACTTTTGAGACGACCCGGTATATTAAAAAATATTGTTTCATAATGTAATATCATTTTAAAATTCTTGTATGTTATTTTAGATTCTGAAGATAATTTTAGAATAAACCGGAATATATTTTTAATAAAAACATTATTAATTATTAACAGGGTTATAATTATGATTTTGTTACAATGTAAGTAAGTAAATAATGTAATGTAAGAGAAAAAATTCAGATTTTACATTTTACTAAAATATTATCTAAATAAGCGCCTTTCTACAACAACGCCACTGACTCCCAATGGGTAAATTGAGAGTTGCCTACCGGTCAAAAGTCGTTTCAAGACTTAAATGGATTATTTAAGTCAAATTTCTTGCAAATTTGGCACTGGCGAACCATATTTTATAGTTCTTGAACAGAAAAAGTCAATAAAATAAACACTTAAGCACTACAAGCTAAGAAAATGCGTTAATACAGCCGGGGAGATAGCGGCAACAAAGCTTTACCGCACACGTGCGACACGTACTACAAGGTAATAAATGAATGAATAGGCTCCCTCGCCTCTAATCGGTGTTGTCATATTGTAAAGAACTTATCCTTTTTAAACAGTATCCGACTTATAATTTAGTAGTATAAGGACTATTTAATACATCTCTGGAATATTAAAACCTACTTTTTAAACTGTAGTATTAATATCTCAATATATGTGTATAACAAGAAAAAAAATATTGATAATATTAAAGACGTGACAACATAGGCTGGATGAGGAAGGCTCGGTCGACTGTACCCAGAAGTAAACATGTGTACAAAAAAGGTTGTTTGTCCGCGTTGAGATGTAAATAGTGTAGTCTATATTTTATTTTAAGTCTATGGTATTTTCACTGTCATTTTTTGGATGTCATCTGTCAAAATCTTCGCTGATTGGTTGGACAGATTCTAGTCGACTTCTTACAGCCTTCTGAATATAATTTTCGAGGTATTTTTTGTGCACCCTGTATAATATTATTTCGATTACTATAAAAAATTTAATAGAGAAAAACTTTGTTTAAAGGCGGACTCCGACGACTCGTGTACTTGGCAAACATTTTTTATTGACATATAGGGCCCGCCCATAGTGCGTCATGGCTCCTATAATAAATAACTAAGAAATTTTGTATAGATGCCCCCACGCATTATTGTCGGACTCTGTATACCAGTAACAAATGTTTGCCAAGTATAGACGAGTCGTGTGAGCGTGCCATAAGAGACATGTTTCAAACACAAACAAAACAAAATATTTTTCTATGAAACGTTAAATTCCTGACATAAAGAAATGCATCGCCCGGTATATTTTCTAAATAAATTCCTCTTTATGGGTTTAAACCATAAAATCGAAGATATAACTACGTCCTACATCTTTGTAGATTAGTTAATGCAAGAATGAATCACAAAATATTTAATCGTGGTTTTAAAATGAATTCTAGATAAATAAATGCATGAATGTCATAAATGTAAACAATGTTTATGTTCTTATTTTATATTTAGAATAGAAATATAATTTAATTCCCTTTCTAAGAAAAAAATAAAGGTTGTTCTAATACCCAAGCGTTATTTAATTTAAAAATGAAATAATTTTGAAAATTTAATAATAAAATTAACAAAACTATATCCTTGACAGAATTACATTTTAATAATTGTAATATACATAAAGATAACGATGTTAATAAAAAGTTGGTAGGCAGTTCTTTTAGTTTCAAAGTAAAGGAATTTTTCCAATTTTTTTTATCTCAAAAACTGCAACTTTGACTGATTTTGATGTTATTACAAATTTTGTTGCAAATATTATTCCTAATCTTAAATTGAAAACCGCGTTTCGCTAGCTACTGTAATTTTGGAGTTACGATTTTTTAAAATTTTTAACCCCCTCCCATATCCCCATACCAACCCCCACCCCCACCAAAAACTAATGGCCAGATTCTAGTTCTACTGCCACAGTATTTTTGTGCCAAATTTGGTTAAAATAGGTTTAGCGGTTTTAGAGTAATCGTGTTACAGACGGGCAGACGGTCAGACAGACAGACAGACACCATGAAACTATTTTGTATTTAGGTCATTTATGACCCAAATAACTCATTTTGAGTGAAATTAAAAAAAAACTTTTTTTTTGTCGATCTTAATAGCCTACCATACCTGTTGGTATGGTCAGCTAATAAAATAAATATACATAATATAGAAAAATGTAAACAAAAATATCAAAATACGATTATTTAAAAAAAAATGTGATAAGTATTTAAATAAATTTTAAGTAATTTAGTGTATTTTTTAAGCATGTAGTACAATTAATGGCTGTGTTATATGTATGTACAGGGTGGGTCAAATTCGACGCTTTTAAATGGAAACGCCCTTTTCTATAGGAGATAGACGAAAACCAATATCGGTGTCTGGAGCTCAATTTTCATCAAAAACATGATGGTGAAAACCGCACATCAATATCTGTTACCGTTTCGGAGTTACGGGGTGTTTTTCAAAAATGTGCATTTTTAACAAATCGCTGTAACTTTTTTGCTATGGAAAATTTTGTATTTCTATGAAAACATTTCCAAAGCACTTTTTTACGTAGAATTTAATAGTTTAAGTATAATTTTTTTAAAACTAATACTTTAAGAGTTATCAATAGAGAAATTGATTTTTTATTTGGGACACCCTCTATATTTTTAATTAACTGAAAAGAATTTAAAATTACCTTTCCAAAAATATAGCACACTTGATATTTTGTTATAATCCTCTTCGAAATACGGAATTTTTAAAAGTTCACCACTTTTAACTAGTAGGGTTTGGACCCCTTATTGATGATATGCCCTTAATGGAACTCCAAAAAAAATATTTTTCCAGCAAGACGACGCACCGCCTCTGAATGCTGAAGTTATCAGCAAATTTTTCCAGCCAATTTCAAGAATAATTGAATAGCTAACCAAAATCCCAGCCATTGGCCTTCGAGGCCGCCTGACTTAGTGCCCATGGATCTAATCCTATGGATATATTTGCGGAAGAATAAAGGTTCTTTGTTCTTCCGTTGCAGAGACATGAATGTCAATGTAATCGCTTGTTTTATAGATTATAGAAAATCCTTTGACTGCGTTAACCATCAAAAACTTATAGAAGTCCTCAAAACAACCGGAATAGATAGAGAAGAAATTCGATTGATTACAAATCTCTACTGGCAGCAAAACGCAGTGGTTAAAATTGAAGGAACATCGTCAGAAGAAATCACGATTAAACGAGGTGTAAGACAGGGCTGTGTGCTGTCACCGCTCTTATTTAATATATATTCAGAGGCTATCTTCAAAGAAGCTCTAGAAGGAATCGAATGTGGAATTAAGATTAACGGGAAAGTGATCAATAATATCAGGTATGCCGACGATACAGTTGTGCTGGCCGAGAATGAACAAGATTTGCAGAGGCTAATGAATGAATTAGTTCGGCATAGTGAAAACTGCGGTCTCCTCATAAATACCACAAAAACGAAGGTTCTTGCATTCACCAAAACACCTGTGCAGATTCACCTGGATATCAACGGTGACCCAGTAGAGCAAGTGTCTTCATACAAGTATTTGGGGTGTATTGTAAATGATCAATGCGACCCGAAGAAAGAAATTAGAAGCCGCATAGAACAGGCTAGAAAAACATTTATAAATATGAGACAATTTTTCACAAGGTCAGATTTGAGTTTGGAGCTACGGGTACGCATGGTCAGATGCTACATTTTTTCAGTTCTCCTGTACGGGTGTGAGAGTTGGACTCTTGACATATCGTTAGAAAAAAAACTAGATGCCTTCGAAATGTATATTTACCGCCGTATATTAAGAATATCATGGGTCCAAAGAGTTTCAAATGTGGAGGTTCTTAATCGAATGAGAAAACAGAAAGAACTCATGCTTACCATCAAAGAAAGAAAAACACGCTACATAGGCCACATAATGAGGGGTAAAAAGTATGAACTTCTCAGATTAATAATTGAAAGCAAAGTCCAGGGCAAAAGATCTATCGGCAGACGCCAGAATTCCTGGCTAAAGGACATTCGTAGATGGTTTGGTTGCTCATCAATCGACATATTTCGTATGGCTGTATCTAGAATGACGTTAGCTATTTGGATCGCCAACCTTCGAAAGGAGACGGCGTCGTAAGAAGAAGACGATTCTTCCGTATAATCTAGACAAGAATTAGAAATACTTAGCAGTTATGAGAGAGTATCTTTCACCCCCACTGAGTTAATGAATTCTGCGAGAAATGTTCAAAAACTGCCCCGTCTGTCCATAACATAAGACGGTTGATATGTCGAACACCTGTAGCAAAATCTCATGTTTTGGTTTGCTATTTATTTTTATTGTTATTAGATATAATTTAAATGCGTGATGTTGGTTAAATATATTTTAAATTGTTATAAAATTCTGCATCTCTCATAGCAAATAATATTATTTTCGTTTTAATTGATGCTCACAGCTAGAATTTTTTTGCATTACAGCCGGTGCCCTTCAAAGCCTACTTATTTAAAGCGGGCGAATTTTTATATACTCTATATCTCAAAGAGGAATCAAGCAAAATATCAAGTGTGTTATATTTTTAGAAAGGTAATTTTAAATTCTTTTCAATAAATTAAAAATATATAGGGTGTCCCATATAAAAAATCAAGTTTTCTGTTGATAATTCTTAAATTATTAATTTTAAAAAAATTATACTTAAACCATTAAATTCTACGTAAAAAGGTGCTTTGGAAATGTTTTCATAGAAATACAAAATTTTCCATAGCAAAAAAGTTACAGTGATTTGTTAAAAATGCACATTTTTTAAAAACATCCCGTAACTCCGAAACGGTAACAGATATTGATGTGATGTTTTTACCATCATGTTTTTGATAAAAATTGAGCTCCAGACACCGATATTAGTTTTCGTCTATCTGCTATAGAAAAGGGTGTTTCCATTTAAAAGCGTCGAATTTGACCCACCCTGTACAGATTTCAGGGTTCACTATTAATATTACCGAAATATTTATTACAGTTGAGGGTTGGAACCTTTGGTGTTAAACAGCAAAATAAAAACACTAAATCACCACAATACACCAAAACACTTTTACTTTTACACTGGACGCGCGTTTCGCTAGTTTATAATCATCTGCTGATGATGCTAACATGGTTAGCGAAACGCGCGTCCAGTGTAAAAGTAAAAGTGTTTTGGTGTATTGTGGTGATTTAGTGTTTTTATTTTACCGAAATATTTACAAAATATCTATTTGACTTACCAGAACTTACACCTACTAAAAATCGGCACCAAAACATCCAGTGTTTGACATAGTGGTCGAATATCTCCAGGCAAGAATACACGGCGCTGGCAAAAGAAAATAACAGCAAAGAAACAATGAGAGGTCCTCTGATAGAACCCAATTTATTAGTCCACCATCCAACCAAGGGCGAAAATAACATTTGTGCAAATGGATTTGCGGCTACTATGAAACCCATGAACTCTTTACCGGCAGATGGGTCTAACTAAAAAAATATCACACAGAGAATTCAGATAATTACGCTAAGTTTTGTTTACCACTGTATATCATCGCCGACCTGAACATAGGAAAACCCATGTAAATTTTAAAAATGATGGTAAAAGTTTCATATTTTGTTTTAGAGATATAAACTTATTTGAAACTTTTTAAAGAACTCTTTAAAATGAAATGTCTCGCTTGGGTAAAAAATGTAAATGTAAAAAATGTACTGCCAAAATATAATTTTACTGCCAAGCGACTGGCAATAACTCCTATATGGAAAATGTACAGAAAATAAATCGTTTTAGAGCCTGTATAGACTATTTCTTCCATAATACAACTTTCTTTAATTATATAATTCATAATTTTAAATTATTTTTGACACGCATAAATAAGTAAATAAAATAAATAAATAAATGTTTATTTACGGACTTGCCAATTTTTACAAAAAAAAACAGAAAAAAAGAGAAAATACAACAAACATAAAAATAATGGAAAACTCAACAATCAATAATCAACAGCAGCGCACAGCACCAATATAAATTAAAAATTAAAGTTAATCTTAGATTTAACTAAAGAAAAACAATTATTTGCTTTCATAAGTTTTAAATAAAAAAGTTCTTCATTCTATTTTACAAAAAAATTATTTGATTTTGAAATTTCAGTTTTTAAAATTTACATGGGATTTCCTATGTTCAGGTAGACGAAGCAACAGAGAGTATACAGGGTGTCCCAGGCTGAGCGTGCATCAGAGAACTACAATATCTAGATCGGAGATTTTTTGCACAGCCAATTCATCAGTTTTTCATCAAACATGAACTATCTGTGAGCATATTTTAGTTGCGATCTGAGAGATTTCGGTTTTTGACAAAATCGACAGGGGGGTGCCGAGGAATGTTTTCGAAAAATTTTGGGAAATCGATTTTGATTATTTCGTAATATGTTGTAGCGCTGAATGTATACTTTTTTGTATACAAAAACGGTATCGTTATTGAGATTCACACCTTTTGTTTCAGAGATATTTGGTGTTAAATGTTTCGAAAAACAGAAAACGATCTAGCCTGGGACACCATGTATATTTTTAATACGCACCTTATCCAGGTAAGGCCATACACCGGTCATTACAATACTGAACCCCAGAGACATCAAAAACATAGTAAAATATATCACATAAATTGACCTCCATCGTTCCTTGTATTCCTGATAAGTCTCTAAACTGTCGTCGAATATTTCCGTTCTATTTTTGGCACCGGATTTGAACATTTTCCTGATTTTTCCTATCCAACTCATCCTGGGCGCTCAGAATCACTCTAAAACACGCGAAACTTTCTGAATTCCCCTCGTAAAGCGCGGTTTATTCAAGATTACATCAGGACGAGACGACGAAAAACGTCGATGTCTGAGTTTGTACTGTAATACTTGTTCAAATTTACTTTAAAATCGTTTTAAGTTGAAATTATACAGTTTTCTGTATGGTCCATAGGTCGTTTCCTATTACTAGGTCTAATATTAAAAGACAATAACATAGTTAGTGTGTAGTTAAACAGTGAAACAGAAAATAATGACAATTAAGTAGGCTGCGCGGGTAATTTATTATGATAAGGCTTAATTTAATTATGATACTAAACCGTGTATACAGGGTGTCCCAGGCTGAGCGTGCGTTAGAAGTTTCTAGAGAACTACAACATCTAGCTCGGAGATTTTTTGCACATCATTGTGTAACAAGGAGATCTGCCGATTAAAAATATTTTCAATATGGCGGCACTTCCGGAAATACCGTAAGTTGACAGTAACTCTCTTATTTTAAATGGATACCCCTATTTTTTATTATATATTTAAATTCTCTATAAAATTTTATGAATTTTTATATGAAACACTCTATACCTAGCATCTTTGAATAAGAAGACTAAGAAAGGAGCATATCAAAAATCTTAGGTACACCGCGATGGGCCTCAAATATGGCCGACTTAAATTCCGGTTTATCAGTGTCGTTCTAATTTTATTTAAAAATGTAAAACTATGATGTAGGGTAGACGTGGGGTAGACTCAATAATTTGTTGTTTTATTTTACGTTGTGAATAAAGTAGGATTTATAAACTCACAGTTGGATTTGGCTTTGGCGTTGGCGCCGCCGCCCAATTCTTAAAACTGTATATTACCATAAGAGCATTTATAAACACGGTTGGCGTTGGCTTTGGCGCCCGGTTGCCGTCGGACTTGAATTATGTTTAACTTTTTACCGTTCGCGGCGGTTCGCCGTCCGTAGCACCACGTAGCAAATGACGTTACAGCCAATAGAATAGTAAAGAGGGATCACGTGATGCTTTGTTTACATCTAGTTTTGAAGTATGGGAATTCCAAATTTTCCCAATAACCCTAATAGGGTAATTTCATCAAGACCGTTACTTTCAAATCCATAATTAAAATCTCGAACAAAAACCAAAACTTTAAACACTTTCGTCTCTAAAAACGCACTATAGACTCTGCTACTCTCAAGTAAAAAGTAAACAAAAATGTAAGGTTAGATCTGCCCAAAACGGCCAAAGCCAACTGTTAACCGTCGAGTTTATAAATGCGATTTTGCGGCGCTACGAACGGTCGACGGCAACTCCAACGCCAACGCCAAATCCAAAGCCAACTGTAGAGTTTATAAATCGACCTTAACTTTTTACCGTTCGCGGCGGTTCGCCGTCCGTAGCACCACGTAGCAAATGACGTTACAGCCAATAGAATAGTAAAGAGGGATCACGTGATGCTTTGTTTACATCTAGTTTTGAAGTATGGGAATTCCAAATTTTCTCAATAACCCTAATAGGGTAATTTCATCAAGACCATTACTTTCCAAATCCATAATTAAAAATCTCGAACAAAAAACCAAAACTTTAAACACTTTCGTCTCTAAAAACGCACTATAGACTCTGCTACTCTCAAGTAAAAAGTAAACAAAAATGTAAGGTTAGATCTGCCCAAAACGGCCAAAGCCAACTGTTAACCGTCGAGTTTATAAATGCGATTTTGCGGCGCTACGAACGGTCGACGGCAACTCCAACGCCAACGCCAAATCCAAAGCCAACTGTAGAGTTTATAAATCGACCTTAACTTTTTACCGTTCGCGGCGGTTCGCCGTCCGTAGCACCACGTAGCAAATGACGTTACAGCCAATAGAATAGTAAAGAGGGATCACGTGATGCTTTGTTTACATCTAGTTTTGAAGTATGGGAATTCCAAATTTTCTCAATAACCCTAATAGGGTAATTTCATCAAGACCATTACTTTCCAAATCCATAATTAAAAATCTCGAACAAAAAACCAAAACTTTAAACACTTTCGTCTCTAAAAACGCACTATAGACTCTGCTACTCTCAAGTAAAAAGTAAACAAAAATGTAAGGTTAGATCTGCCCAAAACGGCCAAAGCCAACTGTTAACCGTCGAGTTTATAAATGCGATTTTGCGGCGCTACGAACGGTCGACGGCAACTCCAACGCCAACGCCAAATCCAAAGCCAACTGTAGAGTTTATAAATCGACCTTATAAATGTTGGTAGTTATTAAAATTGTTATAAAAATATATAATTCTAATAAAAATAGATAAGTTATAATAAGTATTTATTAACACAAACATCCGATACGCTACTGAAGCAGGTAAGTCAAGTTAACGTATCTAAATTCTTTGACATCTAATCTTTGACAAGTAATAAATAAAAGCTAAAATGCAAGAAAAATATATAATTTAGTTAATTTAAGTGAATTTCATAAATGATCGGTTTACTACACGTATGTATATTATATAGTCACTTACTAGCGAAAAGTTGTTCCATTATTTCACTCAATTTTTGCCGAGATCTACCGCACGCTACACAACCAACTATTTTAGAGTCTTTTTCGATAAATCGCGATAGTGTCACTGTTAATTTAAGTTCTGCCACAATTTCCATCTAGATTTACTACCTTTATACAACTATCAGTAGTTGAATAAATAATAAATAACATAAAATAAGCTCCGTAAAGACTGACAAATCCACAAAATTTCAAATCAAATTCAAATGTGTCAAATGAATCGTCAAACAGAACTGTCAAGGATCCCCACCCTAGAGAGCTTTTATGGTGGCTTTTCCGCCCACCATGCATGAATACATGGATAGCATTATGCTCCTTCCTTAGTCTTCTTATTCAAAGCCTAGCATTAAACGTTTTAGAGAAAAAAAATATTTAAAATTTTTGGAGGAAAAAAACTGCCTGTCAAAAAAAACTGTATAGCCTAAACGTCAAATTTAGACAACCAAAAAGTAGAGAGGCAACAAAGCAATGAGATTTTTGAATGTCCGGAGTGCGGTAGGCAGATAACATCACGTATCGGGCTTTTCAGTCACAGAAAAGCTCATGAAAGAAAACGTCTTGCGTGACCATCTTCTTTATGTGTGTCGAATACTCGTCCGCGAGTAACGGCTGTATGTATGTATGTATGTATGATAAATTCCATAGCGGCTATGTGTTCTTCCTTAAGGTGCTCTCCCAGGAAACAGAGGGGTTCAAGAAATTCGCGGCAAAATGCATTGGTTTAAGAGCCATACGTTTTCTATTTTGTAAGGCGGAGAAGCATTCTTTTTCTTCTGATTTAAGAATGGGCATACTTGATACACTTTCGTTAAATTTTTGGTCAATGTCTTGAATTTTGAAAAGAAATTTCTTGCAAAATTCGGATTTTTGCGAATATTCGCGATCTTGGGACCGAATATTTCGGAAATTTCTGAAATTTCCTGCAAAATTCGAATGGAAATATTCGCTACCAACATCACTAGTTTTTACTACCACTTGCTTTTGGTAAATCCTAGGTTTTACCGCATTTCGGACCATTTACAGTAAAATACATATTCCTACACCTAAATTAAATCGTTTTTAAGTTATTATTTAAGATTTAGTTTTAAAGCGTATATTTTTTTGTTTTTTTATTGATGGTTTGACACTTAATGTCAAAGGAAGCTAGATAAAATCAAGAAACAAACAGGTTTTTGCAACTTAATCTTAAATAACATAAAAACGATTTATTTTAGGTATAGGATCATGTATAATAAAAAAGTAACGAATTAAAACACCTTTTTACTGGTGAAATAAAAAAAGTGGGTTTCCATTTGAAAAAAATAACTTATGTGATTATTTTTTAATCTCTCAATTTCATTAAAGCTACGATCAATATTGTATAACATTCAAACAATTTAATTTTTGAAATAGATAGCCACATGAATTCTCTTTATGTCACAATAACCGTGGTAACCACTAAATTTGTCGTTTAGGCTCTTTGAATAAGAAGACTAAGGAAGGAGCATAATGCTATCCATGTATTCATGCATGGTGGGCGGAAAAGCCACCATAAAAGCTCTCTAGGGTGGGGATCTTGACAGTTCTGTTTGACGATTCATTTGACACATTTGAATTTGATTTGAAATTTTGTGGATTTGTCAGTCTTTACGGAGCTTATTTTATGTTATTTATTATTTATTCTACTACTGATAGTTGTATAAAGGTAGTAAATCTAGATGGAAATTGTGGCAGAACTTAAATTAACAGTGACACTATCGCGATTTATCGAAAAAGACTTTAAAATAGTTGGTTGTGTAGCGTGCGGTAGATATCGGCAAAAATTGAGTTAAATAATGGAACAACTTTTCGCTAGTAAGTGACTATATAATATACATACGTGTAGTAAACCGATCATTTATGAAATTCACTTAAATTAACTAAATCATATATTTTTCTTGCATTTTAGCTTTTATTTATTACTTGTCAAAGATTAGATGTCAAAGAATTTAGATACGTCAATTTGACTTACCTGCTTCAGTAGCGTATCGGATGTTTGTGTTAATAAATACTTATTATAACTTATCTATTTTTATTAGAATTATATATTTTTATAACAATTTTAATAACTACCAACATTTATTCACAACGTAAAATAAAACAACAAATTATTGCCCCACGTCTACCCTACATCATAGTTTTAGATTTTTTAAATAAAATTAGAACGACACTGATAAACCGGAATTTAAGTCGGCCATATTTGAGGCCCATCGCGGTGTACCTAAGATTTTTGATATGCTCCTTCCTTAGTCTTCTTATTCAAAGTTTAGGCTATACAAATTTTTTTTTGACAGGCAGTTTTTTTCTTCCAAAAATTTTAAATATTTTTTTTCGCAAAAACGGTTAATGTTAGGTATAGAGTGTGTAATATCAAAATTCATAAAATTTTACAGAGAATTTAAGTATGTAATAAAAAATGGGGGTCCCCATTTAAAATAAGAAAGTTGCTGTCAACTTCCGGTATTTCCGGAAGTGCCGCCATATTGAAAATATTCTTAATTGATAGATCTCATTGTGAAACAATGATGTGTGAAAAATCTCCGATCTTGATCTTGTAGTTCTCTAGAACCTTCTAATGCACGCTCAGCCTGGGACACCCTGTATACAGGGTGGTCCGCATTGTATTCAGGAAACTTCGTCAGTATAGTCTATAGATAAAAATAAGTAAAAAATTCATATAAACTGATGTCCAAAAATGCTGCGTTTCGGAGATACAGGGTGTAGAAGTTTCATCTTTATTGGGATTTTTTCAAAGTAATTTCTGGTGGGTAAAAAACGGTGGTAAAATGTGTATTTTTTCACTCAGTAGACATGTAGGTGGTGCCCCCTACAAGTAGGAGTCATATTGACATCGAAATCAAATTTCTCATGTCAAAAAACATCCAGACATCAATTTTCATCCAAATATCTGCATTATTTCAGAAGTTATTTGGAAAAACGCGAAATAAAAATGAAACTTTTACACCCTGTATCCCCAAAACTAAGCATTATAGAACAAAAATTTATACGAACTATTTTACTTATTTTTATCGGCAGAATATGTTTCCCGAATACATTTCGGACCACCCTGTATATACAATCCAAATAAAATAAAATGTTTGTCTAAAAATACATGCAAATCTATTCTGCGTTAATTTTTTTAACAATAAAAAAAAGCGAGACGCAAATTTTGCGAAATCGTTTGCCAATAAAACGATTCAAAAATAGACGGGCGCGTTCCACTTAGAATTGTTTTAAATTTCAAATAATTATAACTAGTTCTCTTACCCTTGCGAAATAAACTTAAATTAAAATAACACTTTAACATAATGCTTGCCTAACTGTTGCACTGTACGGTTTAATTTAACTTTTTCCAAATAATGCCTTCAAGGTAGACTTTGCCTGTGACAAAAAGCACATCTTTTTTAATAACTGTTCGGATAAACGTACTCTGGAACTCGATCTCCTTCACAAAGAACCCAAATCAAAATACCATTGACACAAAACATATGATGGACCAAACAAACCGACACTTTCTATTCAATGACCGATTATATGAAACCTTGAGCGACTTTCTGTAAACTGTTGTATATTTGGTTGCCTAGAGTGCATATCTAATCTAAATAAAACTTTTTTTGTATATTTATTTAAATTACTTGCAATATTTTTTGTTTTAAGATTCTAGAATAAAAGACAGCTGTAAATGATGCAATACCACAAAATAATACATCATTTTATTAGAAGAATAATAAGTAAATTTCTCTAGACATTTCTATAATACATTTTACCACAATTTATGAAATTTCTCACTAAAACCATTGTTCTTCTGCTTTAAGAGAGCTATCACTTTGGCTTCCAGCTCGAATAAATGATCATCCTCGGCTTCTGGAATTACTTCCCGCATTATTTTGGCTAAATTGCAGACATAATCAATGTTTGGTCCACTGGGGCCTATACTTTTCACTACCTGCTGAGCTATATCATCTAATTCAGCTTCGCCGGCAAAATTCGGGTTATCATACGAAGCTAGGTAAATAGTCATTTCAAAGGGGTCCATGGAATGGTCTTTGGGGTAGAAAATAACACGTGTACGCTCGTATCCACCTTTTTCTCTGAAGTCCAGGTGCTTGACAACAGCATCTACATCACTCTCCTTTATTCTGTAAGCTATTCCATACACTTTAGCTTCTTTAGAACTGGGAATAAGGGTCACAACACGTCCTGGTTTATCTGGGGTACCTCTGTGATCGGTGCTGTGTTGATAAAACCTTCTTTCGTAGCCTTTGATGTACCCTATGATTTTTTCTTCATAGGGAAAGTCGACTTTCCACATCAGGGACCCGTACCCAAACACCCACATGGCTTATAATTTAACTACTAAGGAGGTAACATTGATTTTGTAACAAATAAATAGTTTTTTATGTAAACAAAGATACTATAACCTCGAAAAATGAAAAAATAACAGGAAGGAATGGGCAAAGTATTTTTTTTTCGCTATTGTATCGATATTTTTTATATTTTAATTTATATTTTATTAGATAGATACTTCTAAACGATTTAAGATGTAAAGAAATGTTTAGAATGTATATTTATTACATATTTGGGGTTTTAATTTTGCAAAAAATTATAATTTTACCGTATCGAACAATATTTTTATCGATAGTAAATTTAGTTTTGACCTGGTTTTGACGAATGTTGTTAGATGACAGCACCAAAATAGTTATGAATGTGCCCAATAGATGGCAAAATATTTTTTAACGGATATAAATTCAAAATTAATGAAATCAAACTAGAAAAATACCATCAAAAGAACCTGTATTTATTTTCTTTCATATTTTAGGCATTGCTTTAGGCAAAAAACATGTAAAAACAAATTGTCAACATCGATTTTCATATTAAACGTCTCTGTTTATTTAATTATTGTTTAATCTATGCAGGATAACTTGCGCATCCCACTATGGACACTGTTTCGAAGTAGACGGAAGACTCTCCTCTTGGAAACTAGTCGTAGAGTCCTCTTTAGTCGCTAATGGCGGTATCTAGAGTTAAAAAAGGCCATTAAATACCTAGATTAAATCTACAAGCAGTAAAAGAGGTATTTTAAAAACAAAGTGAATCAAAAATACTCCAAAATATGTGTGTTCTAAGTATAACTCGGTATAAAAACTCTCTTAAGCCGATGCTCGAAGCTACAAACCTACATACAGGATGATATACAAGTTATACAAAGATTTATAAACGTTTGTTGAACATTTTTTTAATGAATATCCTTCTACATCATTCTGTCTTCAAGCTAAGAAGCGAATTGGCTGTTAAAAATAGTGAAAAACTAAAGGAAACTAAAAAAACACCTGATCTTCTAAAGGAACTGTTCGTGTAAGCGCCCCTTCCAACTAGTTCTGTCTGTAAAGAAGAAACAAATATTGTGTGTTTTGTGTGCTATGTTCTACCTATAGAAACAGTACTGCCACCATACAGGGTGCTACAAATTCGAGGTACGAGCATTGGCAACTCGGAAACCGTAATAGATAGGAAGATGGTTAAATTGGGGCAAAGTTACTTCTTGGAATGTTCACCAAGATACCATCAAAAAAGATTTAAAAATTTCAAGAATTGCTGAGTTTTTTTGAAAAAAAAACGGATTTTTTTTGAAAATCAATTTTATTTTTTCCTGCCGTGACTTTTTAGAAAATCAAAAAACTAACTGCACATTCTCATAGCCACTTTATCAGGGCTATCTGATGGTATTTTTATATTTTCAAATTAGTTGATAGTTTGTGAGATACAGAGGCCAACTTAATTTTTTTAAATACGGACCTACATTTTTTATTGCAGGTTTTGAAAGAACTCGATCTTCTGAGTACAACAATGTGCCACACTTGATACTTTTTTTGTTTTGGGTACCTTAACAATAACAAAACTATTTAATTATCATTTAAAATAATTTCAAGTTCGACTCCGGTTTTTTTAATTTATTTAATTTGATTATATTCATCGCAACAATATTGATCAGCGCTAATTAACATTGAATAACGAAAATCGAGCCAATTGAAAGATTCAAATAAATAATATCTAGGTCAGCAATTTAAAGATATTATTTTTAACTTGAATTTTCTATGTGAATTTGAAATTTCAGTGTACGATCTAATAATATGCATAATATTAATCGTAGTTATTATAAATTAAAATTAATCAACTTCTACAAACTAGTTTCTAATGCTCTACATGTTCGAAAGGGTTACTACCCTTCCTAATGCACAAATTTAGTTTTCGTTCAATATTATTATAGCTCTTTGAACATATCTTCTTCTTATACTTCCGAATGGATTTTGTACTCTTTATTGTAAATGTTAAAATTTTTTGATTTCACTTTAACAAATGACGTCAAGTAATATATTTATTAATATTTTATAGTAATAAGGGATTTTCCGTATTCAATGTTTACCTGTATTACACGTCATTGTTAAGTTTCAAAGCTTTTCAGTATTGTAAAAAAAAAATTTGAAACTTGAAATTAGTTTAAATAAATTGTGTTAAATAACAAAAAATATTAAATGTGGCATACATATCATTGTACTCAAGAGATCAAGTTCTTTCAAAATCTGAAACGTATTTAAAAAAATTGGCGCCGGAAGGCACGTATAGCCGCCCATACTAAAATATGTTAATATCTCGAAAACTGCAACTTTGACTGATTTTGATGTTATTACAAATTTTGTTGCAAATATTATTCCTAATCTTAATTTGAAAATCGCGTTTCGCTAGCTACTGTAATTTTGGAGTTACGATTTTTTTTAATTTCAACCCCCTCCTATACCCCCTTACCAACCACCCGCCCCCACCAAAAACTAATGACCGGATTCTCGGGTGCCACAGTATTTTTGTGCCAAATTTGGTTAAAATCGGTTCAGCGGTTTTTGAGTTATCGTGTTACAGACGGACAGAGGGACGGACAGACAGACAGACAGACACCACGAAAATATTTTGTATTTAGGTCATTTATGACCCAAATAGCTCATTTTGAGTGAAATTAAAAAAGCTTTTTTTTGCGGATCCTAATAGCCTATTGGTATGTTCGGATAGCCTACCATACCTATTGGTATGTTCGGATAGCCTACCATGGTCGGCTAAAAATTAAGTTAGTCCCTGTATCCAAATTATCAGCTAATTTGAAAATATAAAAATACTACCAGATATCCCTAATAAAGCGACTAAGAGAATGAGCATTTAGTTTTTTGATTTTCTAAAAAGTAACGACAGGAAAAAATAAAATTGGTTTCCAAAAAAATCGTTTTTTTTTCAAAAATCTCAGCAATCCTTGAAATATTTAAAGCTTTTTTGATGGCATCTTGGTGAACATCCCAAAGCGCAACTTTGCCCCAATTTAATCATATTCGTATCTATTATGGTTACCGAGATACCAAAATGCTCGTACCTGGAATTTGTAGCACCCTGTATAAATAAAAGTTTAATAAACATAACAGACATTTAATATATTAAACAGTGATAAACGTTTAATTCATCCTTTGTGAGAAACGTCATGGTAAACCAGATATGGTACTGGAATTTTCTTTTGCCATTTTGGATCCCTATCAATAAGTAAAAAAAATTGTGGACAATTTAATTTGTTTTCCCTAAATAATTGGTATAAAACACCACAGTCGTAGGCGAATCTTTTATCAAAAATATAAATAAATAAATGATTAGATTAGGGAAAATATCGCCATCTAGCGGCCATATGTACAGGGTGGGTCAAATTCGACGCTTTTAAATAGAAACACCCTTTTCTATAGGAGATAGACTAAAACTAATATCGGTGTCTGGAGCTCAATTTTCATCAAAAACATGATGGTGAAAACCGCACATCAATATCTGTTACCGTTTCGGAATTACGGGGTGTTTTTCAAAAATGTACATTTTTAAAAAATTGCTGTAACTTTTTTGCTATGGAAAATTTTGTATTTCTATGAAAAGATTTCCAAAGCACCTTTCTACGTAGAATTTAATGGTTTAAGTATATTTTTTTTAAAATTAATAATTTAAGAGTTATCAACAGAAAAATTGATTTTTTATTTGGGACATCTTCTATATTTTTAATTAACTGAAAAGAATTTAAAATTACCTTTCCAAAAATATAGCACACTTGATATTTTGTTATAATCCCCTTCGAAATACAGAATTTTTAAAAGTTCGCCACTTTTAACTAGTAGCACAGAATATCTAGCTAGCTAGATATTCTGTGCTAGTAGGCTTTGGACCCCTTATTGATGATATGCCCTTAATGGAACTGGAAAACACATTTTTCCAGCAAGACGACGCACCGCATTAGAACGCTGAAGTTATCAGAAAATTTTTGCAGCCAATTTCAAGAATATTTGAATAGCTAACCAAGATCCCTGCCGTTGGCCGTCGAGGCCGCCTGACTTAGTGCCCATGGTTCTAATCCTATGTATATATTTGCGGAAGAATAAAGGTTCCTTATTCTTCCGTATAATCTAGACAAGAATTAGAAATACTTAGCAGTTATAAGAGGGTATCTTTCACCCCCAATGAGTTAATGAATTCCGCGAGAAATGTTTAAAAACTGCCCCGTATGTCCATAACAGAAGACGGTCGATATGTCGAACACCTGTAGCAAAATCTCATGTCTAGGTTTGTTATTTAATTTTATTGTTATTAGATATAGTTTAAATGTGTTGATATTGGTTTTATATATATTTTAAATTGTTATAAAACTCTGGCATCTCTCATAGCAAATATTATTTTCGTTTTAATTGATGCTCACAGCTACAATTTTTTTGCATTACAGCCGGTGCCGTTCAAAGCCTACTTATTTAAAGGGGGCGATTTTTTATATATTCTGTATCTCGAAGAGGAATCGAGCAAAATATCAAGTGTGTTATATTTTTGGAAAGGTAATTTTAAATTTTTTTCAATAAATTAAAAATATACAGGGTGTCCCGTATAAAAAATCAAATTTTCTGTTGATAATTCTTAAATTATTAATTTTAAAAAAATTATACTTAAACCATTAAATTCTACGTAAAAAGGTGCTTTGGAAATATTTTCATAAAAATACAAAATTTTCCATAGCAAAAAAGTTACAGCGATTTGTTAAAAATGCATATTTTTGAAAAACACCCCGTAACTCCAGAACGGTAACAGATATCGATATGCGCTTTTCACCATCATGTTTTTGACAAAAATTGAGCTACAGACACCGATATTAGTTTTTGTCTATCTCCTAGAGAAAAGGGTGTTTGCATTTAAAAGCGTCGAATTTGGCCCACTCTGTACACACCACAAGTACCTAATTATTCTCTATATTTTTTAATAGTTTTTTCCCATATATTACCTGCTTATCCTCTTCCAGGGTGGGTAACAAATCGTCCGTTGAATGCGGACTAGGGGTGGGGGCGATCCTACTGGTTGACGCTGACGTCATTTTCGACAGACGTCTTTGCATCTCTCTCTCTTCCTTCTGCTCTCTCTCCCTCTCGTACCTTCGGGCGCTGTAGCTCCTCACCGAGTTGGAGCTGTGCACCGAAGCTAAGCTTGGCCTTCTAGAGCCTTTGGAGTTGAAGAAAACTGGTCATTTTTGGGTTATAGCACAGAATATCTAGCTACGCAATATCTTGCGTAGCTAGATATTCTGTGGTTATAGTGTTTAGAAAAAAGGATATTGTAGTGTCAGTCTTTCTCAGATATGCCAAATTATAATAAAATCGAATTTGCAAATATTTTAAATACAGATTTTGAAAAATATGTTTGTAGGAAGCTAGAATCTATGGTTTTTGAATTTTTAAATAATCTAAAATCGACGTTATGTGAGAATACTGACAATACATTTTACAAGTGCAAAAGCAATAACTGTCTTACACATTACATATTTTATACAGGGTGTCCTAATAATCCGTGCAAATAGAAATACTGCGTATTTTTGGATGCTGCGTACTTTTGGTGCTTCGTTTGTCCGCTAGAGGGTACCAATCAAACATAAACCCGAACATTATTTAATTAAAAAAAAAATCTTAAGCTTTTTATGAAGCTTATTGTCAAATATGTGGAGTTGGAAAATATTTATACTAATATTTATATAGGGGTGGGGACAGTTTTCACCCTTCCCGTAATTTTTCTTGATTTTTGTGAAAGCCAAATGTTAGAGCACTTAGCAAAACATAGACACCCAAAATCTCATTTAAATCGGAAGAATGGTTTTTAAAATATCTGAAAAATTATCTTTATTTTTTTAAAGTTTGGTGCCCTCTAGCGGACAACAAAGCACTTTTGTATAGAGGTAAACTGTGCTCAATGAACTTATTTTAATTCCAAAAATACGTAGTAGTTCTATGTTCATAGAACATTGAGACACCCGGTATATTTTGTATTCTTCATAATCAATTCATTTTTTATCTTTAACTTCCCCATCCCTGACATTTTAATAAAACCTCTGCAAAAACGTTGTTCTTTCTTTCCTTCAATGCGTTTTTTTTATAATTGTAGACTATTCGAGTCTAAAATAAGTACAGGGTGTCCCAAATTCGAGCCTTCGGAGGGAGAATGGAGGCAAAGTTGTGCAATTTGATGCTGATCATAAAAGCCAACGTAAAAGTTTAAAAATTCCGAAGATATTTAGAAAAAAAATATTTCATAGAATCGTGGAGATATTGATGTGAAAAGGCTCGATTTTGGGATACCCTGTACATTACTGCAGAAAGTTATAGAATAAACAACAAACGTGGATTAGGTATGATAAAATATATAGTATAAAAACAGCCATATTTCAGATACACTGATTTACCAAAACTTTTTTAATTTTTATTACTTTTAAACGCTGAAAATGTACTAATATAATATTTGTAGTTATTTTCCTTGAAGTACAATTATATTGAACAATGAAAGCTACACATATAAAAGCTTGAGAAAACAAGTAAAAGAATAGGATAGTAATAACAATAACAATAAATAATATCTCAGTAAAATCACATGCAAAAACAGAAAAAGAACAAGAAAATATATACAGTAAGAAAAGCATGCTGTTGTGTTACTGTTATATTCAAATTATATATTAAATTTAAGTATATTTTATCGTTTTGTTAATGCATAATTAACAAAACGATAAATTTCTGTTATTTGTTACTAAAAAATCATCAAACTAATGTTTTAAGAAATGATATATGCCACTGCCATCTTGCTTTGTTTCCTGTTATTTTATACAAAAGAAATACATTTTATTATATTTTATTAGAGTTATATACAAGGAATTCTATGGAATTACTTTGACTCGTATCACGTACAATACAATATTGTAACAAATACTATACTGTATGATTTTCTATTATTGTGTATAGTGTGTATTAGCCGCAACAATAGCTTAACACAAATATCAGTGTAGCCAACTATATTAAAAAACTTATAATTATTGTGTTGCTAGTACTTAGGCAATATAACATTGCGATAGGTAAACTGCATTTCAATTGATGTATTAAAATACGTGGGGTATTTTTATACCCCAATTTTTCTCGTTAAAAAATAATTGGGGTATTAAAATACCCCACGAAAAAACTTACGGAGATGAAGAATCTTAACTTACAGAAACTTCTGCGAGATAAGATTCTTCTGCGAAGCTTTAGATCTTAGTGAACTTACTAGAAAATCACACACAATTTGTTCAATGAAAATATTTACATTGTCTAAGTTCTACTACAATTTCTTGAACGACAAGTTGGCAACACCGACTAATTAACACGCCACCACGCCCACGGTGCAGCAACATTTTGACAATCACCGAAACATTACCAACACAGAATATACCGGGAACATTCAAACAGTACCGAGATCGAGCGCCGCGCTACCGGGGCTGCGCGCCAGGTAGTCGCAATAGGACAAGAGCAAGATGGCGGCGGCGCGGGCCGCACCTGTGCGTGACTGCGGCACCGTCGCCACTCCCGGCGCTCGGTGCAACGTTGCCAGACTGCTGGCGCGGCGCGTCGACGTCGATCCGGTGCGGCGCGTGGACGCCTGCGACGTGGCACCGTCGCCTCGGGCCAGCATGGGCAGGGGCAGGGAGCCTGGAAAAAGGGGGCGAGTGCGGTTCGTGGGTAGTACGTCACATATATGTCAATTAAAGAACTATATCGGGGGGAGATGTCGCTAATATAGTTCTTAAAAAGACACATTGGATGCTTAAAAGGAACAGAATAGGGATAGGACCTATAAGCGACAGAAACACTACATTCTAAACAGATATTTAGAAAACATCTATTTTGAAGGAAACACTGACTCATAAATTACAACTACAATATATAAATCACATTTGAGTACTATCATAACCAAATCAGTGGTTCTTAAACTGCTCAAAGGTTTTTATAGAGCTTTTTAGAGCCACTGGTTTGAATCACTTTCACAAGTATATATTTTATGTAGTATAAATTTTGAGACTATAAAGAAAATATACATGGTGTCCCTTAAACAACTGCAAGTATTTTTTAAGGAATGATAGTGTTACGTTTTTCCTCGGTTCCGTGTGGATAGAAAGTTACAATTTATTTAAACACAATTTATTTAACACTAATTAACAAAAACAATAACGATAAAAAACTATTTATCTAGAAAGAATTTATTTTGAATTTTAGCGCGTCAACTGTACTCGTCTATTTATTTCTGTCTTCTTCAGGCCCCAGCCGCCGGCTTTTATACCCACAGCTAAAGAGCTTTCGAATAATCCATAGATCGTTAGGTGCATAGAGAAGGTTTCGAATGTTCTCGTATGTACTACTCCATTCCAGTGGAACTCGATTCTTCTCGAACGTTCGAATGAATCATTACGGTATCTATTTTTTAATGCGATGTTAAGGTCATCTGGGGGCGGGACATATAGTTAGGTTAGGTCGAGTCCACACGGGTCCGCAACAATAGATTTGGACATAAGAAACATATTTTCTATTTACCAATTTTAAAATAAATTGAAAATAACGTTATTTAAGTTTAAAATTTTAAAAAAATAATGCATACATTTTGAGGACCACCGACATCAATTGGCAATCAGCCGGATCCCTGTTTTGACATTGCACAGTCAAGAAATTTAAGGCTAATGAACCTGCGACACTAAAAAGTTTTTTGGAAATTTGCCCAAAAATGCCGAGAAAATAAATGTAAAATATTCAACAATTTTTTTTGCAAAAAACTCATGACTTGCAATAGTTTAAGGATTACCTTGTATATGGTAAATAAAAAAAATATTAGACTGAAGAAAGTCAATAAATAACTAAGAACTATTATTTCTATCCAAAAAACTGAAAGAAAAACTTTTTGAAGTTAAAGGTTTATTACCATTTGAAATTAACACTTCTCCAAATACTACTATGTAAAGACTGTTCAGCCATCGTTTACCGTTACATCATCATTATTTGTCAAATCGAGTTTTAGGGTGTGCCTGAGATCAGTTCATATATTGTTATTCTTGAACTCTTCATCAGTTACGATCCCTTTAATTCAAATCCTTTGGACTGTTGAAATTCCTGTTTCTAAAGCATCAGCAACTCGCTATATTATTTAAAAACGCTATAGATTGTATCTTACATAGAAATATTATACCATAAATATATATTACATTGTACTTCACTTCATATACGGCGTTCACGGTCCAGGAGTGTTCTAGCAGCGTTTCTTTCTCGAAAAATAATTTATAAGCTTAGCAATAATCTCTTGTTCATTTTGGTTAAATCTTTAAGGCCTCTTTGCAATAAGAAAAATTGAATTTTGTTTTACAGCAACAATCAAATTTTAATTTCAAATCATCAAATTAAATGACAATGACAGTTACTAAAAAGAATATGCAGTAATTTACGAAATACCGTAATGACGTCACCAATATCTTTCATCTGGTTTGAAGTGATTGAGATAGTTTGACAATATATGACGTGACGTTGAACGATAGCTGAATATTCTATATCTATTCTGTTCTGTAGAAAAATCTAAATCTTACAACATTTATAACACACAGTTTCAACAACGAATCAGTTAAAAGATTCTTAAAAGTTCACACCAATCCAAAATGCAAGGACACTTACATACATACACACGTTCAAGAAATTTTGATTCAATTTATTCTCAATAATATAATTTAATCCACTCACTTGGATCACCCGAAAACAGTATAGGTGGCGCCAGGTTGGCATTTCCAAACCTGTGCCTCCTGGCACCAGATCCATAAAGGTTCTGATTGAACAAGTGCAGTACGAAACAAATCAAACCTGACAGTATTGCGATTCCAGATAAAACTCCAGCAAACGTTGAAAAGTCTGTTGTTATTACCTGAACGTCTAGATCAGAAGAAGAATAAAATATAATCTAAATTATGAAATGCATGCTTAATAATTCTACCTTCTGCACAGAAGATCTTCTTAGATGGTTTCTGGATTGATACAGAATGGTATCCAGACTGACACTGGCAGATGGCGTTGTGGTGTACCTGGATGCAGGAAGCATGCTGATCGGTGTATTCGCAGGCTTCGTGGTAGTAGCATTGTTCTCCCAATTTCTTAGCTGAAAGTAGTATTATTTCTTATAATAAATAAAGTTTGTATCAGTTTATGGTTTCTAAAAATTTTACGTTAAAATCAATTAACTGAGTGTTGACTATACATATAGTGGTTTTCAATGTCAATATTTCATGGGTATAGTGATAAATGAGGTCTAAATTATAAGAAAAATACATTTTCTACGAAAACTTGTAGAGATAGGGTGTTTTATTTAAATTAAACAAGTTATTGGCCGTTTAAAGCTAGTAATTATTTAATATAAATTATGGACACTCTGTATATGGCAGTATAATTTTTATTATTGTAACACAATATCTGATCAATAAATAATTTTTAGTAAATATTTAGTATTAAAAACTTTGATACCCTTGGAAAAATCAAGTCTTAAATTTTTTACTGCAATTTCACACAATTGAAAATATTTCCAAAACGGTAAGGTTTAAGTGTGACAAACCTTAATCAAATTTATCTTTATTTCAATCGTAGAATCTAAAAATAGAATTGTTCCATTTAAAAAAATCCAACTATAATATTTTTTACTTCTTTAGGATTACAGAGTATCTTGTTGTATCTTTCAACGAACAGAAAACATACAATTTGTAAAAATCTAATCGTTTAGCTACAATACTCCGTGTCGTATGTGGTGAACAACCCTGTATAAAATAAAAATAAGTTCTGTGTGCATTTGAGATTTAAACGATATGAAGAAAGTAAACATTTTATATAACAACAGACAAATAAATTGATTCGTATACATTTCAATAGATATATCGGGAATTACATGATGTCTTTTATACCCTTATCCTTACGTGATGTTGGATATTTCTAAAATGTCACAGAAAAATAAGATTTGAAAATCTTTCTATGACATGTATAGTATCAAGCAAAAAATAGTGTGCAATATTCAATATTATAAGAATCACGTTTTTTATCTATGCTTTAACAACTTTAATAAGGGTTGTTTACAAACAACCCCTAACATTATGTTAGAAGTTTAAGTTATTTAATAAACTTTTAATGAAAACCTTCAATCTATACTCTAATTAGTATACTAATTGCTATGGGTTGATTAATTATAATGTTATTAGTATTGAAAACTTTATAATATCAGATTACTAGCAAATGTAATATTACCTAAAAGTGCAGAAAGTTCAAGATTCATTAGTGTTCAATAAAATAATAAATAGAAGAATATATTAAGTTAGGTTGTTAAGTTGTTAAAATAAATTATTCTTCAGATTTTCGGAACTTTTTTTTCTAAACTATTATTTTGTTCTAAACTATTTAATAAATAATAATTCTTATATACGAAATAAATATATTCACTTTTATTTGATTTTTTTACATCAAATTTATATTTTTTTTCCATAGCAACTGTTAAAAAAATTGCCTTATATCTAGCTACGTAGCTAGATATTTTGTGCTTATATCTATCAAAAATAGTACTTTAACAGCCAGGATAGATTAAAAACTTTATTCTGCAATCTTGTATTAAAAATATTCAAATTACAAAGAATCATCATTATTATTTGTATTCATGCAAATTTCTATGGTGCAATTGACATTACCCGAAATATGCAATGAGCCAATGTTTTTATTGACCAGTATTGTACTTTTTAGCATTGAATAGTACGAACATGAACTGGACGGCTGCATTTTCTTTGATTTTTCAGAAAAATATGCTAAAAGCATGTTTTCGCCTGATCTTTCTTCTCGCATGTTATTTAATTGCTTCCATTTTTGAAAATTTTTGTATTCCTTTTCATAAGTTATTCGGGATTTAAATGGATGTAGTTTGAATATGGCGTTTGTCGCCTCAGCCTGAATATCTGTTGGTAATTTACTTATTTAATTTTGAGCCATTTCTGGCTCCAATTCAATCAGCAATCGACACGAAAGAGAATTAAAAAATATTGACTCAAAACTGACAACTAAAGAGACAGCTTTATTTATTTGTCAAATTACATAGAATCCAACGCCAACCCAGCACAATATTTTTTCTACTCGTAATAAATTCCTTGAAATAATAATTTCTGAATATTTTTTAAAACGTAACTCGCTATGAAAATAAATATTGTTTTATACACGACGATAAAATTGCATTATCTTGTCACGAAATTAATCTTTACGATCGACGATAAAATACCATTTTATCGTCTTGTATAAAAAATAATTATTATTCACCACCATTTATTGCGTTTAAGATTTTCTTCGTTTTGTATAGCATTCAACCAAACATACTACATAAAGTACATAGTTAACCCCGCTAACTGCAAGATCTGTAAAATTAAGCCACTTTTTTGCGAGCCTTGACTTTAATTGGATTGGATAGCGTCCAAATTAAAGCGAAAATACCCTCAACCGCCGCGATAAGAGCCATAATAGGGCATGGAAACGATCCAAAAACAAAACATTTCCAGATATACGTACGTTTCCTACAGCCAGAGTATGGATTGTTGAGTCTGACTGGATATTTCTTCTCGCATTCGCAGCGACTGCTCGCCGGGTTGCAGTAGACGTGCTGCAGGCGGGAACTGCAGGTGAATTCGCAGGAAGCACCGACGTACAGTCCTTTTTCTGTAAAAAGAATGAGGAAATGCAGTTCTTTTAACGTGATTTACATTTTAAAAAACAATTCTTTATTACGCATATTTGATTTATACAGGGTGGTGCACCTCCTTCGGCATTTATTATAAGAGTTTAATATGTTTAAAAGCTTTGGTTTTTGATATATTTAAAGATATTTAAATTTGCTTGCTACAATAGAATAGACTATTAACACCCTGTACATTACTTTTCAGAATTAATTCTTATGCTGAGTTTAAAGGTAGAGAAATAAACTTTACAGAAAAATGGTATTGGTTCCTTAAATTTATACAGGGCTATCAAAAGTTGTTAAAATATTTTTAATCGATTGTTCCCGCAAAAAATCTCCGATCTAGATATTGTAGTTGTCTAGAAACCTCTAATGCACGCTCAGCCTGGAACACCCTGTATATTTATATCTATTCTAATGTATATAGTACCGTCACTGGAATTTCCCTGTAGCTCCACGACCTCGTCCTTCTCGTCGTCCAGAAGAGGCTGGTCATCGTCATCGTCCTCTGAGTGGTAGTTCCTAGGGGGCGCCAGGCGCTGGCCCCAAAACGGCACCGGCAGGTACAACAGCAGCAACATAAAAGCTAGCAGCGGGTTTTTCATCTCCCGGCCTCGAGGCGACCACCGTTGCTCGCTAGCTGCCTCGCGGCATTCGATAACATGGTAACTGGATCCTGGAACAAAGTGAAGACAGTAGGATTAGGATACAGATAATTACCGTTTTGTAGAAGAGAAGAAGCGTTCCACTGTTGTCCCATAGACACAAAAAAATGCGAAAAAACGCTCCGCGCAAAATGTTTTGTTGCAGACTGTTTGGAGTGTGCGGCGCGTTTGGTTTGTTCGGAGTGCTTTGTTGCAAGTGAATACGCACCTTAAGACTAACGCTATAAACATAATATTATATAAATAATATTATAGTGCTTTTGAAGTTGTATTTTTTTTTGATCTGGATAAACAAATTGGCAATTGAAAGAAGAGGTCCTTAACAAATATCTTCACCTCAACGTGTTTCTTGAGACGGAATAATGATCAGTGTAAGAAATCCAATTATCCAAGAAATTCAAAGGTCTCGGTAATCTTCTTTGAGCAACTTTTCTATTTCTGCTTCTCTTAGAAAATAATTTAATAAATAAGCTCTTATACCGTATGAATAGAATAAAAACGGCGTCAACGATGACTATGAAATGAAGATCGCTGTCATTTTATATGTAAAATTATATGGGAAATATCATCGATCGCACATTTTGAGGCATAGATATGTATCTCAGAAATTAAGATGTTTAGGACATAAAAAAAATCGAAAATTTTACCACCCTGTATCTAAAAAGTTAAGATGTTTAGAACATATATTCATATGAAGTTTTCTCTTAGATTAGGCCCAAAAATCACGCTCTTAAATATTAGCATGCCATTAAGGACCACCCTGTATAGTACCTGTATTATATTTTTACAAAAGCTCATAGCAGCAAATAAAAAAATATACATGAGTGTCTCATTTAAAGAAAAACAAGTTTGAGTCATATTTAAAAAATTAAAGTTCCAAGCGAAAGATTAGTTACACCACTGAATTCTACGTGAAAAACTCTACGGGACACGTTTTCATCTTTTCAAAGTGGTCGAAAATTGTCACTTTTTAAAGTTCGCCCTGTATTTCAGAAACTAAGAAGGCTAGGTAGCATTTCTAATTTCATAAAAAAGTAGTACTTGATGTGAAAACCGCATCTTTGTATCTCTATTCATAAACGATAACCTCATAACACAGAACATATGAAACTAGGACATCCTGTATACTGACTTGAAAACAAAAAAATATAAAATGAATGGAGTGATGACATCAGTTATTAAAGTTATCCCTCTTATAACATTTGCACGCGAAAGAGTTATTGAATTATTAAGAAATTATTATGGAGATAAAGTTCAATAAAGAAGTTAGATGGTTGTCCGCTTTTAGCCTAAATCTCCCCTACTATTTTAATGCAACTCGCCAACTAGCCGCTATTTTATTACTTCCGGGAAATATAGATTTATTAGTTTTAGTGTAGTGGGTGCAGGAAATCTTGTCCGGATGTTGGTACTACCGAGATTAGAACTTGGAGCCGTTTCGATACCGTTATATAATGGCTTTCTACATCGGAATTAACAATATAAATAAAAAATATGTTGACAAGAAACGCCATGTGAAGTTATTACTGAAAATTGCCTAGAGAAAAACTACGTAATGAGAGATTGTAATTCACATAAAATTTGGTTAGAAAAAATTCTTTAAATACATTCGTATATACCTGGTGTTTTTTAACAATGGCTAACCCCCCTATACATTTTTTATTTTTTCAGATAAAAAAACGAGATTTCGTATTTTAGTATATGACATAAATAGGGATTGATTGACGTATTCATTTTGTTTCGTTCACTTCCTGTTTCACCGGAAATGACTACAACTTTTGATTTTTAAATACATGGTACATGGTACATGGTACACTCGGTATTTTTTTACTTTATTTGTCAGGAAATAACATTCTGAATAGAATTTTGGGTCAAATTGTCTTTAAGCAATATCATTGTACTCTAGATTGAAATTTAAAATATTATTTTTAAGCAAAAATGTCAAAAGTTGACATATGATCCCTTTATTCTATTAAAAAAACAGTGTACCTACTACTAAAAAGCAGTGTATCCTTTAAAAATCAAAACTTATAGTCATTTCAGTGAATCAATCATAATTTATATCATATAATAATAACATACCAAATCTCGTTTTTTTTGTCTGAAAAAAATAAAAAAGTTATAGGGGTGAGTCACTAGAACAAGTAAATTTAAAAATAACTGTCCTTATACAAAAAAAAACAAATAAAAATTATAAAACATTATACCAAAAAAAGATCAAAACAAGACATGTGAAAAAGTGAGAAAAAAAGATTTAGTCTGAAATATTTTCCGTGTTGGGATGCCATATATATCTTTCATAATTAGATTTTTAGCCTGTTTTAAAAGAACCAACAATTAAGCTCATAAAATAACAGTTCTTTTGAAGCACAAATAGAAATGAAACGAAAATAGAAAAAGTAAGCGAAAAACAAAGATATAAATTTTAACACATTTCATATAAATTTATTTAAATTAGATTTTAAATCTGTTTCAACTTTTAAACAGCTGTTTTCTACAAAAGTATGAAAGTAACATAACTAAAATGTAAGAAAATACAGATAAAATTTAGAACAGAAACAACAAAGATTCAATTTAAGATATTTTCCGGCAAGAACTTTATATTAAAAATCTTTTAAAAATGCTTTAATATAACAAGAATTAAATTCTTAAGATAACTGTTTCCTTGACACCAAAAAAACAGTCTAAAAGAAACTAAAAAATATAAACAGGAATTAAATATAAAAAAAATAGTAAACACTAATATAGTTTAAAATATTTTCCAATACATTTTTTAGTTCAAACATATTTTAGATCTGTCCTAAAAATTTTATATCTACTCTGCTTTTAACTGAAAGGAAAATGCAATTAAAATCTCCCAAAATACAGGTAAAATACAAATCATTTTTACGGTGATAACTCGATCAATAAGAACCCCAAATTCGAAAATAAACCTCTCGACGCAATTCTCACACAACTTCACCCCTTCCTTAGGGTGTATTTAACCAGAATTCACCCCAGGGGTGAGTCCAATTGAGTACTTACGGGTTTTTGAGTCGGTTTCCTATGAGAAGAAGTGTTTTTGGGCAAAAACTAGGGTGCACCGATCGCGTATACGCCACGGTTTACCGACACCGAAACCTACAGAATGCGTGGCCCTTTCTGCCGATAGGGGGTGGAAACGCTGGCCTATTATGGCCCTTATACGGCCGGAAAAATCTGGAAAGTGTTAGAAATCTGGATCATATACCGATCTGGATATCTTAAATGAGTTTGTCTCGATTTTAACGCGTAAGATCTCCAAAAATGTCAAAATAAAACACTAATTCACCACATTAATACACCAAAACACTTTTATTATTGCACTGAACGCGCGTTTCGCTAACCATTAAGCTACACGCACACTGGTGCGATCACGGCCGCGATCACGATCACGATCAGGGCAGCGATATCATGAGTCACTCCACAACAACGAGTTAAGTTGACCGATAACTCTTTTTCCTTGACCAACTTTATTTGCAATATCTTGAGTGCTTTTTCCATTTGTTGTAAAAGTGACGCCCAAGTATTTAAATGTACAGACATTTTTAATTGTGCCGATTCCTACATCCAAGTCCTCACGTTCGTCATCACCCACTACCATGTACTCCGTCTTCTTTGTCTTTATTGTTAGGCCCCATTTCGAATATTCCTCATGCAGTTTTCTAAACATATAACTGGAGTCGTCTCTGTCTCCCGCTATCAAGACCTGGTCGTCGGCAAAGAGTAAGGTATATATAGTGTTTTTTTCCTACTGGGATTCCCATTCCACGGCATTTTATCTTCCAACACTTCAGTACTTCCTCCAAATATACTTTAAATAAAGTTGGTGCTAATGAACACCCTTGTCTTAAGCCCTTATTTACAAGAAATTTTTGGGAAATATTGTTTCCAAGTTTAACTGTGCTACTGCAACCCTCGTATAATTTTCTTGTTGCTTGGACATACCAACTACTGATACCAAAATTTTGCATTGACACCCACAACTTACTCAGTGGGACTGTATCGTATGCCTTCTGTAGATCAATAAATGTCAAGTGGACCGTCCTTCCCCAATTAGGCGGCTTTTATAAAACAAACTAGGCAAAGAAAATAAAGACCTCCTACTCTGGGTGTCACTCCACCAAAAAGGTGATAAGGAGGTAATGAAAAAGCAAACGATCTAGCTAGAAAAGGAACAAACACTCCACTAACTGGACCAGAACCGTTCTGCTTCCCAAGTGGAAACTAACTTAAAGCAGAACTCAAGAACCTGGAAAACTCCATTCGGAACCTGGAATGTTAATCCTCCAACGGTCTAAGACACTAAAATATATTTCTCGGTCTCCTTAATGGACACCTCAGTAAATTGAAGCTAAAAAACAACGGAGAATGGAGACTCTATGAAGAAAATATGGAAATACCAGAACACTTAATAACTGAGTGCGCCGAGACGACGACAATTCGTGCCAGAGAGAGATGGAGAACTACTTTCTGTAAAATTGTCTCAGATACTGTTTTTTGTCAAAGTTTGGACGTTTAAAAAACTATACTCAACTATTATCACGAGTATAGTAGGCCCTCTTTAACAAACTTCCAAGGGTCACGACACATGCGCGATTTCGGCGTACAATATGCAGAAATTTGGTATTATCCGATGTTGTTATGACTGCTACGGGATTCTTCACAGCCCAATTACCTAGAAAAATATTGATCTATCGAAAGGTATATTCGTACGATAGCTGTGTCCTTAATTTATATTAACACACCTCCAGTCCCAAGTAAAAAATGACTTGACTGAATACTGAACAGGGGCAAGGATAGATTTTTTCCCGGAACAAGCGTTATTGGGGTTGTTAAATTTTGGTGACAAAGCGAAATATATTTCATGGGAACTGTAAATGAAAATTGGGGTTAAAATGATGAAAAATTATTTTGGAATTAATGATAATGAGGATAAGAGTTTTATTAATATTTTTAAATAAATTTTTTGAAAATGTTTTATAACTTTTTGATTTTTCATCTAATTTTCATGATATTTTTCCAGTTGTTAAGTCAATTAATTTTTATTATTTTTTTAACATTTTAATAACTATAATAGTTTTGCGATACTACATAGGTATAAACCAAAATTAAATTTTTGTTCAGAATTTCAAAGCACCCTCTGAGAAATTTAAGGTGGATATTGTTTGATACAATCTTAGATGTAATAATACACAGGGTGTCAAAAAAATAGTGTATCTAACTTCTATGGGTGATTCTACAAATAAAAATAAAACAAAAAGTTCCTATGAACATAATATGCTCCAAAATGCTTCCCGAAGAGATTACAGCCCAAAGTAAAAAAACAAACAATATAAAAAATCTCTTTTTTTCCATAGCACCTGCTAAAATTGCCTTATATCTATCAAAAATAGTAGATAAAATAGATAGAATAATATATAATAGAATAGTAGATTAAAATGATACTTTAACAGCGAGGATAGGTTAAAAACTGTATTTCTTCTCGCACGTTTTTTAATTGCTTCCGTTTTTTTAAATTTTTGTATTCTTTTTCATAAGTTATTCGGGATTTAAATGGATGTAGTTTGAATATGGCGTTTCTCGCCTCAGCCTGAATATCTGTTGGTAATTTACTTACTTCGTTTTGAGCCATTTCTGGCTCCAATTCAATCAGCAATCGACACGAAAGAGAATTAAAAAATATTGACTTAAAACTGACAACTAAAGAGACAGCTTTATTTATTTGTCAAATTACATAGAAACCAACGCCAACCCAGCACAATATTTTTTCTACTCGTAATAAATTCCTTGAAATAATAATATTTGAAATTTTTTTTAAACGTAACTCGCTAATAAAATACCATTTTATCGTCTTGTATACAAAATAACTATTAAAGTGTCTAAATGTAACTACTTCGGGAACCCTTTAGTTTTTTACCAAAAATACGTCTGATATATTACCTGCTATGCCATTTTTACCCCCGCTTACCCTACTATAGATAAAATTTTTAATTTTTGCGAACTACATAACATTAACAACGATTAGCTAATAAACAATAATAAAAAATCGTTTAAAATATTCTCGATAAATCCCCCGCTTTAAGTTATTGCTAAAATCGCTAAAACATTGACCGCAGACCAAGAACCAGTTGAATTAACAAGCGTAAACATCAATTTCGAAACAACCATTCTTTATTTATTATAAACAATTTAGTCAGCGTCCAGTCTTATAGCGAGAACTATCAATAATTAAAACAAAACGTTTTTGGGTACAAATCTGTTGAAAATATCACAGTTTTAAGGTAATTTTTGGGCTATTTCTTCAAATTTCCATACATAAATATAGTCATTTAACTATAAAACGCTGGAAATAGATCTAAAATTGAGGTTTTGTTTATCTTTCAGAGTTCTACAGGAGTTAAATATAACCAAAGAGGTTAGTATAAGTCGACTAAGAATACTAGAAGGAGATATTTTTACTCAGACACACACAAGATGGCTTCAAAATCGTACGAATTTTACGTTATTTTAGTGATATCCTGTTTTATAGTAGGAGCACGATCACAGGATTATAGGAATACACTACCACATCATAATAATGCCAGTAGTAGACAAGGAATATGTACTTTAGAAGTACCGTAAGTAATTTTACATTATTATTATAAAAAAAATAGATTTTAATACTTCTAATACCAAATAAATCTTCTTTAAAAATCTGATTCTATTTTCTTGGACTGTAAGAGTTTATTCTAATGATACAATTTTTCTCTTGAATGTTATTCAATACAATTAATTTGTTGATGTGAAGGTTAACTTTCTAAAAAGTAGTTTTTAGTATTATTTATATTAATGGATATACACTATGTCCCCGGATTGTCTTTACAAGAGGAAAAACGGGAGGAAGCATTTTTTTACTATTAACTTTTTAAGAATAATGCATTCTTCATAATAGTTTTTCTTGTTCTAAAATGGTTAATCACGATTATACTTTGCCAAATTTCTATACCGTTTTGTAGAGAAAGAAGATAAAAGAATATTAAAACATACGAGTAGTTGTGCATTTTTCAAAGTATGTACCAAGAATCAAACGCGTTTCCATGGTAAGATTGCAGGTTTATCGCACTAAATATGCCGGAACACCCTGTACATTGAATGAAGTAATAGATTTTAAAGAAAAATAAGGTTTACTTTTAAAAATATCGGGGGTATCGTTTAAAAATCGCTTATAATAAAGTATGTTGTTACTTTGTATAAAGATATTATATCTCATTTAAATATGGATATTAAAACACCCTCTATATTAATAAACTTCAGATTTGGTTTAAAAATATACTCTGCTCTGGTAATAAATTATGTAAACTTCTCTTTTATAATTCAAAAAACTCTAAACTTGTTCTGGAATCACTGAAAAACAAATATAGGGCTAACAGATACAAAAAGGGCGCATGAAAATTTAACTTATACGTCATGATGATGTATTGACACAAGACTAAATATCAAATTTTATAGAAAAACTTCCTAAAATTCGAAATTTATGAGAAAAAAGCTTTAAGAAACTATAGAAAAATTATTTTATTTTTTTTGTCTTAAACATATTTACAGGGTGAATCTTAAATAATTGCAAATATTTTCATGGCTGGTAGATCTCGATAAAAGAAACATATTCTCTCTTATATATTTCTCAAATAACTTCAAAATAACCGAGTTATTTTACTTTGAAAATTTCCAAAAAAAATATTTTTTGCTTAAATTTTGAGAACCACTGGATCCTTTTCTGGGTTTTCTTTTTTGTAACTTTAATGCTAGAACTATGTTGCCATATTATCAAGAAGTTATGCTGTCTAACTAAAAACTAAAAAAAAATCCAAATTTTTTTTAAAAAAATTAGGTATACATTTTCAAAAAAAAATTTGCCGAAGAAAACCTCATAAAACTACCCTTAAAAATATGTGAACTTATTTAAGACTCACCCTATATAGGTAGTTGAATTTTCATTAAAAATATATTGTTACATTTAAAAATAACTATGATTAAGAATCATATGAATAAAACATTGAAGTCGGTACTTCATTTAAATGTTTACAAGATATATTTTCTCGGAAACCATTGATGAGGTTAAGGTTACGTATTATATTGGTTTAATACTAAGTAGTTATGATAATCCAATATATATGGAAGTATAAACTAAACTACTTAATAAATATCTTGTGTTTACGTCGATGTACATAATTTAATAATAACTCGGGGATATTTAGATACAGTTTGCAGAAAATTATAATAATTAAATTAAATACTACATTAATGTGAACAGAAATAAATATTAAATATATGCTAATCAATGCAGCCAGTGCTAAACAAAATCGTAACTGTATTTCTAAGTATTCAGTATCAATTTAAAAAAGTTTAAAAACTTTTATAACATAATTTAACAAAATATGAAAGTAGTCTTTGATGAAACTATCGGTTTTCAAAGAAAAACATTTTATTTTTAATTAAAAAAAAACACTTTTATTTTAGAAGCATTAAACACAAAGAATCAAGAAAATTGTATATTTTGGTGTCAATTATTATAGAACTCCCAGGCACCAATTTTCATCCAAATATTGACGTTATTTCAGAAATTACTTGAAAAAAATCGAACTAAATATGAAACTTCTACACCCTGTATCTCCGAAACTAAGCATTTTAGAACATATATTTATACGAACTTTTTTACTTATTTTTATCTGCAGAAGATGCTGCCGAAGTTTCCGGAATACAGTTCAGGCCACCCTGTATATAAAATTATAATAGAACAAACAAAATATCAACCACTATAAAATTTTATTATGGAGATATGTAAACGACATTGAACATATAACACTTGTAGTAAATATTCTAAATATGTTTAAAAAATGTGCAAAGTAAATAAAAAGGTCAAAAAAATGGTTTTTATTTTTGCAAAATGGCCTCAAAAATAATTATAGTTTATATGCAACATAGGATAATTAGCGAAAATCAAGATTACGAAACAAGAGTGATGCTCTTTATTTTTGTTAATTAACATCATACTGTGTTAATTTACGAAAAAGAAGACAATGCCAAATAAAAAGAAAAAATATATATCAAATATACTGTTTTTTGGCTAATTCCTGTTTAATCAGTAAATGATATTTATTCTATTTATAACAACAAATTTGCACTCTTTCATATACTATGTATCCAAGATAACAATGAACGCCATGATGATCTCAGAAACTTTCTATTGCTTCCGAAGTTATTTTGGAAGAGATTGATTTTGTTGTGAAAATAAAATAATTTTCTTTACTTGTACTACATATTTGTTTTGATTCAACTTTTAGTAAAAAAAATATATTATTATTTTTTTTTTCAGAACGGTTGACATTATTTCTCCAGAAGACAGAATAGCAGGCATTCCCAGAGGCAATGGAGTAAGTAATTTTATATAAATGTATTATTTAAAAAAAACTTACTACTTACTTTTTATAACCCAAAAATATTTTTTTTATTTTCTTTCTGTTTTTGTATTACATTAATATAGTTTTTTTCATTTTAGTCAAGAGAAAATCTAAGTAGAATAGAGATTTGTTGTTCTGGATACGAAAAAGTGCCTCACACGTACCTTCGATGTGCCCCTGTATGCGAAAAAGGATGTGAAAATGGAAACTGTACAGCCCCAAATGTTTGTACATGTAAACAAGGCTTCATCAAGGTTTGTACAACCTTATATCATCATCTTAAATTTCTAGAATTATCATTTTTATTAAATTGAAACTATATTTGTCATTTAAATATATCACGACCTGTTATTGAAAATTAAATTGAACTGAGGTTTTCTTAAAACAAAATTGTTAATATTAATTTGAGTCAAATTGGGTTAAATTGATAAGCTGATGTCCAGTAAATCGCTCATTACAACAAACATTAGACTGAGTTATGTAATGGTTTCAAACTAAATAGACATGGCAGATTTATATTATGTATGTTTGGTTTCGTGGATTTATGACCATAGAATGCAGCATTTGCTGTTTAAAACTGTCTTTTGTTAGAAATACTCGTTGTAAAATAATAACCACGTAATTTTTTGTATTCTATTATATCACTCTATTATTAAATAACAATATCTGCAACCTTATCTGAGATTCATCCTATATATGTGAGCAAATAATTTTCTAGCGAAACGCCAATTATTCGAAAAATCTAACTACTTTTAATTAATATAATACATATTTATTTTTTAAAATGCAACCTAATTTTTTTCACATCTCTTGAATTTTTACCACTTTTATATTTGCACCCTGTAGATTTTATGGGTTATTTAAAATTTAAATCAAATTTCCTTTACAGTAATTATATCACAGATATTAAGATTTTTTTTAATTATAACTTCCTAGAAACTTGGTTAATTATGATCAGTTAAAAAATATTTTGTAATAAAAACAAATAGCAGTTTTTTTAACAATTTACTACCGATTTAAACAATATTTTTTAGTGATATTGTTTTTTTCATTGGAATTTCCATTTGTTTTTATTGTTCTAATTTCTAAAAGCAGAATCTGACGACTCGTGTACTTGGCAAGTATGCTATCTCTGTAAAAAAACACTTTTTTGCAACAAGCTTGGCGCTCACGCAGCGCGACGATTGACAAATAATTGCACAAGGAAACCGCTCACACGATATGGCAAGTATATATGCCAATAACAAATGTTTGTACAAGTACACGAGTCGTGAGAGTCCGCCTTAATAGGCGGATTCTGATGACTCGTGTACTTGGCAAGCCTTAAGGCGGATTGTGACGACTCGTGTACTTGGCAAGTTTGCCAATACTTGTGCAATTATTTGTCAAATGTTGTGTAGAAAGATAGTATACTTGCCAAATATGCAAATATTGGCGTACTTGCCAAGTACACGACTCGTCAGAATCATTCGTGCCATGAACTTTGGTACGACTGATATGGGAGATGGAGAACTAACCTCTGTAAAACCGTCTCAGATACTGGCTTTTGTCAAAGCCCTGAGACTGTATGATGAGTTATAACTCAAGAAAGGGAGACATAATAGATCTGTAAGGTCGCGGTGATTAATCCCCCTCGTATACGTTCTACATTCTACATGCATCAAGCATCATATACAGGGTGTTTCAAAACAAATGCGACAAACTTCAGGGGGTGATTCTTTGTTTAAAATAAAGGGTAGTTTGCTTCATAAACGTTGGGTCAAAAGTCAACCATTAGGGAGATATCGCGGTACAAAGATGGCGGAAAAATAATGTTTTTATTTTTTATCTTGAAAACGAAAAGTGATAGACTAATGAAATTTTATGGAAGCATTACTGTTATGAAAACACACTTTCTGGTAATTTTTTCACTTTTTTAAAATGAGTGGAAGGGGTTGAAATAAACTACCCCTATCATTTTTGTTAACGAAATTTAAAGAAAAATCTTATCAAACACATGCAAAAAAATTAATTTGGATAGTTTAGTTTCCTTAGAAACTTTTTTATCTCTTGTATTTTTTTGACAAAACTCACCGATTTGAAATTAAAAAATGAAATGTAAAGCAATACATGTCAGGACAAAAAACATTTTCTGATAAAGAATCTAGTGGGCTGCTGTAATTTTTTTAGGAAAAAATCTAGTCGGTCGCTGTTACTTTCTAGGATGTTCCTAATGTTATTTTATTTGACATTACTCTACTGCAATACGTTATTATCTAGATGATTATTATTATCGTTATTATCACTAGATTCTTAATCTAAAAATGTTTTTTGTCCTGACATGTAATGCTTTACATTTTATTTTTTAATTTCAAATCGATGAGTTTTATCAAAAAAACACAAGAGATAAAAAAGTTTCTAAACAAACTGAACTATCCAAATTAATTTTACTGCATGTGTTTGATAAGATTTTTCTTTAAATTTCGTTAACAAGAATGATAGGGGTAGTTTATTTCAACCCCTTCCACTCATTTTAAAAAAATGAAAAAATTACCAGAAAGTGTGTTTTCATAACAGTAATGCTTCCATAAAATTTCATTAGTCTATCTCTTTTCGTTTTCAAGATAAAAAATAAAAACATTATTTTTCCGCCATCTTTGTACCGCGATATCTTTCTAATGGTTGACTTTTGACCCAACGCTTATAAAGCAAACTACTCTTTATTTTGAACAAGGAATCACCCCCTGAAGTTTTTCGCATTTGTTTTGAAATACCCTGTATAAATATAAAAAATAACTAAAATTAACAAATACTTTTTGTAGGCTGCTGAAGACCACAACAAATGCATACCAACCTGTCCAGCGGGTTGCTTAAATGGAGTTTGTACCATCAGAGGGTTCTGTGATTGCAATGGAGGATACGTTCATAGCCAGGATGGAAAATACTGTGTTCCTGTGTGTACTGGGGGTTGTGGAACAGGGGGTAAATGTATTGGACCAGAAACTTGCTCTTGTAGCCCTGGGTAAGCTAAAATCAATTCCATATTTTCCGAAAATTCATATTTAATTATCTAAAAATACTGTGTGATCGAAAAAAAAACGGCGTCAAAAACGGCTGGGGAATGACAATCGATGATAATTTTGACGAGGTCAATCTCTAGACGTTATTTACTAAAAATTGACATAAAACTTTTCAAAAATTAACACTAATTATAGAAAGAAAGAAATCTATTTTTAACACAAAATATGTTTTCTTGAATTTTTATTTTTATCATTTATAATCATTTTAAGTAAATGACATCTATGGCTAGACCTCGCTAAAATTATCATCTATTGTCATTTCCCAGCCGTCTTTGACACCGTTTTTTTCGATCGTATGGTACTATCACTTTATTAATAATACAATTAGTGCAACACAGCGTTCTTTAAAGATAGAATTATTAATATTATTCCTAATATTTAGTATTTAGTTATATTTGATTCTAGGTTTGCTGTAAATAAGGACACAAACAAATGCGAGTACCACTGCGAGGGTGGTTGTGGATCTGGTACTTGTATAGGTCCAAACAAATGTTCTTGTAAGGCTGGGTACAAACTGACAGCGGAAGGTTGTGTAGCTGACTGCCCTAGAGGTAAAAAACCAAAAAAATATTTTTTTAATTATAAAGACAGATGACTAAAAATACTGTAATCTGCTGAAGACTTAATGATGTTAACATTGTTAGCAAAACGTAGGTCTAGAGTGTGTTATGTGTATACCGGGTGTTTTTCAAATAGTGTTTCACCCCTATAACTTTTTGTTTTTTCAGATAAAAACCAAGATTTGGTATGTTAGTATACTATGACATAAATCAGAATTGATTGATGTATTCAATTTTTTTCGGTCACTTCTTGTTTTGCCAAAAATTAATAATGGAAAAATTACTGCAACTTTTGATTTCTAAATGGTACCCTTGTTATTTTTTTACTTTATTTCATAAAAAATGACATTCTGAACAGAATGACGTATCATATGTCACCTTTTGACATTATCGTTTAAAAAAATACTATTTAAAATTGCTGAGAACCTTAACGATTACTTTGTAAATGTAGCGAAAAACTTAACTAATACCATATGTCCTCCTCATGATCCACTTTCTTATCTCTCTAATGATATTGTAAACTTACACAGTTTCTTTTTTCGCCCGTAGTTTTAGAAGAGCTTCGCAGTACAATTAATACCATCAAAAATAAATCTTCTTCTGGGACCGATGGGCTAACTTTAAAAATGTTTTCGAATCTGCCAGAAAGCACTCTGAATCACCTAACAACTTTAATAAACATGTCGTTCCAAAATGGTATTTTTCCAAAATGTCTTAAGACGGCAATAATCATTCCTCTGCATAAAGGAGGAGACAAAGATGAAGCTTCTAACTATCGCCCAATTGCACTCCTTCCAACGCTATCTAAGATCATAGAAAGGTTGGTTAAGAGAAGGCTGGTATCTTTTCTGTTTAAGTACAAAATACTTACTGAATATCAATTTGGATTTCTAAGCAACAAGTCCACAAATGACGCTATGTTTTCCCTCCTTAATAATGTTTACTCCAGCCTAAACAACCATCATTCTACAGCAACAATTTTCTGTGATTTTTCTAAGGCGTTCGATTGTGTAAATCATAAGATCTTAATTAATAAACTGCAACACTATGGGTTCAGGGGATCATCTCTCGAATGGTTTAAGTCGTATCTGAGCAACAGAAGTCATCTTGTGAGGGTGGATACCACGTTGTCTTCTAGCAAGCCAATAGAATGTGGAGTACCACAAGGCTCAGTACTAGGCCCTATTTTGTTTCTTCTTTTTATTAACGACATTGCTAACATAAACATCAGTGGCAAAATATGTCTTTTTGTGGACGACATTAGCTTCACTTGGAGCAATGGATTATATCAAATGACTTAATCACCATTAAATCTTGGTGCGATTCGAACCTCCTGAATCTCAACATTTTTAAAACTAAAGCTTTGTCCTATAAAAACTCGTTGCAGCCTTTTGTACTTAACACCACCATTGACGTCGTCAAGTCTGTAAAATTCTTAGGGCTTGTTGTGGACAATTCTCTGAAATGGGACATACATATCGAATCTTTGTCGAAAAAATTGAGCTCTGCCTGTTTTGCATTAAGGTCTGTTTCTAAGGAGCTTAACTTGTCAGTGGCTAGAACTGTTTATTATGCACTTTTTGAGTCGCACCTCAGGTATGCCCTTCCATTCTGGGGTACGTGTTGTGCGACTCAATTTGACCGCATTTTCAGGCTCCAGAAGAGGCAGCAGAACTCATTGCCGGGACTTTTTTAAAAAATTAAAAATATTGACTCTTCCTTACTTATTTATATTTGAATCCGTTTGCCTAATACGTAAACATGTATCAGCTTCTCAAGAAAGGCCATCTCACACTTATCCACTCAGGAACGCGGAGCAAGATCTTTATCTACCTACCCCACGCTCAGAGTTAGTTAAAAGTTCAATATTATACAACTCGAAAAAAATGCACAATCACCTGCCATTTGAAATCAAATCCATAACATCATTTTTTCATTTCGCAAAGCATTGAACTCTTATTTACTAGACAAGGCTTTCTACGCCGTAAATGAATTATATTTTGAAAATCAAATTTGATCTTGTAAACACTGGTCTAATGTTTGCTATTGCTATATTTACTAATGACATCGAAATTAATTTATTTAGAGGTCATTGATATTTTACTATAAACTAGCTAAATATTTTTGAATATTATTTTTATTTTTTGTTCTTTGACATTATAAACATTTATAACGTTTATTTTAACAATAAGACTGACAATATTATTTGTATAATGTTTTGTATTATCTTTTGTTTGTTTGTTTGTGTACCTTATTTTTTTTACTTTGTTTGTTAGTTTACCTTTGTCTACAAATTGAAAAATTTTTTGACAATAAAGGCATTTATTTATTTATTTAATTTCAATTTCCAGTGCCATGTCTGTTTTAAAATCACTAATTTTTTATCAAGGAACCTTGGAAAAATAGATTTGATCGTCTAATGTTTTTCGTGTCTTTTCCTGGCATTAGTAGACACCCAAATTGTATTTTTAATTATAACTCATTTTTTTCAAATAGAACGAGGGAATTGAAATCAATGATTTTTTTTTCATTTTTCAAATGGAACGAGGGATAAATGAAATTTAAAATACTATCTTTTAAAGGAAAATATCAAAAATTGACATATAATATGTCAATCTATTGAGTATGTTATTTTCTATCAAGTAAAAAGTAAAAAAATACCGAGGGTATCATTTAAAAGTCAAAACTTGTAGTAATTTCCGGTGAAACAGGAAGTGATAGAAAAAAATACAAAAAAAAGGTATAGGGGTGAGCTACTTTTGAAAAACACCCGGTCATGGTGGTCAATTTATAAAATTTTAATTTATATTATTATTCTAGGCTGTGACAATGGAATTTGCTCAGCACCAAACACTTGCACGTGCAAACCCGGATGGACTTTGGACAGGAGTGGTTCCAAATGCGAACCACATTGTTCCAGCTCTTGCTTGAATGGAAACTGTGTTGCTCCAGACACTTGTGCCTGTAAACAAGGATATACAGAAGCTCCAGGGTCTAATGGACACAAATGTCTAGCTTATTGCCCAGGTTTGTAAACATATAACATCTTCGGCTTTAAGCTAGAACTCAAGTTACACACAAAAAAGTTAAATATATTGTAAAATTAACTGAAAAACGCACTTAAAATCGCTTCAAATCAACTGAATACACTGAATATTAAATAAACGCTCATTGTACAGTATTTTTTTCTTTCTTGCAATAGGTGGATGTGAAAATGGAATATGCTCAGCACCAAATTTCTGCATTTGCAATCCAGGCTTTATCAAAGAATCCAAAGGCAGTAATCGATGTATCAGAAGAGTAAGAAGATCAATTTCTGATCTGCATTTGGAATTGATCCCAGAAGCATTGCTTGAAGGGCATTAGAAATTATAGTATATTTAAAGCAAATTTACTTAACTCATTTTTGATATTGATATGTAATATATAAATAATAAACTTCTTATTTAAATGAATTCAGTATTTTTATTTACTTCATTTACAGTACTGTCTCTGGTTATAGAGAATTTTTTTCTGTACAGTCACGTCTCTATTATAGTTATTTCCCATTTTGTTATAGTAAACTTCCCCAATAAATTAACGCACCACAAAAAAATAACCGAAAGTTTAAGTTAAGTTTTTGTCAAAACCACTTATCCGATTTGGACGATTCTTTTTTTGAATGATAGGTTATTCTTTCCACAATGATGTTATACTAATTGTATTTTGATAGGAACCCTTTTTATACTAATACCGGGTGTAGCAATTATAACGTGTTTTTTTAATAAAATTTGTGACACCCTGTAGAGTTGATCAGTTACCGTATCAAGTTAAAATGTGATTTCAATTTTATCCCTTATCTTTTTTTAACATTTTGTTTTTTTATTTACTCCATTATCTTCCTTATTACACGAGAAACAACATTTTATAGGATGACATGATTTAATATTGGTTTTAATTAACATTTTTCCATTTTACTCACTAAAGTAAGTAGCAGGCTATGGAAAAACACGGATTACCAGTAAATGTCAAATAGAGATGCTTGTTGTCAGTGTCAGTCGTTTTCGTCCTTTTATTATATCAAAAATATGCAACGTGCACGTGAAACAAGAAATCTTACTGGCGAAGAATGTGCTCAAGCATTAATATTGTCTGAGGAAGGTTGGAGCTACCGAAGAATTGGTGAACGATTTAATGTAACAGGTTTCTAATTTATATATGAAGATAACATGGCAGCCTCTATGTTGACTACCGTCTATGGTCTAGTTCAGTCTAGTTGACAAAATGTTGGTAATTCGTCAAGTTTTAAATCGTTTTTTAAATATTTATTAATCCAGATATTCCTGAATTGTCGAATTTGTTGATCTGGATGGCATGTGTCCATCAGCAGTTTACCATTAGCTGAAGAAGTATGGTTCTTCAGTTGGGGGTTATAAATTCATTATTAAATAACATTATTATAATCAAAAGAATATATTAAAACCGAATTATAACGAGAAAACTTTCCTGGACTGCGTCCTTTCGAACTGGATGGAATGTGTCCATCAGCAGTTTACCATTAGTTGAAGAAGTATAATTATTCGGTTGGGGGTTATAAATTCATTATTAAATAACACTATTATCATCAAAAGAATATATTAAAACCGAATTATAACGAGAAAACTTTCCTGGACTGCGTCCTTTCGAACTGGATGGAATGTGTCCATCAGCAGTTTACCATTAGCTGAAGAAGTATGATTATTCGGTTGGGGGGTATAAATCCATTATTAAATAGCATTATTATCATCAAAAGAATACATTAAAACCGAATTATAACGAGAAAACTTTCCTGGACTGCGTCCTTTCGAACTGGATGGAATGTGTGCATCAGCAGTTTACCATTAGTTGAAGAAGTATGATTATTCGGTTGGGGGGTATAAATTCATGATGAAATAACATTATTATAATCAAAAGAATATATTAAAACCGAATTATAACGAGAAAACTTTCCTGGACTGCGTCCTTTCGAACTGGATGGAATGTGTCCATCAGCAGTTTACCATTAGCTGAAGAAGTATGATTCTTCGGTTGGGGGGTATAAATTTATTATTAAATAATATTATTATCATCAAAAGAATACATTAAAACCGAATTATAACGAGAAAACTTTCTTGGACTGCGTCCTTTCGAACTGGATGGAATGTGTCCATCAGCAGTTTACCATTAGCTGAAGAAGTATGATTCTTCGGTTGAGGGGTATAAATTCATTATTAAATAACATTATTATCATCAAAAGAATACATTAAAACCGAATCATAACGAGAAAATTTTCCTGGACTGCGTCCTTTCGAACTGGATGGAATGTGTCCATCAGCAGTTTACCATTAACTGAAGAAGTATGATTCTTCGGTTGGGGGTTATAAATTCATTATTAAATGGCACTATTATCATCAAAAGAATACATTAAAACCGAATTATAACGAGAAAACTTTCCTGGAGTGCGTCCTTTCGAACTGGATGGAATGTGTCCATCAGCAGTTTACCCTTAGCTGAAGAAGTATGATTATTCGGTTGGGGGGTATAAATCCATTATTAAATAGCATTATTATCATCAAAAGAATACATTAAAACCGAATCATAACGAGAAAACTTTCATGGACTGCGTCCTTTCGAACTGGATGGAATGTGTCCATCAGCAGTTTACCATTAGCTGAAGAAGTATGATTTTTCCGTTGCGGGATAAAAATTCATGATTAAATTCATTATTCAAGTTGACGCCGTTTTCTTTTCGATCATATTGGATTAATTCAAAAAGGAATAAAAGCTTAAAATGACTGTTTATAAAATATTTTGTTCTTTTTTTTTACTAAGCGAGCACAAATATTTCAGTGATATTTAACCATAACCAATAAAATTACTTAATATTTTATAGAATATATCATAAAAAATCAACTAATTATAACTAAAGCACTAACTCTTCTTCGCAGATTTTTTCATGTTTACATAGCTTTTAAGCATAGTAAACTATTCATAAAACAAACTCTATTTATTATGCAAGATAATTAGAATAAAACACTCGTTAACTTATAATGCACCGGCCCGGTTCAAAGGTACGACCGTCGTGAACCTTCCCCCCACTGAACCCAGGCACCCAACACATAGCCCTGGGTTCTCACGTGGCTATATGGAAGCGCTACAACAATAGCACTTCAGTTCATACCATAAACTATTCGTTAAAACACAATATTATTAAAAAAATATTTTTTTTAGTTAAAAGAAAAATATGTGCGATATCGGGACATGCCGAAAAGTACTTTTCCTAGTTACAGTGAACTATTTCGCGGTACTAACATACGCGGTGCCTCAGTTAGATCTACCTCAATACCAACCGAACTCCGGGAATTACCCTCAGAACCCTAGTTTTGTACCTAATCCTGAGTATACACCCAACAACCCTTATGATCGTGATAATGAGAGAAACAGGGGTGCAAACTACCCTCAGAATTACCCTACCAGGAGACAGGACCCTAATTCGGACGAGGCAAGAGCTGATAATGCTCGGAATATGAATAGGGCTTATGCTGGTGATGTTAGGGGGTTATTGCAGGCTCTGGACTTGCAAGCGTCGCAACAGTGCACTAATAACGTGGCAGCTCAGTGGAATTTCGAGACAAACGTCAATCAGGCGACTCAAGTTGAAGCTGTAAGTCACTATTTTTTTGAGTTTTTGTTATTACTCAGTATGCGTATAGCCACAAATTTGACCGGTTGAACGAAATTTTATTTATAATTTTAAAAATGTGTGTGGGTGCTAATGTGTTCATGTCAATGACCAAAGACCAAAAATAAGTTAACCAAAATTATACAAAAGAGGGTCAAAGAAGTAAACAAAAAATAAAAAAAGCTTATATTAATAATTATATGTTCTTATAAGTAATGCATATGCAATTGTGATGGGTTTATTACACAGAGTGTGTCGGAATTTGTTACACAGAATTGTCCGATATTTCACTAGTAATTTTTCAAATATTTCTGAAGATAAAGTAAAAAGATTATATAAACACTAACGTGTACCCGCGACTTCGTTCGCGTCGAATTAATCATTTGTAATGGTGATGATAAAGCAAAGCAAGAATTTCCATTAACATACAAACTGGAAAAAATTTTCTCACATTTATGTCAGCATGAGAAAAAACAATATGGCGATATTATTATATAACTTGGTAATATTTGAGGGGTAGTTTCATCTCGTTGGAATTTGACTTTCGAAAAATCCGTTTGCCAAAAATAAGCTTTTTACGTCAAGCAGTTTAAGCAGTTAAGAAATTAGCCAACTTTTTGGAACACCCTGTATGATTTTTTAAAAAATTTCATAATACGTAAAAAAAAGCGTTTCCAAGCGTTTTCCCGAAAGACTAACCGTTTTTTAAATAACAAATATTGTAATATTTCAGTGGCGTTTTCACCCTCTTGGAATTCGAGAAACCCCTCCTTATCGAACCTCTACACCCCACAGTCAATCCGTTTGCCAAAAATCAGCTTTAAACGTCAAGCAGTTTACGCAGAATCGTGACTACGCAATAGCCATATTTTATGAAACACCCTGTATAAATATTTAAAAAATCTTACAATATGTACAACAACAAAATAAAATATACGTGTTTAAGAGTTTTTCCGAAAAACTCACCGGTTTTAAATAAAAAATATTCTAATATTTGAGGGATGGTTTTACCCCCTTAGAATTCGAGTTCGAAAAATCCCTTCTTATCGAACCTCTACACCCTAAAGTCAATCCGTTTTCCAAAAAAACAGCTTTAAGCAGGATCGTGATTAATCAATGACCAGATTTTTCTAAACACCCTAGACACGTTTTTAAAAAATCTTAAAATATTACCTAATTTTGAAAAATCCCATCTTATCGAACACCCTAGAATCAACCTACACAATCTATCAATCTACACCCTAGAACAAATCTGTATGCCAAAATTGAGCTTCTTACGTTGAGTGATTTGAGCAGGATCGTGATTAATCAGTGAGTCAGTCACTTTTAAGGATTTTATATATTAGTATAGATATAATTCTAAAATGCTTCGTTTTTGAGATACAGGGTATCATCAAAGTTTAAAAAAAAATCGTTTTTTTCCTAATATCTTCGAAGACTCTCCAGATATTTTAATAAAATTTGGTACACGCCTTTTCACAATTAAAGGACGTTTACATAATAAACTAAGCTTTGGTTTTAACAAAAAATCACCTCTTAAAATTTTTAGCATTTATTTTAAAACACCCTGTAAAGCAAATTTAATTTTGTTACGACCGCCATGCGAAACATGTTTTATTTTTGTTTTCGACGTTCAAATCTTACAAGCAATCCTGAATAACGACTACAGATATCACCAACATTAGAAATTAGGCCTTTTTATCATTTTAACGTATTGTTATTCCCCCATACAGAAGTTACTTCACTTGTTGCGTTCATCCTGATAACACTTTATCATTGTTTTAACCTAAATTCAACAGCGATACGTTGCACAAAACATTTATATTTATACCTAAAACACAGAATGTTGTATACCGGGTGTACATTATAGGAAATCCCATGTAAATTTTAATGGGGTCAATTATTGGCTTCCCTAATTTTTTTAGAGAATAATTCTATTTAGGTTTATTGAAGAGCACTAAAACCTACATTTAAAAGAATAACTTTAGATATTTTTGATTAGCTCGTTTACGAGTTATCACCGATTTCTTTTTAAATATTTCTCCTTTCTTATGGCCCTGTATTTACTTATGAGCACCAGTCAAGGTAAAAGATAACTGTCAAATGAAGTTGTCATTTCAGAAATTTATCTATTTAGTGCTTTATTGTTATTATTAAAAACTCATACCTACATCGAAAATATTAGCCATGAATTACACTACCGAAGAAAAAAGTATTGATGATTAAATAGTATTATCAAGGAAATAGTTATCAAATGGTGTCAAACATGTTTGCTGCTCTGTATCCGAATAGACCTATACCTGGAAAATTTACAATCGCAAGGGATATCCAGAGATTTGAGACCAAAGGTACCCTAATAAATAACTGCAGATGTGAAGCAAGGCAGGAACAAAGAAAAGATGCAAAAAATGATACCGACTTGGAAGTTTTATTGTGCGTGGAAGAGAACGATGGAAAGATCAGGACAAGGAAACTTGAGGATGAAATAGAAATAGATCACACTACAGCGTTTCGAATTTTGAAACGACATAAATACTATTCCTTCAAATATGAAAAGCACCAAGAGCTACGAGATGGGGACGAAATACGGCGGCAGGCGTTTTGTTTTGATATGATGGAAAGAGCAAAGACGGATAGGGAATTTTTAAAAAAACATATGTTTCACTGACGAATGCACGTTTACCTTAAATAATGAAAACAATGTTCAAAATTATCGATATTGGAACAAAGAAAACCAACACAGGTTTGTCGAAACAAGGTAACAAAGTAAATGTTTGGGCAGGGAATTCGGACACAATATTATCGGGCCATTATTTCTTACGCGAAATTTAAATGCAGAATATTATTTGGAACTACTCGAAAATCATATTATACCTGCTTTACATGATGCCGCTAGAGAAAATCAGGAAGTTTGGTACCAAATGGATGGCTGCCCGGCACATAGTACCCTGGCTGTTCGGGAATATTTAGACAATAGTTTTGACGGAAACGTTATTGACCTAAATAATACAGTAAATTGGCCAGCAAACTCTCCTAATATTTCGCCAAATGATTTCTTTTTCTGGGGCCATTTAAAAAACAGGATATACATGGATAAAAAATACCCAAATCTAGACGAGTTAAAAAATGTTATTTCTGCCGAATGCAATAGAATTTCAGTTTACCAACTAGCGAATGTAAGAAAAGAATTTTATGATAGCCTGGGTTATTGTCTAGCAGTCGATGGAGGAATATTTGAACATCTTCTTAAATCCTAAAGTTCTAACAATTTAATAGCACCTAAATTATTAAGTTATTAAATATTGTAATAATACTATAATTAACCTTGTAATTGATTACTTTATTTTACTTTAATTCATATTAATTTGTATTTATAAATACATCTTTAAGATTTCCGATGTAGGAATGAGTTTTCAATAATAATAAAGCACTAAATAGGTAAATTTCTGAAATGACAACTTCATTTGACCATTGACTGGTGCTCATAAGTAAATACAGTGCCATAAGAAAGGAGAAATATTTAAAAAGAAATCGGCGATAGCTCGTAAACGAGCTAATCAAAAATATCTCAAGTTATTCTTTTGAATGTGGGTTTTAGTGCTCTTCAATAAACCTAAATAGAATTATTCTGTAAAATAATTAGGGAAGCCAATAATTGGCCCCATTAAAATTTACATGGGATTTCCTATATCCCGTCCGACGATGCAACACCCGGTAGAGTGGATAATTGGTTATATTAGAGCCATAAATAGGTATATTTTTTTTTAAAATACTGGGTCTTGGAATTTAAAGAAACTATTCTTTTTTACTATATTTAAATGAATCGTAGTAACATCAAGCTTCATGGACCTACATCCAGGTTCCAGTTCTGCCAGATCTACAGGGTGTTTCAAAAAAAATGTGCCATCTCTCGTGGGGAAATTTCACGTAAAAATAATATTTATTTTTCATATCAATATAGGTCCGATTCTGCTTTGTTTAGTAGCTACAGGGTGTTAATGTCTTAATAATTTTTCGATTTATTATAATTTTCTTCCAAGCACTTTTAGCGTTTCGAATGGAATTTTGAGGGTAAAAATTTCTATAAATGCGACATATTTTAAGCTAAAAATGTGTCGACATATTCACCAGAGACGTGCATATGGGTTATCTCTGGAATATTTTTCTAAAAAAAGCATGAACGCCACTGATTTTTTCTCTTGTTTACGAAATAGTGTAAGCAGTTTAATGCCGATTAAAAGTTGTCTCTTGAAATTTCGTCGATTCCGGCCTCTTTTATGAGATAAACGCAATTTTATTAACTTGCCTTGATCCAAGTCTATAGCAACCTTTAAAAAAAACAATATTATTAACTTGCGACAGTTTTAAATAAGTACTCATTGATTACTCATCAAAAAATATGAAAAAAAGTTCCTATAAACATGGGTATGGAAATGAAGCAGTTTTAGAGTTACAGGATGTTCAAACTTTTTAAAATTAGTAGTGAACAGATGTTGAATACAGATATGACACGCAATAGTGAACGCAATGTCTACAGGCAGCCAGACGGTCCGAACTCTGTTCAGGAGATAAAAGCAATATATATATTAAAGAACCAGCTGTCTTAAAATTCTGTCTCGAAAACGTTGCTTGCTCTTAGAGTATTAGTAAGACAGCGAAATTGTTATGGAAATGAAAATATAAAATAACACCACTGACAAGCAAATCGTATGTCCGATAAACGGAGGCATGAAAATGCAGTAAATTTAAAAACTACGTAATTTCCTAACCAATCGAAGTCTTTAAATTCAACCAATAAAATTAATATCGTAACATCGGATAAAGGATGCATACAAATCAAGTTTTATTTCAATACTCTTCAATACTGATTTATTTCTCTGCATCGTTATGTTTTCTTTATCTGGTGAAGACGTGGTCGGTTAGGTGTCAGCAATGCAGTTCCTATATATATATATATATATATATATATATATATATATATA